CAAAATCAACAAATACAATATGGAGTCTATAATATTTATAGACTCCAGACTAAAAGGATAAAGCTAACTATAACTATTGTTTATCATAAAAAATAATATTCTGATAAAGGTTGTTCTAGTTGATGATGATTAGAAGCCTCCTTATCTCTTCAAGACTCCTTATCACTCAATGCAAACATTATTAGAGTTGGACAAAGGTTGTTCTGGTTGATGATGATTAGAAGCCTCCTTATCTCTTCAAGACTCCTTATCACTCAATACAAACAATATTAGAGTTGGACTGAGGGTTATCTTCTTTAGCAAGTTCTTGTGTTAATTCTTTTGAGATTTACACATTAACTATACCTCGTAACTTGGTTCTACTCATTGACACTCATCAATTGTTTTAAATTCTTATTTTCCCTCTCAATAGTTTCCTTGTTTACGTAGTTTTAGTTCCCAGTTATATCACATAAGTAATCTTTTGGTCTTGAATTCTTTTATTATTTCTTCAGTCTCAAATCTATTACAATTATTTCTTCATCAACAATGCATAAATCCAGCGGTTCTTTCATTAGGTAGAAATTTATAAAGTTTTATCGCCACATATTAAGAGTTATATCTTAAGGAGTACGTATTTTTTTTTTTTTTGTATGTGTGGGTATTTAAAAAAATGCAAAGACACCTAAGTTAACTTCTATTTAACGAGGGTATATGAACCCTTTTATTACACCTTTCTCAAATACAGCATGAAACTAAAGTGACTGATTTGAATGAGAAGATGTTGGAGCATATCTATATTTAACAGCGATTCCCATAACTATCCTATTAGAAGCTCAAATGATAGAAGTAGGTCTCATTTGTGAGGCACTAAGGAGGTTTCCTACCTTTCAAGAGTTAGGCTTATTTTGGGTATCCCAAGTCACACTAAAAGGGCACTAGTTGATTTCTTAGGCATTGAGGAGCGTCTCCTACCTTTCAAATATTTGGGTGTACCACTTTCATCTAAAAAACTCTTATTGTCTGACTATCTTCCTTGGTAGAATAAACCACTTCTAGAACGAGGCCATGGACATCTAAGTTTCTATCGTATGTTGGAAGATTGGAACTTGAACAATTTACCATCCAAAGTATTGAGACTTATTCTTTAGTTATTTTTCTCCCGCCAAAAAAGATGATTAAGGAAGTTGAATCCTTGACTCTTTCTTTGGACTGACTCTACTGATCCTTCTCAGAAAGCTCTATTGGTTGTTTGACCTTCATTAACCCAAATTATTGGGCGGTCTGGGAATTAAGAAGTTTGGGGTAATGAATAAGTTTTTAATGCTCAAACACTTTTGGGCTATTACTAACAAGGTTGACTCTGTTTGGATGAAATGAGTACATGAGATTTACTTGAAAAAACAGCTCAGTTTGGAATGTTGAGATCAAGATTTCTTTTTTTTGGCCTGTTCGGAAAATCTTGAAACTAAGGGAGCTTGTCTACGAGGGTATATGTGTGACGAATGTTGTGATGACTTGGACAGTCATGGGGAAGCCATTTTCACCACAATCAGCTTGTAGCAAATTAGGCCCCCTGTTCCCGCCCCTTGATGGAGTAGGCTCTTGTGGACGTGATTGACTCCTCTAAAGTTCTTTTTCATATCTTGGTTTGTTGTTTGGAGAGACTTATGAGGAAAACAAAACCAATGTGGCAAGATGGAACGCTTCACTTGATCTTAGGTGTAGTCTATGCAACCAACATGATGAAAATACGAAACACTTATTCTTTGAGCGTGCATTCTCTAACAATGTTTGACAGATAGTTTGTGACTTCAACAGATGGAAAATTTCTAGTTTGCATGATACCTTAGCCCGCCAACGTCTAGGAATTTGAAGAATGATGTCTTGATTGTTGCCAAGAAAGCCTCATCATGAATGATGCGATCTTTAATGATTAACCTATTGACGAGTTAATGATAGTTTGCGAGGTCATCTTGCACCTGAAGACTAGATATGCTTCAATTAAAAAGAATTCCTAACTCTTCAAAAGGTTTAACTTAGTGTAACAAGGTTAGACTAGACCTAGTAGTTGTCAGTAGCATAGTTAGGAGATAATTCTCTTACTGTTTTTGGTTATGTGTACTAGCATTATGGGATAGTGTAGCAGTTGTACATACTTCTTATAACGGTAATGAGATTAACTATTTTTAAAATTAAAAAATAAAAAGTAAAAGGTCTCTTTCGTTAATTGCAAAGCTTAGGAATATGATTGGTAAAATAGAGAGCCAAACATTGTCCTAACAAAAACAAATAAAAACACCATAACGTACAATGAGGCACTTGATTAATTATATATTCTTAACTTAGTCAAACTTGTTAATTAAAATCTAAGCAAACATTTTAAGAAAAATTTTAGGGTTCCGTTGGCTATTTTAAAGGTATGATCCCATTAAAATTTAATCAATAAGAAAGTGATACATCAATATAATACTAAATGTGACCAATTCTTAAATTTTTTGTGACCTGCTAAGCAGGTAAACTTACCATAATATCAGGTAATTTACCAAAATTTAAAAAATTGAATAATTTAAGAAAGTTTTAACATTTAAAATAATAAAATCACCATTAATTAATAATTAAAGTTCTTTTTTATTATATATATTGCACAAATACTTACATATGATTGCACATGTGTATATAAAATATTGCACCTAATTAATTGATCATTAATTGCATCATTTTTATTTTCTTTTATTTTTTATCAATTGCACATTCAAGAAAGATATATTACACGTTCAATTTCAAACAATTGCATTATACCAAAACTTACTACAATTCTTAATTAAATTTTCTTATTTTATTTTTGCAATACAAAAGAAATCTACATGTGATTGAGCATTTGCTCATTAAAAATTACACATATTTTATCATGATAGCACATTGTACCTATACCATTTCTTATATAAGTTTTTTTTAGTAATTTTAATTTTTTTATTTAGAATTTTTTCTGTAAGCCTTACTGAGCGAGTATTTATGTATTATTTTAAGTAATAGAATTTTACTTACAAGTTTTTTGAATTTTTTAGCATATTAAGATATGTTTAAACATGGCACATTTGTGTGTACATTATTACACATATGATAAAATAGATTGTCCTTATATTTCGTGTTGTCTTGTCGAAACTATATTTTTTGTGCATGGGAATATTTAGATGATAATTAATTATTTTATTGCCCATGTGAATATTTAGCTACCTTTCTTGTGATTTCTTTATCTTTATTTCTAATTTTCTTTATTCTTTGTTCTAAAACAAAAGAGAACTAAATTGACTGCTATGACATGTCATAATTAAAAGGAACAATGATTGTTACAGTGACTACATACAGTAATATGGAATAGTGACTCGTGAAAAGATAAAAGCACTACCAACATAACATGGGTAATTAAGGAAATACACGCATGCCACGTCAGTTACTATCCCATTTTACTAGTTATTTTCACTGTATATATTATTTTACAATTAGAAGAGATAGAATGTTTAAATTTCAATATTCAAGACATGTAAATACGTAGAGTATGGAGAAAGAATAAGAGATACCCATTCAGAATTATTGTTATCTAAATTTAGTAAGGCAAAGTATTTCTCAGTTTATTTATTTTTTTATTCTATATAAACATTTCACGTTTGAGCATTCTATTACATATTCAAGAAAATCATATTGCACGCTCACTTTCAAACAAATACACTACACCAAAACTTACTATAACACTCAATTAATTTTATTGATTGCACATTTGTTTTTTAAAAATTGTAGATTGCACATAAATTAATACATGATTGCACACACCTTAAAAAAAATTGCAATACCTCAAACATAAGCTATTTTTTGGCGCACAATTAGAAATAATTTTAATATAATAATATATACTGCATGAGTATTGTATATTTATCATCACTGTCTTGTTCACTTTATTATACGCATGAGCTATTTATTTTTCTTTGCAATACTGCTTTCCCATCACGTTCGCCATACCACGCCTTTACTGATAATGCCAAAATTTCAGTAACCAAATTGGGATTCAGTCTTGGTGATTTTCTTGAACAATTTTCCACCTCTCTCAACCGCCGCTTCCCGTATTCCGCCGAAAACCCTTCTTCCAAGTTGCCTGAATTTTTCATTATCTCTGCTCCCTCCTCGTTCGGCGCGCGGCTTCTCTCCAAAATCCCCTAAATAAATAAAGGATTTCATCGAAAATAATAATAATACACGCATAGTTATTAAGGAAGTAGAAAACTACCAATTATATTCTATACTATAAATAATTTACCGGTTATCGGTCACATACATTTTTAATTATTATTCTTTTAATAAAAATTCTATGGCTGTTAATGATTTAATCTGATTCAACAATTACTATACCGTTAAAATTAACAATGAGACTGTAGTTTTACCCGCTATTTAACACCCAAAAACAAAATCTAATGAACTTCATGTTCTTTTTGCTTTGGCATGCTTTTGCGGTTACTAATGTACTTATCAGAATCAACCCCCAAAAGAAAAAAAAACAACACACACACACACACAGAGATGATGATTTCATCACTATGCAATATGATGTCACTGTCTAATGAGGAAACCTTCAAAATAATAGGGAATTTTGAGGGGCTTCAGAAAAACAATAGAGCATGGGCTTTGTATTTTAGTCCTCCTCCTTCTCATAGTGCGGTTGGTGAGGTGTTGCACTTTTTTGTCCACTTCTGATGCGTCCACATTTTCATCACCTACACAAAAATCCAATGTTCAATTTTTTTCGTCATCTTCAGAATCAGGCTAACTGTTTGAATCATTGCAAAAGAATTCGTAGAGACTGTATCGCGTTAGAATAAGCTGATTCAGTAATGCTAAAATATAATTTAATTTAATGACGAATAATTACATAGTGTAAGATATAAAATTGTACGAACCGCATTCATATAAAAATGGCTCTAATAGATAAATTGAATGAATGAACAATCTAGAAACAAAGGTGGTACATAGAATGAACTTATTAAAAACACTTTTCAACCACTTAAATTCTCTAAGAACATCACAGCCCCAACACCAATTTTTCTTGTGTTCTTTCCATGTGTCAACTTTTTGGGAATCATTTTATCTCATTTTAGAATTCCGAAAGTGACCATAATGATTTAACACAAGGAAAAAGGAAAACGAAACAAAACCCGTGTTATCCCACTATTACTTTTTGTTGTTGGCCCTTATTCTCAATAAATACAACTCAAACGTCAATCCAAGTGGAAAATATAACACTAGCTCCCCAAAACCTCTGCTCAAAAAACCCTCCAGGAAAAAAACTCCATCAGTCAACAAAATGGCAACTCAACATAAATTTAGTTTTTTGATGAAATTAATGATCTTGGCTCTAGTTTTTCAGTGTTCAATCTCGGCTACCGACAAGGATAAACAAGAATGTGAATCTTCGTTAGTCGGGCTTGCTACTTGTTTGCCTTACGTTGGGGGAAATGCAAAAGCTCCAACTCCAGATTGTTGCAATGGATTGAAAGGAGTTTTGAAGACAAACAAGAAGTGTTTGTGTTTGGTCATTAAAGATCGAAATGATCCCGATTTAGGGCTCAGTATCAATGTTACGCTTGCTTTAGGCCTTCCAGCTGTTTGTAATGCCCCTGCCAATGTTTCCCAATGCCCTGGTAAGGTTTTTTTTTTTTACTCGAAATGATCAGTCCAATAAATTTGATTGGAGGTGAATTAATAAATTTGATTCAAAATTGTGAACCTAACAAATTGTGTTTTGCTTTTTTTATTTTATGATTACCAACGAATATTTATAACTAATAATTGGATGATGCAGCGCTTCTTCACATGGACCCCAATTCGCCGGATGCACAAGTTTTCTTTCCAGGTGGTCATTCATCCAGCAGTAGTATTTCCGGTAGTCCAGCCGGTAGTCCTATTCCAGGTAAAAGAATCGATTTATAGCCTCAGGATTTGTTGGGATTTTGCGTTGAAACATTAGATTCCACGTACTCTTGTATATACCCTGATTTTTAGTTGGATAAATGCCATGTGATTATACTCTCTGTCCAAAATTAGTGTCATGTTTATTGTGTTATTATTTTCTCTGTTGTCCAAAAAAAAAACAAAAAATAGTGTGGAATTTTAAAATTTGTACTAAATTCAATGTGATTTTTTTTTTTTTTACAAAGAGAGTACTATAATTTAACATTATAAATATTTTGGGAGAGGAAATACTATTTGTTGTTAAAATCTGAATGTTTTACAAAATATTGGTGTTTGGACTACTCTTTTTTTAAAAATAAAAAATAAAAATTATCGTACTAATAATTGTTGCAGGTCCTACAAGTTCCCCCGGACAAGCGGCTGCAAGTGCTCCAGGACCAAATGCTCAATCAAAAAGTGGTTCAAGTCGCATTTTAATGCCGTGGTTTGGAACTGGATTGGGAGCTGTTCTTACAGTTTTTTCTTTGTGGACTTCCACTATGTAAAATTGTAAACTTAATTTGATCACATAATTAGACTTATTGGGGAAAAAATGAAATGATTGTTTTGTTTGTCTCGAGTGCGAGTTCTTTTTAATATTATATTTTGTACTAATATAATAATTTATTTTTTAATTAAGATTTTATCAGTTTAACGATGATTGTCGAATTTGAGAGTTTTTGAAATTTATTGTCACACTCGAGTCATGATCTCTAACCAATAAAATGTTGCACAATACATATAACTCCATTCGGGATGTCGATTAACAGGGTTGTTGTCCCGATCGACCTTTTTTTGCTATTGAACCATTAGTTCTACTTTTGGAAGCGTTCAAGTTCCGATGTTAATATGACTCAATCCAAAACGTAAGTATAACTCCTTTCAGGTGGTACAAAGAATGAACCCTTCAATTCTTCATAATTTTTTACATACATTTCAGATTTTATTTTTGTAAATTCTAATCCATCCATCCATCCAAAAAGAATACAGTTTATTTTGCTGAACTAAAAATAGTTTTAAAAAATAAATTATTTTTCTGGGAAAATACATAAGGATGACGCATTAAGGAAGAAATTTTGTTTCGACCAAAAATTTACTCTGTTTGGTTGGTTTTTTGATGATTTTTTCATGTTTTATTATTATTATCTATCGCATCTCAGCATACCTTTTTACATTTTCAATTCACCTTTTTATATTTTCAATACAAAAAAAATACTTAAGAACACACACTATAAAAACAATCCAAACATATTATTGGTTTCAGACTTTCAGCCCATAAAAGTCAAATGGTTTATATATCTCTATATACTTTTACTAACCCAAATGAGAAGCCCGTGGGCCTATGCTGTTTATGATTCTGTAACGACATAATTCCTTTTCGAATTGTTGTTAACAAATTTTATTTTAACTTTTTTTTTTTTTTTTTGGAATTTCAATTGCATTGAATAAAATGAACTTACAAAAAACATTCCAAAAAAATGTCCAATTCTTGTTAACTAAATAATACCTAACTCGGTAGGAAAGTATATTTTGTAAGGAAAATGATAAGCTTAGTGAAAAAAATAATGAATGATGTGGAAGAATCTTGACCCCCTATTTTTTTTTTTCATTTTGTCCGTTGAAATTTTAATCTTTCCCAAAAATTACAATTTTACCCTTACCTAATAAACACACATATTTAGTGAAGATGGTTTATTTGTATTTTCATGAGTCATTATCCCATTTCACTATAATTAGTCACTGAATCTATCATTGCTCTATTTTGTAAACACCTTCCTAATTCTCTCTATTATGATCCGCGATCATTTGGAAATAGATAACCCAGCTTCATCCGATAAGTAATGAAATGTTTAGTGGTAGTACCTAATTAAGCCTCCGATTTCCTTTTTATATATACGCAAAAATAAATGTAAATGTAGACGGTTAGCCGGAAAGCATTTATGTTACTTCAGATGATCGCAATTCCTAAAAGCCCACAATTTCCACCATTAGTTGATGGATGCTTATACAAAATGTAGCAAAAATTGATGAGGATGACTATTGTCTAGTGTACAAAGTTGAAATACACCATGTTGAGTTTTAAAATTTATGTTTAAAAAAATAGTACATACTAGTTGAAATTTCAATGTTGATTAGTTTTTTGTAACAAAAGTAGTATAAAATTATAAAATTTTTCGCAGTTTATTGTCAAACAGCAATAAATTGCACTGAGTAATTCAGTCTTACATGTTTCCCTCAAAATAGACTTGTAAAACTAACAAGGTATTGTTTATTATCTTTTCTTAGAAAAATAATCTAATTTTATTAATATTATTTTTCCAAAAAAGTAGTGCAGTTTCAAGATTAATTCCATTAAATGAAAAGATTATAATTGAAATGAAAAAATAATTGCTCTTTAATTAGTTTCAGGTCCCGAAATGGGTTTGATCCTCTTTTATAATCCAAATTCCAAAGGAGGTATGGGGGCTCACCTCTTTGAGGAAAACCTCAGCCTTCATGCAGTCAGTAATGTCTCGAATAACATCAAATTTGGCCACACATGTTGCACTTTGCAGCTAAAGGTCCAATCCAAGGCTCTTATAATCTGTTATTTCCCTTCGTAGCGAAAATTTTGACTACATTTATTTCATCAAGTAAAAGACTTTTTTTCCTTTTAAATTTTGGTACTTGTGTTCCTTTTGTGCAGTAAATTTGGGTCACCCATTTATTGCAATCCTATAAAATACACTGATTTTTGTCTCATTTAATTTTTCATGATATTCGAAACCACACTCGTGTGTAGTAATGTTGTTGATAAAATGCACGATCAAAAAATTTAGTAATACTCTTTCCATCTTAAAAATTATTGTCGAGTTTGAATTTTTATTCTAAAATTAAAAATACAAACTTGACAATTAGTTTGTGACGGAAGGAAAGAGTACTAATTTTTGTTTTTTTTTTTATCAAAAGAGAAGATAATATACAGTTCCGTTACTAATTCTTCTTTTTTTTTTTTAATAAAAAGGCATCGTCATTCTGGGAAACTGGTAATTTCGTTCGTCAGCTTAGCTCCAAAAGTCCAGATGGCGTGGCGTATGAAATGCAGTTGCATCAAGGAAACTTAACAAACCGTCCAAAATTTGCAGTTTGCATCATTTCATCACTACCCAACAACAATTCTTTAATTTAATGAACCGCTTTCTCACTCCCTTTCTCAAAACTTCCTGATTATACTTCCTTTCTGAATTTCTTCTTTCATCACCCCAGCAAAGAAGAATACTGATTTATACAGATTACAGAGATCTTTCAGAACAGGATTACTCTCTGTTTTCTTATAAGTTCAGTATCTTGTTTTATAGATTCTCCCGGTGTAAAAAAGAAAAAGGTTGGTTTTTATGGGTTCTGCATGATTTATCAAAGGAGGTACGCTTATCTGTGAATTGTGTTTCTCCCTATGTTACCGGACTCTTTTATTTGGGGAGAATACCCGTGTCGTGTCGTGTCGTGTCACACTCGGGTGTGGCATTTTAGCCCAAACTGTCCAAGATTTTTAAATATTGACGAGTCGGACACTCAGATCCCCGCACCCCATACAACACCCGTATCCGAGTCCAGGTAACATAGGTTTCTCCAAAGTTTTCCAGTTTCAGTTTCTTCATGTCCACCGGCATTCATTTCTTGAGCATTTTCTTGAATTTCGACGTCCGAAAATCAAAAGGTCCATTTTATGAATTAAATTGTTTCTTTATTTGCTTTAAAATTGGATTTGGAATTCGGATGAAGATGAGTGAATTCAGGGTCGTTTTGATTTAGGCTAGTGCAGTGGAATGGAAATTATTATACAGGTGTAAAAATTTGATCAAATTCTGAGAATTACCTTATTTTGGTTCAGAATTGTGATGCACTGCACTTTAGGCATTGATGTTAGGCTCAAGTTGGTTTAATCATTACTTTTGAGTTTTGATCATCGGAGTCATGATTCAACAGATCGAACTGCAATTGTGTGTTTTTTTTTTTTTTTTTTTTGGTTCAGATACTGTTGCTTGATGTTGAATTAATGGAAGCAAAGAATCTTACTTAACTTGTCAGATTCTTATTCACTTTGTTCATCACAAGGTTAGAACAATTCTAAATTTTGTCCACCCCTGATTAAGATGCCTGTATCTTCAGGACATTAATTTTACACATCGTGTACCAAAGAGATTTGAGCTCTCATATTGTTTTGAATTTCTTAAGCTTCAGTTATGCATTAAGTTGGTGATTATGTACTGTTTCAGAAGCACTCATAAAAATCCAATTCACAAGCGCCTTCACCAGTCAGAAGAATTGAATAGATTAGGTGCTTTCCCCCCTTTAATTGATTTCATGTCATGGCGGTAACTGCTGATTTTTCCGCGTGCATATGTGTGTATTCTGATTTGCCTATGTGGTTTTTTTCTTAATGTAAGATGTCAGCAGATGTGTGTTAGCCACTAGTATATATATTGTGATCAATGTCAATGCTGAGGTCTAATTCGATAAAGGATTAATGCACCAATTGCAAGCCAGAAAATACTTTAAATAAGTACTTCCTCCAACCCCCAAAAAAAAAAAAAAAAAAAAAAAACCAGTAACTCGAACTATTTCTGTGGGACAGAGGAAGTATGATGTAGTATTCTGAAATGTTAATTGGGCTGGCTGGGTGCATGAGATGAAATTCAAAGTCCAAGTTACTCGGCCAAAAAAGAAAAATAAGTAAAAGTACAGAATCAGAAGGAACCTCCAAAGTCTGCTCCATGAAAGTATTGAAAGTGAACCTTCATTTGCAAATAACAAAGACAGATCTTGAAAGTCGCCATACATCAAGTAAAGGAAATATGTTCGTTTTATGTTGAAATAAAAAAACATCTGGAATGTCCAGTTAATAATATTGGATTACTTTGTCTGGTAAAGACTGCTGCTTGATGTTAAATTCCTGGAACTTCTTACTAATACAATAATGCAAAACTTGCCACCCTTGGAGAAGGTTTCTGTAGACAACAAAATTTACATGTTGCACATATCGTCTCATTCTTATCGAAAATAGATGTACCATTATAATTTTTTAAATTACTTAGATTCAGCTGTTCCTTTAGTTGCTGATTATGTCCTATATCTGAAACAGTATAATTGCTTGCAGTTCTTTCACCAGTCGGAACATTTACTAGAAAGTTTGTGGAAAGTCATGGTTGACGATCATAGTAGAGATGAACCGCTGAACAGGTTATCTGTGTTCTACTATGGCATAGGACACATGCTTAATGACATAACATCGGCATGCTGGTTTACATATCTCCTGATATTCTTGAGCGATATTGGTTTATCTCCAAGGTTTGTTGTTTCTCACTAATTGCTCTCTCCTCTCATGAAACACTCAGTTGTGTTAATGATGTGCTTAGAATATTATGAACAAAGGCATTTGAGCTTCCAGATTGGGTGTATTACGATAAGGAGCACGTTGCAAAGATGATGATTACATGTCTTTCTCTATTTTGTAGTTCTGAACGATTTGCAGCGAAGTGCTAAGCTACACAAGTAGGACTTAAAATTTAAAAGTATGTAGAAATTGAAAATGAACTCACTTAACTACATTTTTAACTAGAAATTGAATCCGTAGTTAACTTAGTTTTCCAACAGAAATACATGTGAAAGTGCTTCGGAGGATCCGATGATTTGGAAACTTTCAGGTAAGTGATTAGTGCCTAACCTGTCAGGTATTAGTTTCTGCGGAGTTATGTAAATCACAAAATTAGGTCATTTACCAGAAGTGGATACTATACAAGTGGCTTAACCCCGTCATAAATCCCTACTCGTTGAGCAGTGCCATATTTTTATCAGAAAGTTTTAGATTCTTTAAATTGTGACCTAGTTAGTTTGTGTCGTTCCTAATGTCAGTGATGCTGCGATTGTTATGCTTTCGGGTCAGGTTGCAGATGCCTTTACTACAGTGCTTGCAGGTGAACTGGTAAGCTTCAACACTTTGTACCACATTTTTATACTTTTTCTTTTCAGATTGGCTTCATGTTTTAAGTTCCATCCAATGGATGAAAGTTTCTATTTCAGAGCTTTTATGAGATAAATTTCTTTTTTTTTTTTTTTTATATCACCTTTTTTAATAGAACTTGCTGAGTTGTGGTACAGGATTATAAGTTCCTATATTTTTTTTACTACCTAGTAACGCATGTTAAGTTTACACTTGTTAAAAGCAATAAGGGTCCACAATATACTTGGAATAATCGGTCACATTGTGAATTTCGACTTTAATCTCTTCCAAGTTCTAGCCATGATATGAGGCACTCAACGGTTCATGCATTCAGCAGATTAAGAATCGAATCGAACTGACTCTGCTGTCCAGCTGCAAATGTGCATGACTCCTTAGAAAGGATGATTTCCGCGGTTTGATAAATGTATGCCGTCCCTTACAATATGCACTTAATATCTCAATCAAACGAATACTCATTTATTAGTTTGATTTTAGAAAGCTGGTAAGAGTCAATTTGTAGAATTTATATTTACTGACTAGGAAGATTTTTAGATTCAGCTATTCGACATTCTTACCATTTGAAAGATGAAGTTCATCTGTGCTGACATTTATCCCAAGTCTTAGTGCTTTAACTACTTCCGTGCTTGTTAGATTGACAGATTTGGACATTTCAAGATATGGCACGCTGCGGGTTGTTTTCTGGTTGCTATTTCATTTTCTTCTGTCTTTGGAGGTTGCTTGCCCTGCAAAATTGTTGGTTCCAGCTCTTCAACTTTAGAGACTGTTGGATATAGCACATTTGCAGCAATATTCAATGTGGGGTGGGCTGCTACTCAAGTCTCGCACATGTAATGACTCTTTATCTGATTATAATTTGGGCCAATTGATTGCATTCGCAAAATACATAAGTGGTCGATCATGTGTTCAGTTTTCTTTACTTTTCACAGTAAAGGTTCATCTAGCATCTCCCTTTTTTTTTTAAGAAACTGGCATCTCCCTTAATGCAAGTATTCATGGAAGTGTTCAGATTTTTTTTTTTTATTTGTTTCTAGTGTTGCTTTGGTTTCAACATCCAAATAATCATTGGATCTGAACATTGACATAAACCTGCAAAAGTTCATGAGCAACTACTGTAAATTACATGTCAACTATGCTTTTTTCTATGTCAATTAAAATCTAATTTGTGGTTAATGATCTGTTGAAGGTCAATGGTGAATTGTATCACACTAAATTCAACAAGTAGAATAGTTTTAACTAGCTGCCGCAATGCTTGTACAATGGTTAGGATCTCTATCCCCTTAAAAGCTCCACTATACACTATTATGCTTTTTTCATTGGATTAGTTTCCATATTTCAACCCACTTTGTGAGTTTGCTATTTGCAGGTTGCCAACCTGAGCCTGTATGCAGTTGCATTTTTTGTCTTCAAAGTCAAAACAATCGGAAATCCTCCTTGTGTTGAGAATCAGGGAACTCCTCTTGATGTTGAGAATCAGGTATCACAAATTCCAGAGTTTTCTTTTCCTTTCTTACTTATTATTTATAGCGTAATGAATTCCTTGATGGGAGCAGTACCGTTGGATAGCATACATATCTATTGCCATTGGATGCTTCTTTGTGGCCATATTTCATTTTGGAACAAAAGAGCCAAGGTCTGTTTCGCAGCTAACTTATATTTACTTACAACAGGAAGGAAAGAACTTCTTTTATGGAATCATCTTCGTGTAGTTACATAATTTTTTGTGTAATGCAGATTGAACCAAGATGTGGGGAGTACAACCTCTGTCAGAATTTCATGGACTTATTGGTTTAAGAAAATTCTGTACTATCAAGTTGCTCTTGTTTATGTGTTGACTAGACTAGTGACAAATGTTTCTCAGGTATGAATTCCGATGGTAAGTTACTTAAATCCTCGACTATATATTGGAAAACTGCTAAGCTGAAACTAGTTTTGTTTTAGGCATTCCTAGCGTTCTACTTGATCAATGACTTGTTGATGCCTCAAACCTCAAAGGCTTTGGTAATGAACTCACCCAATTCTAGTTCCATTCGAACAGATATCATCTTATCCTTCTTTTCTGACCATAACTTTGAAAATTGGAATCATTAGGTTCCAGCAATCATCTATATCTGCAGCTTCATTGTCTCGGTGCTGCTACAGGTTGCATTCACATGTTTAACTGGTTCAAGGTATTGTCTTTCTGTATAGATATTTAGCATCCAAGCATTTAAAAAGATATCTTTCTTCTGTTCCTTTTGGCCTGGATAGGAAGTTGCATGGACAGGACAACGTGTAAAGGCATTTTATTCAGCTGGAGGACTTCTTTGGCTACTTTGTGGTCCAGTTATATTTTTCCTACCAAGAAGTCTCAACCCCTTGATATATCTTCTAGCAGTAGTCATTGGGATAGCAAATGCTCTTATGATGGTATGAGATAAGTAATATGCAATTGTAGACATTCTTTACTGAGGCATCTTATATTAGTATATGGTGAATATGGATAGCTAATCCATTGGCATAATTCAGCGTGATGTAGACAGTAGCCGGTCTATATGATCGATCATTTTGATGTCTCACTTCGTGATTCTTATCACATTTCTTAGCTTGGTTTTGAATTGTGCCATTTGGAACTCTTCTGTTTAGATTGGTAAACTTGAAGCTATTAGGTAAAACATAGGTTTCATCAGTTAATTAACTTGCTGAGGCTTTGAAACTCCTTAGAATTGAACATTTAGGTCAAGTGAATCATTGAATGATGTCTCGATTCAACTTATGTAAACTTTTACAGGTTACAGGAATAAGCATGCAGAGTTTCTTGGTAGGTGAAGATGTCCATGGCTGTGCATTTGTTTACGGATCCTTGAGCTTTCTGGACAAGATATTCTGTGGAATAGCGTTATGCATTCTTGAGGCATACCAAAGTAAGTATCCTACTACCCGGCTTTCCCAAATCTCCCGGAAAACACACCTTTTAACTTCTTTGATTCCAACTGACGTTATAGAGAAGCCTACACATATGATCCGTTATATCCTCCTATTAGACTACTGAATCATTATGCCATTGACAAGCAATGATCTTTCTGCAGATTCAGCTTCAGAATTGCAATTTTGTAGCCCCGCAGATTCTTGTTTCTCGATCAGTAGATATGGATTAGGATTTGTTCCTGCAATCTGTGCACTTGGTGGGGTGGTTGTTACATGCAGTTTGAAGCTCCAATGCCATTCTTTAAGACATTTGAAAGAACCCCTATTGGCATAGAGTTCATTCATTTCATGCCGGACTTCCTCCGTCCTAGAAAAATAGTCCAATTTCTAGTACACAGAGGGAGTAAAAATTTAAATCAGTTGAGGTAGAAACTTACAGCGTTTGCTCACTTCAAGTCATTCTGTGAATAGTGAGAGTAGGATCTGCCCTCTCTATCATTGCTGCCGAGACCACATGTTGAGGGGCATGAGTGCACCGCACTTGCCGCCTCCCGGTGTTGGTGCGTGGTAGTGTTGTAGGAACTCGAGCGAATGGTCCATAATTATTTGACGAAACTCGCTTTGGCCCTTTATTTTCAAAATATTCCAAATCAGGTACTGTAACTTTTTTTTGCAATCGAACAAAAATACGTCAATGTTTATATTTCATTGACAAGTACGATTGCCAAACACAAATATGGATGGCTCCTCCCGACACTATAAGTTCACTTTACATTATGCTTTGTTTAATATAATTGGAGCAGGAAAGGATCGCGAGGGTTTGAACCTGAAACCTCCAACATAAAAAATTTGTTAATATCTTAGTAATTAAATCATTGATTACTGTGATCTATCCATATCATATATAGGTTACTTCGCTAAAAAAAATTTGTTCTTTTTAAGTGTTATTTCAAATGAAACAAGTTATTTTCTTGTTTGTGCGAAAATAATCAATAGAACTGGCGCACGCTTGCAAACAATATCAGACGAAAATGTGTAATTCGTCAAATGCTGTATTTGACTAAGTATGAAGGAAAAAATGTGAAAACTGATAATGACTTGAAAAAAGCTGAATATATTTTTGAATTGATAGACTTTAAACGAAATACAAGAGTAAATCGAATAATAAAGACTTGCGGAAAAGAGATTGAAATAAAAACAATGGAGTGGCAAAAGAAAGAAAAGTTTTGCAGCTTGTGTTGTATTTGTGTTGATGATGAATTATTGTGTGTGTCGCTCCTCTTTCTCTCTTTATATAGGGCTCGGTAATCTTCAATGGCGGTGAGATTTCCGATTCCTACTCTAATTCGGTATTACCGATTTAGAAGTGTACTTGTATTTTGTTTCCGATTCTCTATTTCCTGCTACAAGTATAATTCCAATTGGACTTGGATTCGGCTTCTTCCTGCACCACGTTGGGCCTTTGTCGCGTTTCCTTTACCGAATCGGCATGGACTCCATCACTCCTGTGTTGGATGTGGATTCTTCGCGAAGTTGAGCCGATTCACCACTTTTGTTGGGCTGGCTCGATTTTGAATAAAATCGGTGGTAACATAAAGCCCCCCAAGGCACAGCTCATTTTACTAAATGGGGTGTGTCTTAAATGTCTATCGGGCCAATAATGAATTGGCCTAATTAAGTGACAACTCACAATTAGGGATAAAAAATGGTGTATGGCGGCCCCCTCCCCCTGGTCAAAGGCGTGACGGAGGTAACGTCTTTGAATGTGAAAATCAGGGAAAAATCCGCACCAAATCCAACCGTTAGAAGAAGGCGTAGGGAATCGCAATCCGATCCCGCGAATCAAGGAGTATCAGGGACTTGATAACGCGTCTTCTTCAAAACATCATTCTGTTTCCGTTCTCCTACTTTCAAAATTCAAAAAGCGCTATTGTCATTTCTTTGCTGGCGATTTCCCCAAAGTAGATCTAAAAACAGGAAAACCACAAATCTTCAAAAACACCATGGCGGAAGCGTTTTCAGTGAAGTTCGATGCCGATGTGGGGACGGAGAGGAAGGTGAAACCGGAGGAATTACTGGCTTATCGCCGGATTTTCATGAATTGATGAACCCTCACGGACCACCAAATCACTTTACCCTGGGTCCAAATTTTATGGTGGACAACGCCACGCTACGGAAGTATGTTCCGGTGCTCCATCCGAAAAATCCTATCCCATCGGTTTCTGTGCACTGGATTTGGGCGAATTCGAGGATGTCCCTAGACTTCAGAGAAAGGGAATGTGCATCAAGAATTCTGCAAGTGGGCAAAGGCAATGGAAAAGCACCACTCGGCGATTTGGAAGAAGGCTAGAATGTATGACTTGATTCAATTCTGTCAAATGGGCGTATTTGACAATAAAGTTCTTTTGGGGGTTGTCTCAAGGTTTTGGAGCAGCTCCAGCAATGTTTTCTGTTTCCCCTGGGGTCTAATGACGCCGACGCTTTTGGATGTAGCGATAATAACCGGTGTGCCAGTGGTGGCAGACGTCACGATCGATGGAGATAGTGAAGATGCTTTGGCAGCCGCCGCTGGAGCAAATCAACACCGGGGTCATAGTCCCTATATCAAGGAAAATATGGTGAAACCATGTAATGATCAGCTGCAACATATACGATTTTTAGCTCCATGGCTGAATCGGTACATTATCTGTGGTAAGTCTTTCCAAATGACTCGGGATATGTATCATATGGCTGCTATTTTGGCTTCAGGAAGATCCATTAACTTGTGTGAAATAATGCTTGCCATTCTGTATCGAAGTATACATGATATTAGAAAAGCTCCAAATGAGACTGTGTTTGGTCCAGTATAGCTTTTATTCCTTTGGTTTTATATGTATTTTCCCCAATTGAGAGTAGCAGGAATTAAACCACTAGGGGGGCAGTCTCTGTGTCTGAGTGTCACACATATGGGTGTAGCCAAATATGATAGCAAATGGGTAGCTAAAGTGTTATGGGATTCTGCCCCTGAGTTACTTGTGGTACTGGGGGAATTGTCATATAAGCACTGGCATCCGACTTTCGGTGCACACGCACAGATTGAAGCAGAGTCTGGAGAATGGAATAATGATAGCGCCTCTAGCCTATCAAATGTGTGGAAGAAGTTGTTGGTACCAAGGGACCTGTATTATGGGTATAAGAGTTTATCTTCACAGACTGGTGAATGCCATATGCATGCTGAGTACTATCCAACAGTTATGGTGGCTAGACAATTTGGACTTGTGCAAGGGATCCCCTTTTTTGATGTCGGATGTAAGTATACTTGGGATTTTGGAAGAGGCAAACTGACAATGCTGGAGTATTATGAACAAAGGGAAATCATGTCAGCTAGATGTCAATCGGCGAAGGTGATGCCGTTCCAGTTAGCTTTTGAAGCTTTATGGTGTTCTACATCTTCTTGGAGGAGGTGTTGCGCACGTTATACCCGAAAGGGTTAGAAGGTGTACTGAAAGAAGTCCTGCCGATTGATGCTGACATCCCAAAACCGCATGTGGTGGATGAACCAGCTCCCCCGGTAATCATTCAGTGTGAACATATAAGATCAGATGAGTGTTGTTTTGGTAAACTAATTTGTGGTCACTTGTGTTATAGTGATACTAGGACAGAGCCCTGTGGCCGTTGGGAGTAAGAAGAATCAAAAAAGAAAGAAAACGGTACGGCCATCTCAATCTGTGAAAAGATGGACTTCTGCAAGGTTGGTTGGGTCCAAGAAAGCAACTACCAGTAGTTCCAAGGTAAGTTTTCCGCTGGTATAGAATAACAGCTAGCTATAATATGATTTCACTTGATAATGCTTGGTCTTGCAGAAAGCGCAAATGGTGAATTTATCAGCTGAGGAATCTGACGCAAGTGAACACGAAGTGGTGTCAGAGTCTATAAATGAAGATGAAGGTAGCAGTCCTGAGCAGCAAATGCATGTATCGCAAACACGGCACCCTGGTTCCAGAACCTCACAAAGGAGTGCCAAACCTGCAGCTCCGACTCCTACGATCCCTACCATCTAGGAATTGCAAAAACGCATGTTCCACCAAATGGAGGAGAAAACTGTAGAAGGGAACATTGGTGACAAAACAACACAATCTGTGGGAGCTACACTGAGAGAGCTACAAAACTTATCCAAGATCAGCGCCGAACAAGTGCACGCAGTGTAGCATCAACCCCTGAAACAGGCGTTGGAGACCATCCAAGGAAGTGACTTGTCAGAAACCGTGAAAGCAGCTGTGGCCCTATTTCTTGCAAATTTTGAACAAAAAAAGATTAGCTGTGAAATCTGTGTAAAACATGTGGAGGACTACAACCATTCAAACATGGCGCATCTTGAAGCAGACAAGACTGCAGAGTCCCTGGTGGAACAAGCAGCAGCAAATAGCGGCAAAGTCCAAAGAGTTGGCAGCAAAACAAGCGGCGCTAAAAGCAGAGTTGAAGAACATCAAAGAACAACGCCAAGAGTCCGATCTGTTGTACCAAAAGATGGCCCAACAGTGCGCTGATGTACTCAGCCTGCGAGATGACCGGGCACAAGACACAAAGGAAAAGTCTATCTACTATGAAAATGCGCAACTGATCATTGCAAAAGCAACCAAAATGTGGAACTTTCTGAAAGGGGCATTGAAAGATGTGCATGTGCCACCAGAAACTCATTCTCCTGCAGCAACGGAAGAGGCTGAAAAAGAATAAGATCTGTCGGAGGTGCAATCAGCCCAGGGGGTGGTGACCAGTGAATCCAGAGGTGCAGGTGAAGAAAATCCAGATCAACAGCAACCCCAAGTACGACTTGTGCCAAACGTACTTTGTTTTGTTTCATATTTGCTGAACAGTAGTTTTTTTGTTTATGTAGCTGCGTAATTGTGTTTTGGCACTGAAAAAGTCCTACAGTTTAGGCATAACGTTTTGCTGCAATTGCTCTAGCTTGTTCCTGATGTAGTGAATCGAGCTGCTCCCACCGAGATAAATAATACTTCTTTAAATATGTGGCATTGATAGATATCTCGCTTAACTTGCCATCGAAAGTAGCCAAAATATAGACATTGCGGCCTAAGTGACGATGAATCACAAAGGGTCCTTCCCAAGTGGGTGTCGATTTTCCTTGCTTGCGATCGCGTTGGCCAATAGGTAAAATGGCCTTCCATACTTTCTCACCAACCTTGAAACTGCGGTGTCGGACATTTTTATTGTATTGCTTAAGAACAAGACTTTTCTCGTACTCAATCTGTCTGGTTGTGTTCATCCGGATTTCTTCTATCTGATCTTGTTGAATTTGCGGGCTTAAAGTATACTCAACAGAGTCAATCGGATATTGGTTTATGACCCGTAGAGAAGGAATTAAATGTTTGATTGGAACCACTGCATCATGTCGATACACCAACTCATAAGGTGTAGTATTGGTTCCACCACATTTGGACATACGATATGCCCACAAAACCTGTGGCAGCAAATCATGCCAAGCCCTAGGGTTGTCCGAAATGTGGCGATTCAAAATATTCTTGATAATCTTGTTGCTAGCCTCGGTCTGACCGTTCCCTTGTGCAAAATACAGTGACGAATGGGTAAGGAAGAAACCAACGTCTCTGGCGAATTCCTGCATATCTGCACCAATGAAATACTGTTCGTGATCTGTAACAATGGATTATGGAATTCCAAACCGATATAGGATATGGTCTTGGATGAAACGAATAACTGCTTTTTGATTCACGTCTTTAAGGGGAATTGCTTCTACCCACTTTGTGAAGTAATTTGTGGCAACCAATATATAGCGGTGCCCATGAGAAGAAGATGGGTGAATCATGCCAATGACATTCATTGCCCAATAACGAAAAGGCCATGATTTTACTATAACTTGCATCAGTGCAGCTGGGACACGCGGGATATCTCCATGCTTCTGGCAATCAGCACAACCTCGGGCAAACAAAATACAATCTTGTGTCATGGATGGCCAGAAATACCCGTGTTGACGAATTAACCAAGCCATTTTCCAGCCGCCTTAATGGGCACCACAAGCACGTTCATGTGTTTCTTACATAATAACCATGGATTCTGGACGATCAAGACATTTGAGTAGAATTTCATCGGCGGTCTTACGGTAAAGAGTACCATCTAACCCAATCTATTGTGTAGCCCAGCTTCTGGTCTGAATGTTAGTAGGGGTTTCTAGGTTAAGAAGGAAGTGAAGAATAGGTCGTCTCCAATCACCGGCATCAACTTGTGGTTGTATTGTGTGAACTGGAACAGCTGCTTGTTCATGATAAGCAGGGAAATCAAATTTGACAATATCATATTGCCAAGAAGGATTTACCTCAAGAACATAATCAGACGCAGATTGTGCCATGGCGTTGGCCTCATGATTGTCAGGGTGCAACACATTTGTAAACGTGATCTTATCAATGTGAGATTGGAGTTCATCCTCGAGAGCCGCATATTGGGACAGAATATCATCCTTCCGCTTCATGGTATTCTTCATGCGCCCAACCACAAGAGCAGAGTTGCTAATTACTTTGACGTTGCGTGCCCCATTGTGTATCAAAGCCCGGAGATCATAAATCAAGCCCTCATATTCTGCCTGATTGTTGGTAACGTGAAAGTTCAAACCGATACATACTCGCAACACTTTGCCAAGTGGTGAATAAATAACCACTCCTGCGCCACACTTGTGAAATGTAGCAGAACCATCAAAATAAAGTCTCCACGGTGTAGTTGATACGATATCCACGTGAAAGGCCGCAACTTCAATTTCAGACCAATTATCATCTACAAAGGGGTGTGCTGCCAAAAAGTCTGTCAGCGCTTGTCCTTTAACGGATGATTGTGGTACATGCTGAAACTGAAACTCCATAAAACCTAATATCCATTGCCAATTCTACCACTCATGTTAGGACGGTTAAGCATGTACCAGACCAAGTTGACTTTAATGATGACACAAATCAATGTAGGCAACATGTTATGGCGGAGCTTGGTGGCGGCAAAATATAGCGCCAAACATAATTTTCCAATGGCAAGATATTTCTGCTCGGTGGTTGTTAACATCCGGCTGAGATAATAGATTGCCCTCTCAAAACCATCTGGACTATACTGGGCCAAGAAACAACCTAAGGAATCATCCGTGGAAGAGATATATAACTTCAAAGGACGGCCAGAAACTGGTACAACCATAACAGGTGTACGGCTTAGAGCATTCTTAATATCGTCGAAGGTTTGTTGATGTTCAGATTTCCAAACAAAATCTGTGGTGGCCTGTAATTTCAACAACGGGGAAAAAACCTTAATTTTAGATTATAAATTTGCCACAAATCGGTGCAAGAAATTAATCTTGCCAATTAAACTTTGTCACAACTTCTTGCTGTGCAGTGGTCAAGCTTCGAGGATAGCCTTAGCCTTTTCACTATCCACTTCAAAACCAAGGAAAATGCCAGATGTGACACCAAAAGCACACTTAAGGGGATTAAGCTTTAACTTATAACGGCGCATCCGCTCAAAGCAGATAGTGAGATGTCACAAGTGATCAACAAAAGAATGCGATTTCATAACCACATCATCAATATAAACTTCTAATAAATCGCCGATCAGATCATGGAAAATACAATTCATGGCCCTTTGGTATGTAGCGTTGGCATTCTTGAGACCAAACGGCATTACTTTCCATTGAAATATCTCTGGAGCACCTGGAGCGCGAAACGCGGTTTTTGGAACGTCTTCATGGGCAATATAGATCTGATTGTAACCCGTGTTGCCATCAACAAAACTAAATATCTTATATCCCACCAACCTATCAATAAGAGTTTCGGCTACGAGCATTTGATATTCATCTTTTGGAGATGCAAGGTTCAAATTACGAAAATCTGTGCAGACTCTTGTTTTGCGATTCTTCTCAATCGCCGGCACAACATTGGACAACCATTCGACATATGTTGCAACTTCGATAAAGTCAACAGCTAATAACCGTTGGATTTCCTCCTTAACCTTGCCAACCACGTCTTCAGAAAATCGCCGAGGAGGTTGTTTAAATGTTTGAATCCGGGTCGGAGGGGAATGGTGTGCTCAACTAACTTACGATCCAACCCAAGCATCTCCGTGTAATCCCAAGCAAAACAATCACAAAAAGACTTAAGCAACATTGTGAGTTATGTCTTTTCATTGTCGGACAGTGATGCACTGATATAAGCTGGCTTGGCAATTGTGCCATCACTTAAGTCAACGGTGATGACAGGATCTTTCGTAGCCATAGAACCATCTTCCAACTTGTCCGCAACGACGGTTAATTCATTGAGCTCGACAACATCATTATCTGTTTCTGGATCAACATCATAGATAACATCTTCCCAATTCACTTCTAGGTGTTCAGCCTTAAACTTGCGTCCAGCCTCAAAAAACTTCAAAACACGTTGAATTGCGTCCCGTTTCCTTAAAGCCTGTGCTAATTCCAGATCCAAAGGTGCATCATCCATAACTGATAATTGTTCAATTGTCATCATGAAGAACTTCCTCAATTGTAATAGCCTGTGTCGATGGCGGAAGCAGTTTGTAGTTCCGCGGCCTGTTGACTTCTTGCCATAACATCTTCCATTCAAGAAGTGTGCAATCACGGCGCATAATGGCCTGCATCGGTCTAGCATACTTGTTAATCCCTAACATTCGATAATGACCAACATCTTTGTCATAATAGTAAGCTTCGACAGAATTCGTCTGGTTGGTGAATGGTGATGTGTAAGCACTGATAATTTCTAGGTCGTTACTCCCCCAAAGGATAATGGCTTGGTGTAAGGAAGATGGCATACAACAGGCTGAATGTATTCAATCGTGGCCTAACAAGGCATTGTAAGATGCTTTTGTATCGACCACAAAGAAAGCTGAAACAATGGATTGCGATCCAACAGTGACTTCTAATGGTAAAATTCCTCGAGTGCTAGTAACGTCACTAGTGAAACCGTTAACAAAGATTTCTGTCGGAACTAGATCCTTCATATGTTTACCTAACTTACGCATCATCAAAAACGGAAAAACATTAATGGCGGGGCCATTATCCACCAAAACTTGTTAGAGAGACACACCATCCATAGTAGCATAGATAAACAGAGGACGTATGTGAGTAGTAGCCACATCTGTTGGTTGTGTAAGCAAAACAATGGGTAGTTGCCCAAGTCTGTCTACTATTTGAATGCCGTTCTTAACGGTGGCATCTGGAATCACTGACGGTGATGCAACATCATCCTCAAAAAGTGTCGGTCATGTCAACATCTGCAGGAGGTACTGGTGAGTCACTAGTTGGCGTGTCTGATGTTGAACGGAATGTCCGCGGCAACACGTAAACCGTATTGACGGATGGGTTATGATCGGCAACTTTGTGCCAATATTGCTTCTTCAAAGGTTGAAGGCGGTTCTCAGGCGACGGACTTATCAACATCCGCGAGTGGCGCCTAGACTGCATGTCTTTATAATAACCAGCTCTCAACCGTTGCCAGCGCCGTTTCTAAGTACGGGATAAACTTGTTGCCACAAGATGAATAGCGGGGTATTTCTGATGCTGATTACGATGCCAACGATTATCATTAACGATTTTTGGCTTAACCATTCTAGTCTGTCGCACCAGAGTTGGTGTTCTTGTTTTTGACAAACGATCCCAGACCGAAGTACCTGCAAACTCAGATGATTTCTTTGATGGCAGTCTATTGTCTCGCATGTGAGCAGGTATTTGAGGAGCTGGTACATGTACGGGAGACATGTGTCGACAGGCTGGAACAGGAACACCTGCCGACTGAAAACCCGTTTGAAAGACCTGTAGAAGTTGTGGTGGTGCCTGAGGATGATTATGAAATGTTTGTTGCTGTAGATGATTCTGCAAGATCTCTCCTGGGGCTGGTTTGTGAACCCATGTCTGTGGACGACCATCCACCATGATGGTGACTTCTTGCTGTGAAACTGGTTGATGGTAATGTCCGCTAAACCGTTGTTCCAATTCGGTCAATTGATGTTTGAATCCACCAAGAATTGTATCGCATTGCAAACAACCTATAATATTACATGCCACAAGTATGTGAAACGAACATTAATCATGTGAATCGGATGTTCTGTGGGAAATGGGTTAACATTCATCACTTTAGGATCATCTACTTTGATTTTTCCCTTCATCAATCATCTTCTGTAAGTAATTGCAGAAAATCACACAATTGTTAGTAGTATGTGTCCAAGAGATTTGGTATTTGCAATACGTTTTCCCAGCAATTTTGGATGGTTTTGGCTGCCGATACCCTTTTCTATACCTTATATGACCTGTTTTCATCATATCATCAAAAATTTCCTCTTGTTGGGTAATGTCAAAAGAGTAAATCTTAGTTGTGGCCATGTCGGAGGTTTTACCCATCGCAGCAAAAGTGGCACCTTGAGAATATGTCTGTCATACAATGGGTCTGGGCAATGCTTCACATGTATACTCCTTTAAATTAATGATCTCTGCTACATTGACATTATCCCAAGGTCGGTCTTCATCATCAGAAGAATTCCAAGCAATGTTGTTCACTTCTGCCGTAGCCTCCTTATGGAACCAGGACTTTGATTTTGTTGGCTTAGATTCTCGCTTTGCACGAATGACCTTTTCTGTATTATGGACCACTTCCATAAGCTGTGCCAGAGACCTGATTAGATGTGGTGTTACAGCCAATTTCAATTTGAAATCTTGAATACCTGATATCGCCATCTTAACTATAGTTGATTCTTCATATTTACCAGAAATGGCTCCTGGTATCTTGGCATGCATTGGTCGGAACCGAGTAAGATATGCTTCTGCCGTTTCACCAAGCTTTTGCTATACTTGTGACAAAACAACTATTGATAGCCTAGGTGTTGTACGGTAAAAATTATGAATGAACACCCGTTTCTGAGCATTCTAGTCAGCGATATATCCTGGTTCCAAGGTACGATACCAATCCAATGCTATCCCAACCAATGAATAAGGAAATAATCGCAATTTTTTAAAAAAAGATTATGTCCAGCTTCGCCACATTTCAACTCAAAGCGGCCAATGTGGTCCTCAGGCCTTTGGTCATCTTCTGAAGTGAACTTCTTGAAATCTGGCATTTTATAGTTCCTTGGCATCGGCTCAAATTCCACAAACTCGGTATAGGGTTTTCCCATTACTTCCGGAACTTCAATTCCCAACTCTTTGCGGACCATGTCTTCTACCATAGTCTTGAAACCACCCTCTGTGGTAAACATAGGTGCAGTTCCTTCTTCACGCATAAAACCATCCTGTTAGAATTCTCTTGATAAAGCAGTGCTTCCGGTTGATTCTTCCTCTGTGGATTTCTAGCCTCCCTTCTCCGAGCATTGTTCCTTGCTTTAGCCCGGTTCTGTGCCTCGTTTGCTTCATACTCAATCCACTGTTGTTCTTCTAGAATTTCTTCCACCGTAGGAACACGTCTGGGCATTATCCTCGGCACAGCTTCTTGTTGTCCTGTTTATTCCGGAATCACGATACTTGCTCCTTGTCATGGCATGGTCTGAGGTGTTTGTGGGTCGTTAGTCAGGTTTTCTTGTTGATTACCATAGCCCACAAACCTTTGATTATTATTCGGCAATGGATTTGCTATCGGTGGAGTATTAGCTATTGCCGAAACCAGTTGGACATTTACTGGAGTTGGTATAGCCTGAGTTTGTACACCGTCAATGTGTTGAAGCTGATTATTCTGCCCTTCTATAGGATTCGGTGGAAGCAATGGTCTCGATGATGGCACTATTCCCCTTGGAGGAACAAAATTACCAGCGGGTGGATAACCGGGAGCCCTTGGTGGCCATCTCATGGCCGGAACAACAGCTGTAGTTCCCTGATTAGTTGCTGGTAATTGGGGATTTCCATAATACGGTAATGGTCGACCGTCGAATGTGAAATTTCTAATAGGTGGGATGAAAGCTGGTTGACTTGGCTCAGCGCGATAATACCAGTTAGGGTTTGGTGTTGGTGCACCCTCTGGAACACCTCCTGATTGGCTTACCCCACTGGTTGTCCATCCTTGCACCGGTGTTGAAGCAGTAGAGTATAAAGGATTGTCATGTGTAAGAGCTGTAGATGGGTTCAACAATGGCACTTTTAACGACACGTCGGGTGTTATTGGTGGAGTTTCGGGTATCGCACCCCCATTAGGGTTAACCTTTTGGAGGGATTGTTCCAATGCAGCAATCCGGGCTAACATGCTTGTGATAGTGTTACTCTGTTGGCCTATAATGATATGTTCAAGACTCCGGAGTGTGTTGTATGCCAACTCTTTAGTACGTCCCCATTGGTCTAACCCTAGTTGAGCATTGAGCCATACAGTTCCATGTTCTGCCATTTGGTCAACACCTTGATTATAAGGCACCTATGAATGATAAGAACATCTTAGTTCTTGTTCCAGATTCCGATTCCCTGGTAGAATCGGAACTCCTGCCAATAGTAGCGGCTGTGTTGGCGTTACTCCTACTTCCGTAGTTGACTTCGCCACCTCCGTTGTTGACGAACTGGAAGAGGAAACTCCCGTCTGAATGGTAGTTGTTGCTGTTGTTGTTGACATTACTTCAAACCTGGTCAAGACACACAAATCAGTCCCACTGGCGCGTGCCAATTATGTTTGTGCAAAAATAATCAATAGAACTGACGTACGCTTGCAAAAAATATTAGACGAAAGTGTGTAATTCGTAAGATGATGTATTCGGCTAGGTATGAAGGAAAAGATGTGAAAACTGATAATGACTTGAATAAAAAGCTGAATATATTGCTGAATTGATAGACTTTAAATGAAATACAAGAGTAAATCGAATAATAAAGACTTGCGGAAAAGAGATTGAAATAAAAACAATAGAGTGGCAAAAGAAAGAAAAGCTTTGCAGGTTGTGTTGTAAGTGTGTTGATGATGAATTGTTGTTTGTGTCGCTCCTCCTTCTCTCTTTAAATAGGGCTCGGTAATCTTCAATGGCGGTGAGATCTCCGATTCCTACTCGAATTTGGTATTACCGATTTAGAAGTGTACTTGTATTTTGTTTCCGATTCTCTATTTCCTGCTATAAGTATAATTCCAATTGGACTTGGATTCGGCTTCTTCCTGCACCACGTTGGGCCTTCGACGCGTTTCCTTTACCGAATCGGGCATGGACTCCATATCTCTGTGTCAGATGTGGATTCTTCCCGAAGCTGGGCCGATTCACCACTTTTGTTGGGCCGGCTCGATTTTAAATAAAATCGGGGGTAACATTTTTATGATATATAACATATGAGACCGGAATATTTTGGCCAAAGTTGGATTTTAATGGAGTAATGTAGTGCCTCCTTGGTTTGAATCAAAAGAGTAATTGGAACATTGCCTTAAAATTGAATAAACAATTAAAAAATAATTTCGACAATTTTTTGAGGCTTTTGTTTTGAACTTGGGTTCCATTGTTCCTTGTTTTAACTGTAAATATGAACCAACTGGTTATTGTCCAGTTGGCAACATAAAATTATTTTAAAATATTTTCTAGTCAGAGATCCCCACTCCCCAGTTGGACTACCGCAAATAAATAATGTATTTCAAAAAAAAAAAATCAAATTACATCTTCCAGATAAAGATTACAATTATCAATTAGCAAGAAAAACTAATAAAATCAACTTTATTGGAGAAAATTTAATATGAGTGAAAGAATATCTTCCTCGGTGACATTGGAGGAAAGACAAACTGCTGTGCAAAATAATAATACTCCTTTAAAATAAGAAACACAGATTTGCATTTAGGTTAGATGTCATTCGATCGGAAGAGAGTATGTGTTTGCACATAACTTAATTAGTCGATCTTAGAGCAATCATAACGGGCACTAACTGGCACTTGAAATATATACCAGTTATCCTCCAATTAATGTTTTGTCATTGTGAACCATTTATAGGAAACCAACATTTGTTCTACAGTTACTTCCCTTTCTTTCCCAAAAAACAAAAAAAAACGTAGGGTCAGGCGCTTGCTTACTACTGTGATTGGCATTACGAAAAACAAAAGAAAAAAGAAAAACCTTTTTACTTGCTACTATCAGACAGGCTGAGGTAGAGAGACTTAGGAGTTGGGACCACATTTTATGTGGGGCATGGAAGATGCTGTTAAGAGTTGGAAGAAAATTAATGTGTATATGAAAGAAGTGAAGAAATGTTTAGTATAATTGACATTCATGTTTTAATTATTTACAAAATTGTAATTAGTGTGTGAATATTCAAATGGAAGTTTTGAAGTTTGAGAAGCAGAAATGTGTAATAAGAGTGACATTTGCACTACATTGATGGATCTTAAAGAGTTTAGAATTGTTCGATATATTTTATTTTACATTAATGTATAAGTTTTAACATTTTAAGATGGCGGCATATTATGTGAGAAAGACTTTTTAAATATGAGATATCCTTTAGATTGTAACGGGTAACATCTTGATAGTAATAAAATGAGAATTTTGAAATAAAAGTTTAATAAAACGTCAGTTGACTTATATGAGTTAATCGATCGTACAAACTTAATGAACCAGATCTACAACAGTACATCAATAGTGCAACGAGGGATTTCGAAATGCTCAATGTACAGGTTAGTCGATTTATAAATCACGTGTCACATTTAATAGAAGTTGACGGACTAAAATGTCAAATTTAAAAATAGGGAAGGCAAAAAGAAATTAATTCAAGAGTTAATGGATCACATTTGTAAATTCATTTTGAAATGTGACCACTAGAAATCACAATAAACAGATCGGCAAAATTTGGAACTCTCTCTCTTTCTCTCTCTATACCCAAACACTTTCTCTCTCACACACTCACGCAGTGACTCGCTCAGTCTGTCCTCTCTGTACAGAGCGGTCATTTCCATTTAAATACACACGGATTTGACGAGATTAAAGATACCGTTTTCCGTTTGCACATCCAATCTGAATCAACAGTGATTGATTATCGAGGTTTGGATTTGAGCCCAGGAAAATGAGCGCGGATCTGGTTGCCACCAGCACACATGGGAACCTGGACGAGCAGATTTCTCAGCTTATGCAGTGTAAACCTTTGTCCGAGCCTGAGGTAAAACCTTTGTTCGATGTTGTTTTCTCATTGTTGCATGATTTTCTTTCCAGTTTTTTAGATTTAATTGCGCCATCTTTCGTTCTGCGGATCTGAAATTAAGATTTCTTGCCTTCATAGATTCTTGGAGGGATTTCTGCTGCAATTTCGGAATTTGTGATTTGTGTTTTTTGGGATTCTATTAATTATCACCACAAAGTTTGGAATTCTTGTTCTTTTTTCTTTCTCTGTGTGATGGTATATCAAGACTGCCGGTGGATTGTTTGTTTTTCCTATTTTTTTCCGTATTAAATAGATTATCGTTGGGTAGCTTACTTACCACATGAAGCCGTTGGCAGCTGGGAAATGAGTAGTTTGATGGGTTTGGAGACCGTGTTAAATGGCATGAAGGATCTGCAGAGAAATGGATGCCCATGTGGCTAAGTTATTTGGGGTAGAGGTGGGCTTTTGATGCGGGAAGCTAGTGGATTTTTTTTTTCTTTGATTTCCCTAATTGTCAAACCTTTGCCCTTTAGAAAATGAGTTTTTTCTCATCAGGCTGTTACTGGTTCTATGTGCATTGAGCTTTGTTAGCTTAATGGAAGTGTGCCGTAACTTTGGTTTCTCAGATGGTGAGAAAGCAACCAGGCTGGTACAGGTCAGAGAAAAGTTACACGAAATGAATAGAGAATGAATTGGAGTTCCTTATGGGCTAGGCCTGATGTGCACAGTTATGGGAGAAGATGGAAGTAACTTGGGAAATTTGCTGGGGTATGCATAGTTATGGGCCTTATAATGCTTTTTTAAAGTTATGTTTATGTTGATGTAGGTCTTTGTTGGAAACCTTAAATGGATAAATTTTGGTCTTGACCTAAGGTAAACTTAAAAAGTAAATGTTCTATGATAGGAGAGACTAAGATACCATATGTTCTTTGTGATACATTCAAGATTGTCTTCCACTTAAAGCCCCTAACCTGGTTCTTAGTAACTCAAATTGGTAGGAGGGCCCCATTTATGCTTCTTTTCCCCGTCTCTTTCTTTAGATTGATGTGTTCTGGCATTGTAGTCGTGCATGATTTGAGATACCATGGAATAAAGTAGTATTCTTTTTACATGATTATAGATGCTTATATGTCTAATAACCCTGGAAAAATTTTCATTCCTTTTGAATTCCAGTTCTGGAAGCTTTAAAATCGTACAATATCTTAATGTATATTTTTTCACTAAATACAGGTTAGGACTCTGTGTGAGAAGGCAAAGGAGATACTAACGGAGGAAAGTAACGTTCAGGTGTGTACTTGGCTCTAGTCTGCTCTCCTCCCCTCCTCTTTTCTGCCTTCATCATATTAGACCTTAGTACTCATATGTTGCTGTACTAAGAAGCCATTAGATTCTGAGCTTGAATATGAGTTTTCTTGAAGCATATTTTCCTTTTCTTTTGAATTAATCATGTAAAGTTTAGGAGTTTCCTATCCCTCTCTTCCCGAAAAACCTTACTAAGTTCCTGTTTTAGAATGTAAGGAGATGAGAACAGCTGTCTTTGAGAATCCTGAAACTTTTCTCTATTCGCACCCCTTGAAACTTTTTCTGCCATAGAGATGTGTAATTGTCTGCAATTTAAATTTGATCTTGGTTTGTCTGACATGCAGCCTGTAAAAAGCCCAGTCACCATTTGTGGTGACATACACGGTCAATTTCATGATTTGGCAGAGCTTTTCCGGATTGGAGGAAAGGTACTTGATATTTCATTTTTATCCGCTATATTTGTCTAAGATCTAGCTGAAGTGAATGAGCCATATAAGGAATTTGGTTGAAATAGTCCTAACACTGAGTCTTGCTCTTGTAGCAGATTGTATTTTAACCGTCATTTGTTATGGTATCAGAAGATTGTGTTTATCTCTGTGATAATTATAAGCTAAAAATTTTGGACCTTTTTACTGTCCTTGTATTCCTGTATGCATGTCATTTGTTGCTAGTAGCAGTTTCTATTTTAAGATTCCTATATTTATTATGGTCAACGTTTGTGTTTATCTCTATGTTACTTGCTTTAAGTTAAAAATTTTGGATTTTTTTCTTTATCTTGTATGTGTGCCATTTATTTTTCCTATTCGTGTAAGACCTTAACCAAGTTAAGTCTCACGTCCGTTTTTCCTTTTTGTGTATTTTCTGCACTTCTGCCGTATTTGATGTAATTCATGCTTGTTGACAGTGTCCAGATACAAACTATCTCTTCATGGGGGATTACGTGGATCGTGGGTATTATTCAGTTGAAACTGTTACTGTAAGTACGCGCATAACCACATATGATCTGATGTATCGCTCACTCTACAGTAATATATTTGTTACTTAAATTAGATTTTCTTATTGTATCTTTTCGTAAATCAATTAACTTAGTGGCATATAACTTTGGAATGTCCCAGTAAGTTTGAAGCTGGATTGAATTTTATGCTGAGAGAAAGTAAAGAACATTGAATGGATATTGTAATTCGAATATTATTTTGTGTTATCATTCTACATTTGTTTGTAATTGGAGTAATGCATGTATCATTTTGTTTATCCTTGAGATAAGATACGTCCAATTTTGTAGCACTATCGTGACTGTTAAGAGGGCCATTAGCGGAACTCAACTATTAGGCGCTTTACACTTAAGGTTGGATATTGCCTGTGAATTTGATTGGTTAAAACTCCCCTCCCCCATTTTGAGTTGTTATTTGTGATTCTGGAAGATAGTAACTGGTTTTAGATGTAATTAAAAGGAGAACCATAAATTGTTGGACAAGTATATTTGAGTGGTCAGAAGCACATTCAGTTATCATTTATGTTATAGGTCATTGCAGTTTCTTAGGTGAATTTCGAATGTACTTCATTGTATAATTACTGAATTTTATGCGCATGTTCTGTGCAGCTTTTAGTGGCTTTGAAGGTCCGTTATCCACAAAGAATCACCATTCTCCGAGGGAATCATGAGAGTCGGCAGGTGCTAGTCTACGTCTTTGATTGCATTCTTTCAATTAGGCTGAAATGCGCCTGCTTGTTGTCCCAATACCAAATTGTCTTTTAGGTTTTTGATTTATAGCTTTAAACTTTTTCATTCTGTTGGGTGTTTTAGTACTTTTGGCTATGATAAGGGATATGCCAAGTACTTGATGAAGGGTTATATTATAAAAGACCAAACTAAATTCCTCGTCTCAAATGGATTAAATATTATATGCTTCTTTTAGTGCCTTCCAAATAGTATTTCAGGACTTGTTTTAATCTTTAGTAATCTTTCCCACTGTATGGACGGTGCAATTTTGGAAGGAAAAACTTTAGATGTTTCCAGTTATTTGGAAGTTTGTGGTAGACATGAAACTTTTACAAGTTGCGCGGATCGTGTCAGGAAGCTGACATTTGAGCCAGAAGAAGATTCTGCCCTTCTTTTTTAGTTATGTGGATGCTGATTTTTTGAAAATTTTCAATTTTTTAAAATATTTTTATGGTTGGTATGCTTACGGGGTTGTAAATTAAAATGCTCCTGGTGAGGGCAGTAAACTGAGGACTTTGTCTTATAGTATGTGTCAATGGAAAGCCATTCTTTTCCTATTCAGCTGTTTCTGATTGTATTTTCTTTGATTTTTAATGCCTCAGAATCTCAGATGATTAGGTTTTCATTTTAGTAAGAATGACTTTATTTGATTTTCACCTGAACTGGGATGTGGACATAGTGCTCAAGACTGGCGGTTTTAGCTGAAGTGTTTGTAATGTAGCTGTAAAAGTTTCATGTTAGTCTTGTACATGATTTCTGACTTTGTTTTCACATTACTTGGGTGAATGCACATAAACCACAGTATATTTACACTTCAGTTACTTTAGTAATTGATATTAATTTCCTGAGGTGAATTTATCTTTATCTACACTTTGTATTTCTTAGTTGCTTTGAGTTCTCATGTTTATGTTGTACCAAAATCTTCCTTTATCATATCCAATTAACATATTGATGTACACAGAAATTCATAGTTGAAATGTTCAGGAGGTGAAATCATCTTTTAATTTTTCCCTTCTCTGCAGATTACACAAGTCTATGGATTTTATGACGAGTGCTTGCGGAAGTAAGTTGTACTTCTGTAGTGTTCATCTACCTTCTCCCCCAGTCTGTATTTTGTAGTCCTGGAACAATTTTAGAGAACAGTTCAAACCTTCCTCTGATGATCATCCACTTTTCCTTCGCAGATATGGAAATGCTAATGTCTGGAAGACTTTCACTGATCTTTTTGATTATTTCCCGTTGACTGCACTGGTTAGTCGGTTTTCATTGTTTACCATTTGGTTTGGTGATGGTGTTTTTATGCTTTGGTATTATTTCTGGGAATGTCATTTTTTACATGCTACTAGTAACTTTAGAGGATTAATTGGATTGGTGGGATGAAATGAAAATGTGAAAGTAGACTTGGATGTCTTGTGCAGATGTGAACACCATTTGGTCTTGTGTATCCTTGTTAAGAAGTAACTTTCTCTACTTTTAAGGGCTAATAGACCTTATTCTTAAAAAATGATGGTGAAATTGTTGGAGGTTTTAATAATTCCTTCTTTTTGTATTCTTTTTCTGTTTTTTAAAACTTGAATCCTATATTCTTATCCTTCAGAGCTGTTCCTGCACAGTGCGTTAGGGACTATTTCTTGTCATTTTTTGTTGTATCTAGTCCTTTGTCCAGATAAAGGAAAGCGTGCCTTCCCTTCCAGTATTCAATGAAATGGATAAATCCTAGAGATTTGTGATTACTTTCTTTCTGGGCATCTTCATTGGCTTGTTGGAAATAAGATGTCAATCTTTCCTTGAGCTTCAGTGATGGTTACCATCTTTACAAGCTACACGATGGTTTTTATATCTTGTAGCTGTTAAATCATTTATGTTTGGTATCTCATTGTGCGTAAATTGATGTTTCATTTCTGTACTAATCCTATTTCTTGTTCTCCTATGATTCTTGTAGCTTAGAATATATATGACAATCTCTCTGGTTCATTGTTGTCAGCATGCTTCATTGATTTCAATTTGCTTGCGAATGATGATTTTGTGTTGCTAATCTGATACATTGAATTTCACTGAAATGCTAGGTTGAATCTGAAATATTCTGTTTGCATGGTGGATTGTCCCCATCTATTGAAACCCTGGATCACATCAGAAATTTTGATCGTGTTCAAGAAGTTCCCCATGAAGGTCCTATGTGTGATCTGTTGTGGTCTGACCCAGATGATCGTTGTGGTTGGGGAATATCTCCACGAGGTGCTGGATACACATTTGGCCAGGTACCTTCTGATGTCACTGTCAGTTTTCTTTTTCATTGGTCTTCATTGGGCTGTGTTTGGAAAGGATTTTGGAAAGGAATATATATCTATTCTGGAAAAGAGAAGAGACTTGAAGAGATTGTTTTGTTTTGCTAGGAATTTTTTCAAAATAATGCCAGGATATGTGGATGGAAGTAGAATTTTAAATTTCATTGTATGTATATTGTTTGGATGATGTGTTTTCTCAAATAAAAAGTTCACTTTTCTTAGGAAATGTCCCTAAACAAACTTCTGTATTTCATCTAGGACATCTCCGAACAATTCAATCATAATAACAACTTAAAGCTCATTGCAAGAGCTCACCAGCTGGTGATGGAAGGCTATAATTGGAGCCACGTAAGTAACTAACCTCCGTGTGGTGATCACACTACTTGGATTTTTAAAAATCTGAATTATGTGGTTATTGATTGGAATATGATTTGCAGGAACAAAAGGTGGTTACTATTTTTAGTGCGCCAAATTATTGTTATCGTTGTGGAAATATGGCATCTATATTAGAAGTTGATGATTGCAGAGAGCACACATTCATCCAGGTCTTTTTTTCACCTCTTAAATTTGTGCATTTGTGCTTCTGTATATAGAGTTATTCATGCTTTATTAGATACAGGATCGTGCAAATTAGGAATTTCAGTATATATATGTATATATATTTATATCCTCCTGTATCAAATTGTAAATTTTGTGGTCAACCATGGAATATGTGCAGTTTGAACCAGCTCCTAGAAGGGGAGAACCTGATGTGACCCGGAGAACACCTGATTATTTCCTGTAAATTTTTGGTAGTATTTTCTGACGTGGCTGTAAGGCTATGAGCTGCATGATAGGAGGACTTGTCACCCGAATCTTAATTTTGCCCATCACCAGCCAGCCGCCTGACATTTGTGAGGAAGCCAAGAGGTTCACAGAAATATAAGCAAGGCTGGAGTTGTTTGTTAAGTTATATTCTAACCTAGGAATCTAGGCGATGGAAGTTCAGCGAATTTGTATTGTATTTTCTTCTTTCTGCCCTTTGTTCCCCCTCTTAATTTTCGTAATTATTGTTTCCCTCGTTGGTTGTCAGACGCTTTGTTCTATAAATGAACTGATCTTATTTTCATAGATGCATTTTGTGGACCGGCGTCATAGTTTCACTCTATATGAGGGAGTTCGTTTATTTTTTATTTTTGCTGGACTTGATTTGCGATTTTCTTCACCCTATAGTTGTTTAGTGAACTATGTTTTGGGAATTCAATTTGGGAACAACAGCTGACATGTTTCGTGATTGCTTATGTCGAAAAAGGAAGATAAACTTTTTGGATGTTCTTCATGCTGGGTTTCATAGGGTGAAAATTCGATTCCTTTGGGATGATTTTGTAACTTTGTTTAATTTGAATCTTTTTTCTAACAGTTGAATACTTGAATTGCGTGAACAACCCCAACGTTTTGATATCCTCAATTACAAAAAAGAATATTTGGTGATTCAGTCCCGAGTATTCTCTCTTTATAAAGCTTTAAAATCTGTTTAAATTCATAATTAAATTGGTTCAAACCTTCAATTGTGATAACTGATAACATTTTTATTTTCATTTTTCCTAAAGAGAAAAGTTGATTATACTAAATGGCTGTGTTTCTTTAGTCCATTCTACTATTAAAATGTCTAATCCGGAATTCTGCCAAAATCAAATGAGAAAGGACTTATGAGAACACTCACTTTAGAAGTTTTCAACTTTTTATTACCAATTTAACTTTTTATTACCAAAAAAAAAAAAAAAAAGGCCCAGTGAAGGTAATACTTGTTCGGTTGTTCCATCTCAATTTGGTACACAACTATTTTTAGATCAATGGGAGTAAATTTTTATTACTCAATATCCCTTCATGGATCAGCCAGAACACTAACTTTACTCAAATTTATTTCAATCTCCTGTTGAAACTCTCCTCCGAAATAAAAATGTCTGCATATGATTTGGATGTCCTTCTAACCTTCGTGTTTTGTCTGCTTTGATCACTTTTATGATCTCTCAATCTAGACAAATATAAATAATCCAATTATTTAACATAGGCCTAATTAATTTACACACAATACTGGCCTGATTTTGGTTCAAGGTCAAATGTCATGTATTTATATTGATCAATATTGGCGTTATAACGTAAGGAGAAATGTTGCTACCATTTAAGCGTAAAAAAAGATTTTCAATAAATTATCCTTAGATTTAAGGAAAAACACCCCTAAGATTTATCATTGGCCATCTCTAAACATACCACATAAATACTGCATATCCGGGGTTTTTGAAAAGAACTAGTTCACAATCAATCATATTCAAACTATGTATTAAATGCCCTCCAGATAACTAGTTACTATTTTACTATTTTACAACGAGGTGATCCTCTAACACGATGCTCCAATTCCATCAATTGTTTTCAAGAAACATACATCCTACTTGCTATTTTGAAGATTGCATCATGGGCATGTCCTCGCAAGTTTTGATCTTGCTCATTCCTTCAGCTATTCCAATCAGGATGGCAAAATAATTCTTGGAATCTCTCCCAAACTCCTTTTACCTTCTTGAAGGTCCAAATAAATCCACATGTAATTCTACCTCAAAACTAAATAATTCTTGAAATCCCTCTCAAACTCCTATTCTTGGAATCTCTCCCAAACTCCTTTCACCTTGTTGAAGGCCCAAATAAATTCACCTGTAGTTTCACTCCAAAACCAATTGAATGAAGGAAGTAACACATGAGTAAATATGTTGAGTTCAAGAGTCTCCATCCATCCATGTGGGACAAAGGAACATGAGGCCATTGTTTTTTTTTATTCATTTAATACGCTCCTCTCAAACCTAATGAGTTTGGACGGATAATTTTATATATATATTTAATTTTTTTCAGTTCTACAATCGGTTATTTTTCCAGATAATCCGTCGCCGGCCGAGCCAGTCAAAGTTCAAAGTCAAACCCCGGATTTCTTCTGTGGGTTGGTCAAAGTTTCAAGGCCCAGGGTTAGTCAAAGTTCAAAGTCAAACCCCGAGTTTCTTCCGTGGGTTGGTTAAAGTTTCAAGACCCAATCTGGGTCAGTCCACTTCGCCCCACAAGTCCTACAGATCCGCGAATTAAAATCCGCTCTGATACCATCTTGAAGGCTCAAATAAGCCCACATGTGATTCTACCTCAAAACCAATTGACAATGAAGGAAATAGCACGTGGGTATATATGTTGAGTTCAAGAGTCTCTGTCCATCTACGTGGGACAAAGGAATATGAGGTCATTTTCTTTTTTTCATTCATTTAACACACCTTCATCAAGTAACTTTGCAAGTCCCTTGAGACAAACAAGGACCTCAACATCTCTTTCCGTAAGAAAACCGCACAAAAATGGTACACAATCCTTAGAAATCAAAGTCCTGTCAATCATATAAAAGAAAAGAACAAACCATTATATTGATGTACAAAATGCCAAATAATAATTTTAGAGGAGAAGACGATGAAGTTATTACATGATTTGGTTGAGGGTTCCATGAGAGAAAGCATTTGAGACTGCCAACACAGCTTTTCTCCTTAAATGATAGGGGGATCTAGTCTTAGCAAATGATCAATCACAGCCTGTCATACCAGAAAAAAAGTTAAGCTAACTACGTAAAAAACAATTTCTATATACATTGGTAACTATAAGAAAAAGAGACTCCACCTGAATCTGCTGCTCATTTCCACAAGTAATGTTGGATATAATCCAACAAATTTCTTCTTTCATCCACATTTCAGAATGAACCAACCGTTCCAACAAGACATCAACCAAGCCATTATCAATTAAATAAATGCTGCATATGATCGAGTAAACACAACAAAATCACATCATTTTGGACCATATTTCCATTAACAAACTTAGAAATATTTGTTTTGATGTACGATTACTTAAAATATGCATATGAATTAGTACGCAAATACAAATCAGCAAGTTTTGGGATGTCATACAAGTTAGTTGGCAATCAACATATTCTTTTGTCTTAATCTACTTAGGGATACATATACGGCATACATAAACATGCCCATGGAGCGCAATATTTAAATGTAAAATTGTGCAAAATAAACCAACTAAATATACCTCGAGTTTCCTCCTCTCCACCTCTTACAACATTTCCAATAATACGAAGTGCAGGAAATTGTACGGAAAGACATTCATGTCTGAAAAATAATAAATTAAATATTATAATTTGTTTTGTATTATAAATCCATCTATAAAAGAAAAACCAAGGAGGAAGTAAAACATACCGCACTAGTTTCAAAACAATCAAACAAAGTCCCTTGTCGTCAATTACAGCTCAGAAATCATGTTTAGAAAGAGATGACAGGGCACAACATGCATACGTTAACACCATCTCATCCTCAGATATTCTCATGAGATCCAGGGCAATTTGGAACTAATTAACAAGAAATATAAGTTAAAGATAGTATTAATCGGCAATCGCACAACAATGGAAAAGAAAGACAAATTTAATATGCAATATCAAATCTGGAGCCGTGGAGAAATGTTCAACTTTAGTAACTTGACAAGCTCAGGACCTAACCCAGATGGAAGATCCTTACCCTGCTTCTTAATGCCTCCTTACCCAAATTTTTCTGGCATGAAGCGTTTGCAACAGCTGTTTATCTTATAAATCTTCTTCCTTCTCCACTTCTCCAAAGAAAATCTCTTCATGAACTTCTTTTTCATGCACCACCAAAACTCTTTCACCTTCGAGTCTTTGGATGTACATGTTTCCCTTTTCTCGGTTCCACCCGAACTGATAAACTCACCCCTAAATCAACCCCGTGCATTTTTATTGGTTACTCTCCATCATACAAAGGGTATCGGTGTTTTGATCCTCAAACATCCAAGGTTTACGTTTCACGTCATGTTCGCTTTCTTGAAACACAGTTCCCTTACAAAGATGTTCCCTCCGCCTCAACTTCTAGTCCTTCCCAACCTTCTAAACCTACACTTCATCTTCCAGTTCCGTCACCTTCCCCACCATCTCACCCGCTTCCTACTACACCACCATTGTAGCCACTACTGCCATCCCCACAACCTTTATCATCACCGTCAGCATCACCATTACCAACTGCCGCCGCCTCTGCCACCAATCTCCCGACACTCAAAGACTACCCAGTCTCAAACCAACACCCGACCTGCACCCCCTAATCATCTTTCTAACTATGTTACTTACCATACGACCACTACTCCTAATCCTGATCCTACTTCTTTGACTCAGGCCAATCGTTTTCCTCATTGACATCAAGCTATGCTTGATGAATACCAAGCTCTTCATCGTAATCACACATGGTCCCTTGTGCCACCACCACGCAATACTAACATCATTGGGTGTAAATGGGTCTTTCGCACTAAATACAAAGCTAATGGCACCATTGACCGCTATAGACCTGCCTAGTAGCTAAGGGTTATCATCAATCTCCCGGTATTGACTATACGGATACTTTCAGTCCCATTGTCAAACCCACTATATCATTCTTACCCTTTCCCTTAGTCAGAATTGGTCCATTCGTCAACTTGATGTTAACAACACTTTCCTTCATGGAACTCTCTCTGAACCTGTTTATATGACCTAACCTCTTGGTTTTGTTCACCCTCATAATCCCCACCTTGTCTGTCGCCTTCACAAGGCACTCTACGGCCTCAAACAAGCTCCACATGCTTGGTTTCATGAGTTAAAACAAAAACTTCTTCACTTGACAAACCAAATCTGACACCTCTCTTTTCATTCATAGCACCCCTACTGACATCACTTTTCTCTTAGTTATGTGGATGATATCTTGGTTACTAGTTCTTCACAAACTTTCATCGCTTCCCTTGTCCAAGACCTCAATGATGCTTTTACCATTAAAGATCTTAGCCCTCTTCACTACTTTCTTGGCATCGAAGCCACTTCTCAGCCTAATGGTCTTCTCCTCACTCAAACCAAATACACCAAAGATCTTCTCAACCGTACTCATCTTGATACCTTTAAACCTATCCACACCCCTATAACCGCTACTTTACCCTTATCTAAAAACCATAGCATACCTCTATCAGATCCCACTGAATACCGCAGCACGGTTGGTGCCCTTCAATACCTTTGCCTTACTCGACCTGATATTCAATTTGCAGTCAATAAAGTTTCCCAGTTCCTTCATTGTCCCACTGATATACATTGGTCCGCGGTTAAACGGATTCTTCGCTACTTGCATTCCACTCCAACTCATGGCATTCTTTTTACCAAAACCTCTCATTTGGCACTGAATACCTACTCTGATGATGAACGGGCTGGCTGTCCTGATGATCAAAGTTCCACCTCTGGTTATTGTATTTATTTGGGATCTAATCTTATTTCTTGGAGTGCTAAAAAACAACCAACAGTTGCACGATCTAATACAGAAGCTGAATATCGTAGTGTAGCTCTTGTTGCTGCTGAACTTTGTTGGATTCGCTCTCTACTTGGGGAAATTGGTTTGCCAAACCTCAAACCCACCCTTTGGTGTGATAATATTAGTGTAACCTTCTTTGCTGCCGATCCAGTGTCTCATGCTCGATCTAAACACATTGAAATTGATATTCACTTTGTCCGAGATTTGCTCAGAAGACTCTGTCTATTCGCCACATTCGCTCTGCTGATCAAATTGCTGATATCATGAGTAAAGCACTCTCCTCTGCTGCCTTTCACAAATTTCGTGACAAGCTCACTATCCTTTCGACCTTGAGCTTGAGAGGGATGATAAACATAATGAATCCCGTGATTTAAGTCTTGACAGAATATGAGAAATAATTCTCATTTGCTGTAAATTATTCTCATTCATTGTATTTAAATGTAATAGCTAGAATCATGTAATTAGTTTTATTCTTTGTAAATCTTATCCCTTTTACCAAATGAATTGCATATATAGAGGTGTAGTAGTATAAACGACAATCAATGAAAACATCACCACTTTCTCTACTATTTTATCATTTTTTCAGTTTAGTTGTTTAGCAACCGGCTTTGGTACTGCATTTTCGTGAATCACGGGTTAAATGCTTTGGTACTGCTGTTTAGCTGGCGAACAAGTGGACGAGCTCATTGCCCGTCCCGGGGTAACTCGGGATGGGTGGACCGCCCGGTCGGTCAGTTTTTTTTTTTTTTTAATTTTTCAATTTTTTTAATTTTTTCTCTAGTCAAGTTATTTGATTTGAAAAAATAATAAGGGTAAAATGGTTCAAATTCAAAATATGTGCCTTCAAATGATAAAAGTGGTGGCTTTGAAAATAAACACTCATTAAAAAGAACTGACTAATGATGATAAGCCATCGCACTAGAAGGTTTTATTCCCGCATATCATTTACCCATTAAACTTGTGTTTTAATTACTCCAAAAAAAAAAAAAAAAGAATCGGATTAGTCCTTAGATCGAAGCACTTCAGTCTTGGTCACGTGTTAGAAATGAAGTGTTTGGTCTGACGTAACACTTCTCAATTCTCACTTGAGGGACAAAGCAATGTAAGACATCAAAATTAAAAGACTATCTGAGTTTATTATTTTCGCATCTAAAATAGAATTAAAATACTTAATATGTCTGTAAAAAAACAAATCACCAGATATGAATTGTGATAGTAGTTCAGCTGAAATTTATTTAAAAAAAAAAAAAAGAAAAAGAAAGAAAGAAAGAAATAATGCAAGTCCGCATTAGTTCATGATATATGGAACGCTATAGCTAGCCAACGAAATTATTGCAATCAATAAACAAACCACATCAGAATGGTCGCACATTTTAAACCAAGAATGGTGCACACATCTAGATAGAAATACAACTCTGATCCAAGAAAAACGTTCAGTTTATCATACTGAAAAAATATAATAAATTTCGAAACAGAGATAATAATTTTTACATCTTCGTATCCTACGAATCAAATCTTACTTTTAACTCGAAACAAATGATTTTTTATGAAAACCCGATTCGGATTTTCGTTTAAGCTTAACCAAATGGCTCAAAACTTTAGCATAACGACTCACCATTCGTTTCAACTTCAACCTATTCGAACCTTCTTGATCATGCACTTTAACGATCAACGGGAGATTTTTTTCTTCATCCGAGAAATGTTGGCTCAGGCTATTCCTTCCTCCATTGATCAGCTCTTTCAAGCTTTTCTTGTTGTCGTCATCTTCACGAACTAATTCGTCGCGATTCGTGTGATCCTCCTCTTGTTCTTTTTCCACGACAACAAATTCTTCCTCTCCTGCAGGCATTGCTTGAATCGGATCAATATTAACATGATCTTGCTCTACAAAATTCATGGACGATTTTCGAGTTCTCTTTGACATTGCTATATCATAATGGAATTTACTTGGCTTGAATTGATCACTTTCCATTTTCTCAAGAGGAAATTAATGAGTTGCCTTGTTATGAAATATGAATTTGGTGTTTTATCAACCAAATTGAAGGCCATTTTACCAACAAATTTTCAAAAGGGTAAAACGTCAATTTTTCTTGGAAGGTCTGGTGCTTTCTTTTGGTTATGACTTGTCAATTTGCTTCCTAAACCGAAAAGATGAAGAGCGTTTATTTTGCTGAAGCAATTGATCATTTTTAGTTTCATATATGTTTCTTTTGGTTGAAATTTTACCTCTACCATTCATGAATTTAGCTGTGAAACTTAAGCACCATAAAAGCTGCTTACCTTTCACTATCCTCTAAAGCCAATAAGTCTGATGTTTTTGCTTAGCCACCTGTGAAGGTAGGTTAGAAATGGAATCAATCAATCAATACTAGTGTGACAAGTGAAGTTGAAGCAAACTATTTTATTTTGTTTTTATTATACTTTTTATTTTAAAACTATAATAATACAAATCTATATTCATTTGGAATACCGTGCTTGTTTGGACGTCATCTTACATTTTATTTTGCCACTTAAAAGTGGAAAGTATTTCAAGTTGAAAACTAAATAGGAAATGAAAATGTTGTTTGGATGGTATTTTGAGCAAAGAGTTGTTTGGATGTTGGTTTTGAAAAAATATTTTGAACTACATTTTGAAACATCAAGTACAAATCATCACTAAACAATTAAATATTGTCAATTATAGTCACTTTAAAAAAGAACTTTTTCAAAAACAATCACTAAACAACAGAAACCTAGCAAATTTGTCACTTTAAGATTTTCCTTTGTTAGATTTCGTCACTAAACTACTTCTTTTTCAAAAATGGTCATTACACTGACAAAAAGTGTTTCAAGTTGGAATTTAAAATGTAAATCAGAAAGTTGTTTGGATGATATTTTCTTTTCTATTGGGTTTTGTGTTTAAGAGGTAAAATGAGTTAAAATGTAAAATAGGTTTACAAACAAACAAGCACGGTATTTAACCATTTTAAATTAAAAATAAAACGGAATACGATATTCAGCAGTTTTAAATTAAAACTAGAATGAAAACAAAAACCTTATTAGCACAAATAAACAGCCTCATGTTTTCTTATCATACTGCGATGTGGGTGAAATGCATTTTTATTTTTTTTTTGTTTTGTTAGCAAGTAGGTCTCAATATGCTCTTTTTTTCTTTTTTTTCTTTTTTTAAGATCATGATCCGTAAATTATCACTTCCCTTTTTGAATCAAAGTCCCCCCATGTTCAGGAAAGTTTGCTAGTTTCCCTGTCCCTATTAAAATGGAATGAAGAGAATGATTTTATGGCCGGTGATAATGCCATCTTCTTAACTTATTAGACTATGAATGTTGTGTTCATATTTGTCAGTGAACTAAAAGCACAAATTCTTTAAGATGATGAGAAAGCGATCAGAGCCAATTTCGCTTTGGAACTCATTGTTGTAATTAACGTCCATTTGCCCCTTCACATGTACTTCCCATATCAAAAGAGAAATTGGAAGAAAGGTTGGCAGTGTTTGACCCAGTGTAATCGAGAAATAATATCCATCTCTTTAATTATGCACACAATAGGGGGGGTGGGAAATCGAACACAAAAACAATAGGAATGAAGGTTTTTTCCACTAATGTTGTTGTTGTCTCGGTCTTATATGTGTAAGGTAGTCGGTTGGAATATGAAAACAGAAGGGGAAGTGACAAACCCGCGAGAAAAGAATTAGGGACTCATTGAGAGTGAAGAGTATTTTTTTTTATTTTTTTTTTTGGTGAACACAAAACTAAAATTTGCGCTTGCAATAGTGCCAGTCTAATTTTATTCGTGGTATAAAAATTCTAATTAGGTTGTCATGATCAAGATTTAAATGTATTAATCTTGTTGCCTAACTCTTGCAAAATTGTAGTGGCTAGACGCAGCAATCAACGAATGCAATGTCAATGTCAAACAAATTTCAATTTCCGATGCTATTTTTCTTGAAAAAGTTTTTAATGCAATCGATTCTAATCTAAGGATATGTTTGTTTCGTTTATTTAATGTGTGTTTTTAAGTGTTTTTTATATTGGAATATATAAAAAGATGTATTAGAAATGTAAAAAGGTATGTTAAGATGTGATAGTTATTATTATTTAATTCTGAAAAAACCAACTAAAAAAGAAAACAAACAAAAATGTCATTGTAATTTTCAGAAATTAAAATCTAACAACTACTTATAAGGTCATTAGTTGAACTTGCCAGTTAAGGCTTAATTTACAAAAAAAAATTTCTCATACTCCTTGTATCATTAATCCAAGATCCAAAACTCTTGATATAAATAGTGGTGAAGTGGATGTGGCTACCAGTACCAGTAGAAGCGCCAGTCCCACGAACTAATGGGGCTCCAAAAACCTTGTAACACAAGAAGAACTTATCAAATGCAGAGGGAAAAAGGAAGAGATATATGTTGAGAATTTTTTATGAACAATTTTTCAATTCTATGTGGAGTATGGACCCCCTTAAAAAAGCTTTCTGTTTTGCTGGCAATGGTTCACAATTTGGATTTAATTCCGAAAGAAAAAGAATTCCTTCAATTGTTGTAAGTGGGGCACCATAAAACCTCCCCTTTTTCTATCCAAATAATTAAACAAGAAGCCGTCACTGTCTGAATCTTCTGACAATTTTAGTTCCAGGAAGATGCATATAATATTTGTGCTTTATTTCAGATCAACTGATAGGTCGCTTTCTTGGCTTGTGACTTGAGCTATGATCGGAAGCAGTTGTAAGCTAGCTTGTCAGGGTTTCACTTCATTTACCATTTTCTCCCTTGATAAACTCAATTGAGCTATATTATTAGGTATAGTTTATGAAATAAAAATACTTACTCTATCGTAAAATAATTAAAAACACATTATGTTTATGATCACTTGAATCAACATGACTCGCACTTCACACATAAGTAATTTCTACTACCCTCTTTAGATTAATGACTTGGAGGTTAAAGATTACAGCAGGGGATTTTAGTCTATATTCTTACTCCTTGATCTTTATTGAAACTTATCCATGCTTTATGATCCAACTGCAAATATATTTCTTAAACATAGAAGGCTTAAGTAGTGGTTGTACAGTCACTTAAGCATAATAATTGCAAATAGGTAGATAGGTTAATGGTAACTTCAATTAATCTAGCTATCTCATTGAAGATTTCCAATCCCTTTCTCATTTTACCATATTTCCAACCTCAAGAATTGAAAGGAAATCTTTTTTGTAGGCGATAATAAATCAGTTTATAAATAATATTACTTTCAGCCTAAACGATTGTACAGTTTGAATTTTCATTGTTAGTTCAATTTGTTTTAAAAAATTATGATAAAGAAATATATACTAAATAAAGCCGTATTACATCTTTTATATTCCTTCTGTCCCAACATAGAGAGTATTATACCATTTATAATAAATAAAATTTTTTATTTGAAACGGATAGAATATATATTTCAGGTCGAATAAAAAAAAAAAAAAAAAACTAGTCATAGTAGTTGTAAAATTTTTGAAACTCTTCACTCCTAATTCACGTGAGTCAACGCAGTGCATTAAATGTTCACTGTATTCTAGTTTTGAATTCAAATCAAAACCTTCATTTCATCCATTTTGTAAATCCACATAATGTTGTCACCTCGAACATGATCAAATTTAAAGCAAACCCACTCGAAAACATTCATCTCATCAATAACTTCTAGGAAAACTTCAATCCAAAAAGGCAAAAACTTGAAGCAAAATCATTAATAATTAAAAGGGGCAGGGGCAGTTTGGCCCAAAAGAAAAGATAGAACTGAAACTCACGTTCTTCTTTTTGATTGATTCTTTCACCCTTTCTGAATCTTTGTCTTGCAAAAGCATTAAAAAAAAAAAAGACAAAGCTATTGAAAATGCTGTCCTTTTGCGCCTATACATATATATAGGCCTGTTTGCATCATCTAGTTTTGTTGGTTAGGCCATGCTTGGTTATAGTATAAACCTCGTGAACTGCGCTCAAAATTTTTTTTCCTCTATCTTACTGGATTTTCTCGTATACTGTAGCATTTGTCATTGACACATTGTCAATTTGTCATACTTCCCAGTGGTTCAGCTTTGTTTCCTCTGCTTTCGCATACTTTACCCCAATTCGTCACTTGAACCCAGAAAAAATCCTGTAGAGATCCCTCCAAAAACCAGTTTTTTAATTTTCTTTTTCAGATTCCTTATATACAATTTCCTTTGTATAAAGTTTTATGTACAATTGATAGAAAGATCACTTTTTTATTAGTTTTCTTGCCCAACCAAGAAGAAGCCCCCAGAAGGGCCAGGCTGGTTTGGTCTCTTTTTTGAATCATAGTGTTGAGGAGATTAGTGTGATTTTTGGGTTAGTTGGGGTTATTCGTTTTGGTGGTTTTCTGGTTTATTCAATAGGGAGCCATTAATGGCTTCTCTAACACCCGGGATACTGCAGAAGCTGTTGCAGAATGTGGGTAATAAAGATGCTAAGGTTGTTGGAGAGCACCGGTCTGCTCTCCTTCAGGTATGAGTTAGTTAGTCTATCAGCTATGATGCTTTCTTTATTTCATTTGATGTTTTCGGAACGAGGATTTTAGGAGGCATTGATTTTTATCTAGATTACTTCAAATACTGTTTCCAGTTGGGCAGTAAAAATGTGGGATTTCGGTTGCGACATTTTGTTGGTTCTTAAGGATTAGTAGATTAATATGGCATATGTATGATGAAGACATATATGTCTTTAGAGCTTTTGAATGTTTTAGACTTTACAGTTTTCATACACTACTGTGTTAGAAATTGTGAAAACTGTGTTTGTTTAAATTTGATGGATTGTAGGGCGTTGGATGATGTCCTTCATTTGCTAATGAGATTTTATATGTGTTGTAAGATGAGTTGTTCAAAACTATTCTCTGCTCCAATTGCTGATGGGAATGTATGCTTTTGGGGAGATGTTGGAAACTATTCTCTGCTGAACTGCAATTAAGCTCCCATAATCTTAGTTGCAAACAATTAGAATTTAAATCAAATGGGTTGTTTTCTGAGTTTTTGAATTAACTAATGTTTAATTGACTGAATAATGCAAAAATAATAGCAATAGTGCATTCACATGCTCATCAATTGTGTATATGCTTGCATTTTGAAACGTTCAAGTTCGTAAAGGCTTTGATACTTAAATAGAAAATTGGAGATGTTTCAGTTACGTGGCACTGATGATTTCATTTTTTTCATTATCATTTCCTATGACGTATAGGTGATTGGAATCGTACCTTCGTTGGATGATGATCCATGGAAAAGTCGAGGCTTTTACCTAAGAGTATCAGATTCTCTACATTCAGCCTATGTGTCGGTGTTGGCTGAGGATGTTGAATTGATTATGAGTGACCAGATTCAACTAGGTCAATTCATTCATGTGACTCGGCTTGATCCGTGTTCTCCTGTTCCGGTGCTTTGTGGCCTAAAACCTGTGCCAAAGAGGCGGCCATGTGTTGGAGACCCAAAGGATTTGATTTCCAGTGATGCTTTGACTGCTAGGAAAACCGTGGAGTCCAAAACTGGGAAAAGATGTGGGGGACTAGAGAAGAAAGTGGAAGTTAAGGAGAATTTGAAGGAAAAAACTAAAAGACTGATGGAAAGGGATGATGTGAAATCAAATTATGATTCAAGGAGGCTCTCATTGAGCAACGGCAAGGTTACAGGTCCAGATATTAGGAGATTGAGCTTGGATTCAGTGAGAAAAGGATGGGATAGAAGCCCTGGAGGCAATAATGCTTTTACCCCCGTGTCCAAGTCAAAATCCAGAGATAGTCCTTGTGGCATAGACTCTGTATGTAGTTCTTCTGCCTTGACTGTTACATTCTATCTCTTCATTTTCCCTTCTTGTTTTTATCATTCGACATGCATTCTTACTTGCTTTGGTGAAGTTCGCTTAAATGAGCAAAACATTATCATTTGATCCAATTCTGCTCAATTAGGCAGTAGTTTGTTTAGATTGTGTATTGGGATGAAATATAGTCTTTGCCTTGCATCTCCTTGACTAGACATACCTCTTCTAAGATCCTTTGTGATTTTACTATCTTGTATTTGATCCAGTATATAAATGATGTTGTAACGTGTTGTAGCTCTATTTGTGTAAAAGATCTTCAACTACTATTCGTCACTTGTATTTCTTGGGGAATTCTGTGGCAGATGGAGAATGCTTTGCAGAATTTTCACTGCCATTAGTGAAGATTTAACTTACTGGAATGAGGATTTGACTCGTGCTGTTTTGTTCTTCTTTTCCTCAGAATAGTCATTAGGCATAACTTTTTCTGATGCAGTACAAATTTCTGCACTTGTTAAAAAAATGATTGAGATGGAACCCCCAGATTTTAAATCAGCCATCTTTGCATTATATTAAATATTTTCATGCTTTTGTAGTGGTACTTGATGCTTTTTGGAATTCTCCCCATGGTGATCAGAATATGTGGCCCCTTGTAGGTTATTGAAAACAGAAAACATTCCTCCAAGGAGAAGACAGTAAAACAACTACTGATTTCACCACTTAAATCAAAGAATGTGATGGTATCACCAAAACCGCCAACACCAAGCAAATGTATTAGGAAAGATCTGAGGTCATCAGAGAATACAGCTCTTCCAGCACATCTGAAGAAAGAGGACCCTCGGTTCAGAAATCAGTCTGAACCAAAGATCTTACGGAATTCAGTTCCTGACACAATTCATAACCTTGGAAGGGTATGCTAGTCCGTGAATATCTAAAGCTTAAAACTCCCAAGATGAAATTTTTTGTGCTTATTTCTTTAATGTATCCCTCAGGAAGTAAGGGGTTATAGAAATGCTTCATTTTCCTCCGCTGTACATGCAATGGAAGAAGCATCTGCGGCCGAGGGAGTTATTCGATGCATGAGGTTTGGTTTATCTTTCTTTCTTTCTTTCTTTTTGTGAAGCAAGTTTACCTTGTGAAGACCATTTTGCTTTCATATGGCATGGCCGGTGATTGTGAATATTTCTTAATTCGGTTGGGCATGTGTTAAGATAATCATTAGGAGTTTGATCATGAATGCATGACAATTTTATTTTAGTGATAATTTCCATTTAATAGTTGATAAATTTGATTTTTTAATTATCAAAAGTGGTAATTATCAAGAGTGGTAATTATCTGATAGTTCACATGTCTATAAATATGGCATCTGACCTCTACTTTGTAATCTGTCAATCAATCGCAATGTAGTTTTTAAAAATTATTCATGTTCAAGTTTTCTTTTATTTATGTATTTCAATTTCTTATTTTCTTCTTGGTATCAGAGCAGGTTCATCCTGCTTCCGTGACATGCTTCCGCTTTTTTTTTTTTTTTAATAAATAATATCATGATTAGTTCAGTCATGAATATCAACAATTGTGTCATGTTTTAACTCCAAATTCATCCCAAATCACTCCTCTTCTACTGTTAATCCCAAACTCCTGTTTGATTCTCCCAACAATGCCCACAATACCTACAAATCTCTCACAAATCAATCCAATATTCATCCCAAATCACTCCTCTTCTACTGTTAATCCCAAACTCCTGTTTGATTCTCCCAACAATGCCCACAATACCTACAAATCTCTCACAAATCGATCCCATTGGACAATGAAATTTTTTATTTTTTTTTCCACAAATCAACTTTAGTTGATCCACAAATTTCTGACAAGGAGGAAAGTCACCTCTGAGTCAATCCACAAAAATTTTCATTATGTCAAACGTCTGATCTTCCCTAAAAAAGAGAGTTTTGACTTGTCATACAACAATTTAATAACGCAAACAGAAATTCGAAATAAGTTGTCCAAAATATGGTCAGAATCACTCAAGACGGAGTTTACTGCCGTTCTTAAGGATGAGAAAGGCGTCAACGCAATCAAAGCAAACTGAGTCTCCAGCCCCGACTCAGTTTGAGGGAGGATGTTAGATAATCATTAGGAGTTTGATCATGAAGGCATGACAATTTTATTTTAGTGATAATTTTCATTTAATAGTTGATAAATTTGATTTATTAATTGTCGAGAGTGGTAATTATCGAGAGTGGTAATTATCTAATAGTTCACATGCCTATAAATATGGCATCTGATCTCTACTTTGTAATTTGTCAATCAATCACAATGTAGTTTTTAAAAATTATTCATGTACAAGTTTTCTCTTTTATTTATGTTTTTCAATTTCTTATTTTCTTCTGCATGAGATTGGCGAATTCTTTATTAACTTGACATGTGATATCTTCCTTCCCTTTTGACAATATCTATTATACTTGGCATCAAGTAGTACTTAATGAGTGTCTTTTTAATCTCAATGTGGATAGCTTACTCTAGCTTCTCGTGCTTTATCTATGGATTGTGTTACTCATGAAGAATACTTTCCTTTGCTCTGTTTTCTTTGCAGCAAGTTTGCAGAACTCTGCGAATCATCTGAAGAAGATGCTGCAGGACCACTTGTGGAACAATTTTTGAATCTTCATGATGAGATGAAGAATGTGGCCGTGGTGATTAAAGCTCTTGTCGAGAAAAGGATTCTTGAGGCTAACAGCAATACTTCTTGCAGTTCTCAGCATGGGTTGTCAGACATGCACTGTAATTTTGCTGATAGGAATGCCTTAGCATGGGTTCAAGCTGCTGTTGAGACTGATCTTTCAAAGTTCTCATTACTCAGAAAGGAACAAAAGAAAGCAGTACGGAAGGGTGAGAAATGCATTTACCTTATGATTGAAAACTCCCCAAAGAAGAGTGAAACTGAGAAGTCTCCATCGAAAATAAAGAAAAGCCCTGGGAACTATGACAATCATAAAGCAGATTTGAATTTGAAAAAATCACCTACAAGTTCTAGAGTGATTCATCGTACAACAAAGAGAGTAAATGTTGAAAGAGAAGAGTGGTTAAAGGGCAATGGGCTCAAGGATGCTGCTGAATTATCAGAAAAGTTGCTCTCTTACTCTCGTGAATGGTTTCTTAATTACATGGAGAAGTTTTTGGTTAAGGGAAGTGGAAGAAGTACTGATAGGAGCAACTCTGAAACAGCAAGTCTTCTAGGACACCTTAAGAGGGTTAACAAGTGGTTGGATGACTCAATCCATCAAGATTGTGGGGTTGACGACCGATTGGAAGACTTGAAAAAGAAGTTGTACGGGTTTCTATTAGATAATGTTGATACTGCAATCCAAGCTAAGAGGTAGCTATCTTGATGTCTACTAACTGAACCTTCTCCTGCTCATATGATGCTACATGGGTTACCCTGTTTAGTTGCCTACAAATGTCATCAGGAGGGTGTAATTGTATTGATCATGTACAGATGATCCTGGTTTAACATCTGATTTAAGATGAGAGAATTGTGGAGGCTATGATGCTCAATCTCATGGTGTTTTATTTTATTTCTTTTATTTTTATTTTTTTTTTCTTTTAGGTGATTCACAGCTTCTTGTTTCAGTAATCATATGTCCAGACCATTTTATAGGCATATAAAGGAGAAACAACAGAAAAATGATCTAAAGTCACTTGTACTAAATAGGCAGTCCATAGCCCTGCCTAAAGATGCATTAACTGAGAAAAGAAAAGCAAAACCTGTAGTTGTGATTTATAAAAACATCTGCTTGTGCCCTGCTCATTTGGATTTACATGCAATGCATTGACAGATGAATTTCAACTTTCCGATGAATGAAAACAGATCATGGAAGCAACGAGATTATTATGTATTAATGTCTGAAGTCTAATGAATGAGAAAAACTGTGCCCTGGAATCAAGTTGTTTTGAGATTCTGCTGATGTTTTTACAGCCTTCTCTGCAGCAGCAGAAATTCCAGTGCCACTGTACCTTGTCCAGGCCTTCATTCCTTTGCAGGATTTCATATGAGCATGCATTTTCTCTGGCTTAAATGGCTTCCCGCATTGTCTGCATCCAAAACAACAAAGTTCTGTTAGATTAAATGGTTTTGATTGAAACATGAAAGAATTTGATGGAATGAATTGTATAAACTTACGAGCATTGGGGTCCATAGATTGGCTTGTAAGCAGGATTGACAGCCTTTGGGGTACCGTAATCGTGCTTTTTCTTTGGTGAAGCCCTCACACCATCAAAGCTCTTCCTGTCATGATTTCTTGTATCAAGATCATGCTACACTATTACATAATGTCATTCCATAATGCAAAAGAAGATCATCAGATAACATACCTGCCACTAGATTGTTTTGTTTGGAGCCAATTAGTCGCGGATGACACCCTTTGAGACCCTCCCAACTTATCTCCTTTAAGCAGCAACTCCTTGGAAAAACTAGTACTGTCCTCATCATTCATTGAAGTTTTGTTTCGCCGATTCACTGTGACCATGGCCGAATCATTCGTGTCAATGGCGCCACAAGTGATCAAGTTCCTAAATAGAGACCCTCCATTTGACTTGCTCTTAGAAAATGAAGGCTGCGATGCTGGTGTTGCTGCAGAGGGAGTACTAGTGGTAGTTTTTTCCTCGAATGAAACATCGGTGTTAGTGGCCTTCTTGTTGCTCCGTTTCCTCGGATGCAACGAAGGCGGCTTCTCAACTTTCACAACCTCCTCCTCTTCCTCCTCTTCATGTATTTCTTGTTTGGAAGATATTTCACACGATGATCTTGATGACTGTTTTTCTTCCTGATGATCAACATAGTCTTCAGTCAGTGTTGATGATTTATCCGAACCGAATGTATGTGATTCTTCCTCGATGATTTCTGGGGATGACATCTTTGTTGATTCTTGTTGTCTTTTATTTTCTTGATGGTGATGATCTTGATGCTCTTCTTGGAATGAGGGTGAACGAATATCAGTACCGTTGTCTTCCCCTTTTTGCATTGAATATTTCTTTCCCATATTGGCTTCTTCTGTGAAAAAATAATAAATTCAGAATATTTGTGATTAAGTAATTATAATTAATTAAAAATTACAAAAGATACCATTACCTTGTGTAACATACAAGAATTGGAATAATTCAAACACTTTATAAGTAAAAAGTGCATCGTCTTTTTTTCCAAGTTGTAGGCTGAAAATTGGGGATATTTGCTGTATTTATTATAGTTGCCCTCTACTTTTACTTGCAAATGAACCCCAAAAAAAAGGTTGATTAATTTTTTTTTTATTTTAAGTTAGACTTGTTAATATGATGGGAAATAGTCTTTTTAGAGTAACCAAATATTCTTAATTATAGTAAATCTTTATAACGTATCACTAGTTGATACAGAAAATCAGTAATTAAAAACAAAATCATTCCTATTCACTTACTTTTCCGGGAAATTTTCGATCTGGCCTTGCATTTTGTATTAAATTATCACGTTTATCATAACTACAGATTAATAACCTGTCAAATAAGTAATACTCTTCCATCTACATAAAATAATCTCATTTCTTAATCATTTCAATATCCAAAAATAGAATTCTTATTTATCGACGGATCATGACCCTACATCTGTCTAAGTGGAAGAAAAACTACAATTTAATAAGTAATAAACTCTTCGTAACAAAATTCTTATTTTAAATTAAACAGTAATAGTTGTTGCTATATATAATTATTACACTTTGTGTGCATATATATACAGAAAATGGAAAGAAAGAATAACTGCATGATCATTTCGATTTTTGTTATAGGGAGAATAAATAAATGTACCTTTAGGAGAGGAGGAAGAAATTTCGGATCCTTTGAGGACGTATTCGTTGTCCGAGATTGGAGTAATGAGATCCTCATCTAGCAAGTCTTGCCACACATATCCGCTCCTGTACCTTCTGCATACACAAATATTCAATTATAGTATTAGACAACTATGAGCGAGAATCAAATAAACTCTGTGGCGTTTATTATAAACTATTTTGATTCGTCATAAGTTTCATTTAGCATGTTAGTTCACGAAGATCAAATTTCAGTAAGACAATCATTTTCTTCTTCACTGATAAGTCATTGATGGTGGAAATTGAACTCAACGATCTTAAAAAAATGGAGTTTGTCATTTTCCAAATCGCTTGACTCCTTATGTACAGTTGAATTTGGTCATAATGAAGAAGAAGGCGTTTGTAAAAACATAATACCTTTTGTAAGACCAGGCAAAGGATTCCGGCATGTCTTTTCCCCGCAACTCTGCCAGCCATCTCTTAACATCTATTTTCCAATTATCCAACAACAACAAACATCAAAATACTTCTTGCTTTTTCTTTCTTTTTCTTGGGGGAGGAAATATAAATTTTTTTTTGGAAGAAATTAAATGTAATTACCTCGCAAATGCACACCATTTCTGGAGAGATGATGAACACGGATGAGATGAGGATGTTCAATTCGACCTTTTCGACTAAGGAAATAAATGACGTGAAGCCTTCTCACTTCTGCTCCGACTTGATTACTACTACTACTACTACTCATCTCCATTAATCTTCTGCTAATTATAATTTTTAGTGCCACCAACAAGAGAGATAAGCACAATCACACAACTAAGAGTGAAAAAAAAATACAATAAAATATAGAAAAGGGTTCTTCTTTTAAGGCGAATTTTCTTGAACTTTTAATCTCCACAAAACACAAAAAGAGAAGAAGTAAGAAGGGAACAACAATTAAATTAATTTAAGTATGCATCAACCAAAATGGAACCCAAGACGAATTCTCTATCTTTGTCTTTGCCGGCTTTGCATGCTCTAGAAAAAGCCAATTACAGATAAAAAGGTATGCTACTACTAATGGGAGAATTCATCGTGCTTAACCAAAGGGTTTCATTCATCATTAAAATATTGCGCGTAAATATATCGAAATTTGCAGGCCTAAGTTTATATATGGTTCTTTTTTAACTTTCTTTTTTCCTTTTTCCTTTTCAATATTTTATATTTATGACCATTAAATTAGGAGATATTTGGTAACCCTTTCGTTTTGTTTTTTTCGGTTTTTTGTTTCTTTTTGGTATGTGTATCAATTAAAACAGGCAGAAAAGCGCTATGTTTGGAAAGGTGTTGTTTGATGCTTAATTATAGGGTAATTTTGAGCAATTTTATGCTAAGGTAGTTTGATCTGATTTCCCGTGATCTTCTAAACTTACTTGATCGGTTAAATAATGAACTTTTTTGACCATCTTTTTAATCTCCCGATATGCCAAGAAACATTCGTTTGCATGCATGATTTAACAATGATTTATAAAGGAGGTTTTTATTTTTACTCCCTCTGTCCCATAATTATTGTCCAATTTGACTTTTTTTTTTTAATTCAATTTGTATTAAAAATAAAAACTCAAACTGGACAATAATTTTGGGACAAAGAGAGTATTTATCTTGATTTGGATAATCCGCTTCCCCTTTTAATATATTTTCTTGAGTTTTTCTGGCAATGAATTTGAAAATAAAACCATTTCTTAGTAAATGGCAGGGTAAGATTGCATACAAACGTCACATTCTCGTACTTTCACCAACCAATAATGCATTTGAAAAAATAAACTAAGGGGAAAAAAAGATTGCTATCAATTTTGTACCAATTTCTTTAAAGGGCGAAGCGGTTGCCCCTTCAATTCACGGTAGTAAATTAATGAAAAAACAAATTTTGCTCACGCGTTATCAGAGGCGAAACCGGTTACTCAGAGTTAAAGGGGTTGACCATATATTCATATTTAAGATCGATGATCGAATATATATAATATAAGATTAATCGTAATTACCATTAAGGGACTTTTCGGCTGGCCGGAGGGGCTCGATACCCCCGAGCCCTTTAAGAGTTCTACCCCTATGCGTGATATATATAAAATTCGATACTACTTCCTAATTTTTTTTTAAATTGATAAATCATAATTACGAATAAAGTTGAATGATTAAGGTTGTTAAACACAATTAATAGTTGTGGGTAAATGCCTACCTGGACAATAACACTTAACATCATTAACTAATTAAATCATGCCGATCTCGCACTTTTAAGAACAAGCCGTACTAATGGAATCATGCCAAATTAATGTTGACAAAGCCCTCTTAGTAACAGCAACGAATCAGATGCTATAACCATAAGTAGAAAGGTAAAATGAAATCCATATAAACATATCAAAAGAATCAAATTCTAATTATATAAAAACAAAAATTAGAACCCTTTATTTCTACTGAATTATGTATTTGACTTTAAGAGAGATGTCACATTTTCAAACATCATGATCCCAATCAAACTAATATTTATCATACGTGTATATATACCAATCGTGTCTCATTCAAGAGGAAGCGATGATAACAAATTGTTGCCGATAAATAAATAAAAAGTAACATAATATTTCATCATTTGTTATATTTATTGTCATATTTACTAGATAATAAAACTCTAGTTTCAAGATAAATGACTATGCTAATTTTCCAACATGGTATTATTCTCATTTACTCAGTTCTACTCTGCCCGATATTAACATCTGGATATTTTATGCTTTTATAGTGTGATCTATATATACAAAAAAAAGTAGATAAAAGTCGGGTCACTTCATTGACTTCTTCCTCCTACTATTAGTTTTTGGTTGTTGGTGGTTAATTATATGCCGTTTGTACATACTTGTTAATTAGTTGTCAGCTTCAATAGCTTAAATTAATGGTGGAACTAATACTAGGTGCCGATGTTTCGTCCTTGTCTAGCTACCGATTGATAATATGTGCAGCTAGCTAACTGAAAAACAAGAACAGGAAAAACCCATGAACATAAAACAATTTTGATGATGATCGATAAAAACGCATGTGCAATTGAAGCAAATCGAGCACTGAATTTGTTCAATTCCCTATATAGAATAATTATTTCGGGACAAATGATAAATCTTTTAATTAGGATGGACGTTGTTGATAATATCAAATATATATCATAAAAGGGAACAAGAAGAAAAGTCGACAATAACGAACTGAGTACCTTTTGATGTTGCGCTTCTTCTCGAAATATAATTCTTCCATTGTTTGCGTATATTTCCTCCTAGTTCTTCTGTTGCAATTCGTATTCTGAAAAAAAAAGGTGAGAAATAAATAAAAGTCCAGAAAGTAATATATGGGAAGGATGATTTAATCATCGCCCAATTATACACTCTCAAGCATGCATTCAAAATTTTGACAATGGAAAAGTAAAGCCTTGAAGTTGAAAACATGGCCAATAAAATGAAACATCCCAAGAAAATTAAGATATATCGCAAAGGAAAATGAGAAGAATATGATCACACAATTAGAAGAAACTCTGGAAAATTACATGGTGATCACACAAAGATATGTATCAAAACTAACAACGTTAAAATGTCAAAACTTGCTTACATAGGGTGGCTTTTTTCGATCGGCCGGTCGGTCGTCGAAGAGAAGTGGCCGGAAATTATTCGCCTGAGACTTCAAGTTTCCATCCCACAAAATGCAAAGAAGTGTTGGAAATATCTCTGATCTATATAGAAAAGTTCAAGTCATTATTGGACATCAATTTTATTTGTTCTTTGGATTAATTATCCCCTTACTGGAATTGGGAGAGTTCGTTGAAGGGTCGCCACCTTGATAGTGAAACAGGGAATTGTCTATAATATAAGAGCATTTAATTAATCTGTGCGTGCCGTTTCAACATAAAATTTTAAGAACTAAGAATACTCAAAAGTAAACTAATTTAACAAAATAAGCCCCAAATAATCGATCTTTATCAGTCATTAAATTGTATCCCTTTTTGATTGCTCGAGAGTTTCTGGCACGAATCCGTGAAAATGCCATCAACATTTTTAATAGAGGTTAGACTCTTTAAAAAATTCAAGATAACAACCTCATGTATACAATTGACACTAAATCAAGATGTGTTTAGCTAAGGTAGTTTACATCGCTATTCTCTGGTGTGATTTCTTTATTTGATTGTAAGGATGCAGGATTTATTGGTCCTTGGTCAATCGAAAAAAATAAAATAGAAACCAAGATGTTATGATAGTTGGCCATTGATTAACGTCGGTGAGGTTTCTTAAAATCCATTATAATGTCTGGTTCGATTAATAGTTTTAGACTTTTAGTTGATTGGTTTATATTCTTGGTGAGAAAAATGAATGTACCTACCGTGATTTTTATTGTGTGATAAACCATGAGCTACTCGCTATATGAATTTGGTATTGTAAATTCATATCGATGATAAGTTAGTAGAAAGCAAAGCCTTTGCTTGCATATCAAAATGAAATTTCCACATTTCCGACTCTGAATTTTTTTTTTTTAGGAAAATGATATGTATATAATTAATGAATGAAAATAGTGACAAAATATAGTGACTTATGTGGATTAATTATGGTCCCTAAATACCCCTAATGTATTACTAAAATTAAAAATCTACCTTTAAACTTCAAAATAAATATTATTTTGTCCCAGTAATATTTATATGTAGTAGTTTTACTCTACCTAAAGGTAGAGGCTTGGTTCCACCTCTGGGTGTATTATTTGTCTTTTCATTTGTCATTATCCAAATTCACTATAATTTTTTACTTTCTGTATATTGCTTTTTTTTTTTAATTCAAATTGTCATGGCCAACAAAACTTGGATTCCAAAACTATAAAACTTCCATTGGAACGCACATATTACATTTTAAAAACAATTTTTTCATGCAATATTCAAATCACTCTTTACAATTAATTATTGTATCCAACACAATTCGTATTATAGTTTTTCAAATTAAAATAAGCATGATTTTTTATATATTTTAAAAACTTTTCTTTCTTGATAACATCGCAAATCTCAATGGAAATAAGTAAATCCACACCTATAACAATAACCTGCAAATTATAGTAAAAAGTAAATCACTCTAAACAAGTTCGGGTGCGAACCACATCCCCCATCATCTTGCGATTTTAACTAAGTTAATTAGATTGGTGTATACGTTAAAATTTAAAATGGCACTACTAGTTTATGTTTTATGTTTCAACTTTACAATGAACATCAGAGTGATAAAACTGTATTGACTCGTGATAGCTATTAAGGCTCATCCAACACAGTGATAAATTTTTTCACAAAAGCATTTGTATGTGTTCTCTATTGAAAGCAAACGTATGGCTGCATATATATGCATTACTAATGTCCTTAATTCTGGCCTGCATATATACTTTTACGGAGCGTGGAATTTGTTGGGATCAGAGATTGATTATGATGATTATGATGTAATTTGTTTCAAGCTATAGGATGAATCAAATTAATGCCAACTGATACTTATATGACCGATCAGTACTTAAATTTTTTTATTTTTTTATTTTTTTTTTGTAGACTTTCAACATGCATGGCTTGGTATGGAAGAATTATACTACTAGTAATTACTTGCACACGCATTACATTTGATTTTGGCCAAACGACTAGTTTATTTTAATTGAAATCCGAACTAATTAAAATCATACGATGGTTGATGTCAAACAATTTTAAAGACGGTGAACAAATGTAGTTACTTTAGGTAGGGGAAACTCCACTCCAATGATAGCTGACTTGGATTCAAATTTACTGTCATTTCCTTCATAATCGATACGAAAAGGTATTTGTAGTTTTTAAAAAGTATTTTTCATCATTGTTCGTTTGTAAAAATTGATGGGTTAAATGTAGACACATGTAGATAGATTAGCTAGAACTGTTGCCCGATTGTCTGATATGTACCTCTTAATACGTTTCATATACGAATTAATCAACATCATAACCAAAAAAAAAAAAAAATTATTTACTGATAACTACTCCCTCCATTTTGAAATATATGTCGTTTTAAGATTTGATGAATTTTTGCAAATATATGTCGTTTTCACAAATCGATGCATATTTGACCACTTTTTACCAATATTACCCTTGCATTGGAAATGAAACAGTATTTATAATGAATTTTTATTAGTTTATGATGAATTGTATAGACAATAAATAAATGTATTTTTATATTTTAACTATATTAATCAATGTTTTCTTGGTTTTGATGATTTCTCTAAATAGACATAAAAAAAATGGAGGGAGTAGATGAAATTTGTTTTCAATTTTTTCTTTTCCTTTTCTAAAAATGAAGGAGTGAACGGTATCCAGATAAAGAAATTATGATCCCAATTCCCAATTCTAAGCACAAACATCAATCAAACATTTGATAGGTAAAATTAAAAAACGTGAACTGTAAGGAACCGGCTTAGGTTTCAAAAATGGTGAATGGGCTAAAATCAGAGTTGAGGATCTCTTTCAGTTCAGCAACAGCCGAAAGTGGCCGAAACTAATATCACAAAATAGTAGTCCAAAACAAACCTCAGTTACTCCAATGGGCCGCTTTCTGGATACCTATGCATGATTAGCAACTGGACTAGAGACACAAAAATGCAAACTAAAAAAGGTCAAATGAGAGATTAATGGTTTCAAAATCTCAATGGTCAAGACTCAAGAGTTTCGACATCAATCCAGTTGGATCTCTATTCACAGTGGTTTAATCTCCACTTATACCACAAGTTGCAACGAGCCTTTCAAGTGGAAATAGGCATACACACGTGTAGTATCCCCTTCCTAAAAACTCCACTCATATAATATAATTACGTGCTTATAAAATTAAACAAAGTTGGTTTCAAAACAGCTTGTCTATGGCGGTTCATGAAAGTTCTTTCAGAACTGGATTCAATGGAACCGATAAACTCTCTTCGGCACAAAAGACAAGGTTATTATACCTTTAAGCAACGTTCTAGAACGTATGATGGGGCTGCTAAACCAGCAGCGTACAGTAGAGTTAAGCCCTACCTGGTATAATGTAAATTACAAATGAGGCTGTGAACTCGCATGCTAAGTTAGGTATTTCTTGTTTTTTAGGGTTATATGTTTTCTATATCTCATCAAAAATTAGTAAATTATTATCATTAGATTTATCTTATTTTTCATACTAACTTTCAAAATATTTTAATTTTATTATCTAATTTTTTAAATATCACACACCTTTTAAAAAAAATTTACAATCCGGTCAATACTTTTTAATTGCGATGATTCATACGCGCATATCTTCAATTCCCATGCTATCCCTTATTCCAAAATAATCCTCTAGTTTAGATTTTACTTTTAATACTTGTGCTAAAGATAAAAATTAAATTGGACAGTTATTTCGGGACAGAATGAGGATTACAAAGTTTCAAGTGGCACGAAAATATTCTATAGCATTGCGTATGATTTAATTGCTTTGTACCAGTCTTTTTTAACCTAGTACTTCCTCCGTCTCATAATTATTGTCCAGTTTTACTGAGATGCAAGTTTTTATTTTTAGTCAAACTCAACCAAATTTTGACATAAACTTCCACATGTACCCCTGCAAGGCCAAAGACCTTCTTTACGTCTTTTCTCAAGCTGCCAAATCGAAAGACCAAATTCAAACACAAGAACAACACCTTCATCCTTCAATTCCAATTGCTACTTAGTCAGGAGCTTATGATAGAAACAAATTTTCAGATGGAGATCTTCTAATTTGGAGAATTTTTTTTACTCTGAATTCTAATTAGTTTTTTTTATGATTATAAATCTTCTATCTCCCCGAAACGTTCCTCGTCGGCATGGATCGAACAGAGCTTATTGCTTGTGCCAATCAAACCAAAATCTTCAGATGAATCGGTCGATTGCAGTTTCGACTCCGACTTTGTTGATACTCCTTCCGATAAGACTGAATTTTTTGTTGATGATAAAGCTGAATCCTTTTTTGATGATATAGCTGGGGTTAGATTACAATCTCGATTCATTGAAAATCTCTTATTCTGATTCTAATTATCTAAGAAGAAAGCTCACAGAAGAGTAGAGGAATCAAATTTTAGTGATGGCTCAAGATTTATTTTTCATATTCCTTCACAAAGACAAACCCAGCTTCGCTGCCCGCTGCTTGGAGTCATCAGAGGGAAGCTCTGTTTTTGTTGCTCGGAGAAAAATGGATTGAGCAAAATTGTTATTTTTTGACTAAAGGGTACAAGTGTAACTTAAACCTTAAAAAGTCAATTTTGGGATAAATTTTTTTGACAAATTGGACAATAATTATGAGACGAAGGGAGTATTTGTTGAAGATTTTTAATTCCAACAAGTAGACTCATTTAATCGTGAACTATATATTTTGGGTTGATTTCTTCAAAGAGAAACCATACAAAATGTCGTTGTTCAACTGAAGTGGATTTTTGTGATGATTTTCGTGGACAAATAATCACTTTTCCCCTGCAATTGCGTCCTTTGTTTTTCCTATTGGGTAAATCAATCAATATCGATTATCAACTCACGGTCACTAGTGGTTGAACTTGAAATAACTTCCTATTTGTGGATGGTTCTCTGTTAAAACGAGTGTCTTCCAGGAGTTTCTGGATATACATTAATTAAACATTTCATGGTCCTCCCAAAAATTGATGATTGATTTTGATATTCTGTGTCTGGTGCTGTTTTTTGATGTAGCCTTGTACCATATTCAAAATCACGCTGACAGCATCATATCCAAATCATTCTTTTTTGGTGTTAATTGAAAATTATTAAAAATTGTATATAAAGTATAGAAAAAGAAGTGTATAATGGGACAAGTAAATAGAAAAGTATGATTTTTTTTTTTTGGCATATATAGAAAAGTACTACGTACCTCCGTCCCAAAAAAATAGTGCACATTAAGTTTTCATATTTGTACTATTTTTAATATAAATTTCAAAATTCAAAATGGATTATTTTTTTGGGACGGAGGAGTATTAAAATGTTAGCTCAAATATCCAAATGCATATACCATTTTTTTCTTCACCTAAATTGTTGGATATTATTCTGTACTTCATCTCTACTTATTTGACTGTGTGAGGACTGATGAAACAAAATCCTTGATTTTTTATTTATTTATTTATTTTTTGCTCATATCCAATTAACCCGTAACCCATGATCCATGCACCTGGTTAACATAAATATTTCCTCCATGGGGAACCTATTCAGCTTGTCAGTTGTTAGTAGTTTCCGGTTAGCCGCATTAATTAATTACTTTTGTTGATTAATTATTGGATGAAATTTTTAAATAAGCTATTGATCTCCAATAGCAGAAGCGGATATCTCCACTGAAGGGAAAACTAAAATACGGCTTAGTTATATCCGCTCTGCTTGAATCCCACATCGAATTACCTATGAATTTTCTGGGCTAGTTCCAGCTGGTTTCTTGGGCGGTATGCCCGTTTCATTGCCCGCTTCTCTGGGCTTAAACAAAAGCCGATGATCCCATTGTGGTGAGGCCGAACTTTTTTGCTTCCATTCTTTTTGGGCTCTGAAAGTCAAATACCGATTAACTCAGAACAGTGATGTTGACGGCACACAGTTCTAGGTAGAAAAGAAAACATTCGCATATGATAAGAATTGGTATGCCTTGAGCCGACTACATTGCAGAGTGCAGATCTTAATAGTAAAAATATCCGAAATTCCTGACAAACTCCATATGACCTTATCTTTATCTTGGAGCTCAAAAGGAAATTTCGTACCAAAACAACATTTTATCAGGTGCCAAATTCAGTCCACATTCCGCAATGCAAATTCGCACTTCCCATTATCGGAACTGGACAAACCGACCTAGCAACATACAATTGAGAACATGCTATATTGCCCTTTTCCTCTATGGTAAACCCAATGAAAATGATGCCAACAATTATTGACTTATTTGTTTATACTTTATCGTGTCCCTCCTTTTTCTATAGTACCACTATTGCCAAATCGTCACACTCCAACTCCAACTCGCTACGGCTATTCCAAGTTTTTTTTTTTTTTTTCTTTTGGATACAGTAAAAGAGACACAAGTCTAATTTAACCTATTACATTGCGAGGCAAACCATCCTCATAACATCGTGGAATAGACTATTCAAGTTTTTTATTGCAAAGTTATATACGGACTGTTTTAAAATCAGGGGAAAGGAAAGATATCATATTTGTATAGTATCACGGTGTCGCTGAATGGAGTGTTACAATTTTAAACTAAATTGAATAGTGTTTAAAATAACACAAGAAGCAAATACAGAGTGTTGCGTTGCATTCTTATGACTTTGTCCTAGCTTGTCTGCTAATTAGTCATGATTTAGTTAAACCGTATTTTACCCATCACAGTCCAAGTCAATTAACGGACCTAATGCCCTTCGTATTGTGGTGCTGGTGAAGGACGTCCCTTGACCAAAAAATTAATAAATAAATAAAGAAAAAGAAGAAGAAATTTAATTCTATGCAGAAAAGAAGGCTCGACAAACTGCTGATCTGGGGCTCTGGGGAAAAAAAATCTAATACAACATCTCTATGTACTTTTTTAGTGCAGCTAATTAATTAGAGATTAGTGTTTCTCGAGCCTTATGCATTTTTTTTATCTTTCGTAAAATTAGTGTTTTTTCCTCATTGTATCCATTATATATTGAAGATGGCGGAGCTACATACAAATTTAGTAGGGCAATTACCCAAGCTGAATTTTTATTTGTGCTAATTACCACTTGTAAATTTAAGAATTTTTTTTTTTGAAAATATAATTTTTACTCCACCTAAATTAAAAATCTAAAGGGATAAGTATAGTAAATTAGAAAAACTATGTTTGTTTCGTTTTTTTAGTGTGTATTTTTAGGTTTTTTTGTATTGAAAATTTAAAAATGTGTATTAAAAATGTAAAAAATAAACTGAGATGGGACAGTTAATAATAAAATAATCTAAGAAAACCAACAAAAAAAATGAAACAAACATATAATCATTCCCCGTCACATCTTTGGGGCTTGACTCCGCCCCCTCCGAAGGCTACATGCATAGCTTTTTTTTAAGTAAAATTGTAGGCTAATTAATTGTAGCTTATTTATGAAGAAGGCAGAGGATTGAACAGAAGAACTCTCGAACATTTGACAATTTCAGATTTATTTTTAAAAAAACAATCTCAAATAAATTTAATTAATTCAATTTTAATACAAGACTTAAATAACAGAAGGTCCCAATTTGCCCACTGTCATTTAAAGGGAAATGGCGTAAACCCCTTTCCAGCTGTTAAGGGAAAGTAAGAAAATAAAATAAAAAAAAAAGGTTTAATCCTTATTTTGATTTACCTATCCAAACAACAAAAGACTAATACTTCCAATGGAACTAGCATATCTCACTATTGTAACTCGTAGAATTTTACCGCATCTTCCATTTGTACCAAAGAAAAAAGAAAATAGAGGATGAAAATACAAGCTAGGTCTTCTCGTGGAATAAAAGTGCTTTGTCACTTTGAACGGCCTTGCTTGTTTTAAGAGGGAAAAAAAATTCTCAAAAAAAGAAACAAGAAACAAGAATAATTCAAGACAAAAGACAAGTTAATCCACCAACTTTTTTGCCTTTAATTTATTTATGCAGTTAAATTGTTTTTCGTCTCTAAAATTAGCAATAGGAATAATGTAGGGGCACCTTTTCTTTCTTTTTTTCGGTGCCCCCCAAATAAAACTTTAACTAACTTCTTTCATCTCCATCCCAATTATCTTTCCATCTGGGACCAGTTGGTCCTTCTTCACCCAAAACTTCTCTAGGAATCCCATTCACAATTTTATCAATTGCTTTCTTAAGCTTTCCAGGCAGCCATTTCTTCACCTTCCTAAGCTCATCGTCAATGTCATAACTAATTTTAGGACCCCATTCCCTTGCATAATTCAACCATGGTGGTTCAACCACAATTGACCCCAAATAATCAGCACAAACCACTTCAAAACTATTACCAACATCCAAAAAGTTGTCACCTTTTCCGGTATCATTCCGGATCCCGATTCCATTCTCTCCATTCCCATTCCCATTCCCTTGTAGATGAGCACCGGCATTCGGATACGCGGCGTGGCCATGCAATGAGGAATAAACAACTGGCTTGTTCCCATTGGGTTCATATTCCAACTGAGATGCTTCAACCCAATTGCCTCCACTATGTTGGGAGAAATAAACCCTTTTTAATTCCCCATTGAAGTTGCTGATCCTCAATGTCACATGCTCCCAATCACCCACATGCTCCCCAATTTTGCCTAGTTTGATTGTGATGAACTCAATTTTGGCCCTTGCTGCACCATTGAATGGGTAGAAAACCCATACACAAATGTCAGTGAAAGTGGCACCAAACATTGGTTTTATGTGTAAATAAACTCTTGCATCTTGTATGCTTCCTTGCTTGACCTTATCTTTTGCTGAACCATCAGTTGGCAAATCTATCCAATATGTTCCATCATTTGAACCACCTTGAGGCAGATTTGAACCGTTGATTGATACCGGAACAGGGCTGTTTTCTTGCCCTTTTGTGTATAACAATGCTCCCTTCTGGAAAAACCAATTCACTGAAGAGGGAAGGAAAGATTCATCAGGATGGAAATACAACCTTGGGGAGTATTCTTGGACTAATGCTTGAACTTGGGCCAAATTCGGCATGCCGGAAAAGTTCGCCGCAACATTCTTCAAACAGGCGAATTGTGCTGATGCAGGACCTCCGTTGAGTGTGACAAGAAACGTACCGGCAGAAACGCCGGAAGCTCCCGGCCCACGACTACCCGGCCTCGGAGCGTAAACATTAAGGCCGCCATCGGAATGACCCCAAATCCATTCACCATTGTCAATTGCATCAGTGAAATTGGCATGAACACATCGGATTTTATCCAATGATGGCTTTCCTGGTGTACTTGTGACAACATGGCCAACTGATTTGTACCCATCTGGAGGAATTGGAAGCCATATATAGCCCACACCATCTTGATTGATCTTCACAGATTCACTACTCCAAACAAGGGTATAATCAATGGGATTTTTTAGAATACTTTGATCATGAGATGAATCCTTTGCGGCCAGAACCCAACCAAACAGAGGAATGTTATTTGGTTGGGTGTATGAACCAAGCATAAAGAATCCTTCAGGGATTGATGTGGGTTCAAAGAATGTGGCTCCAACATTATCAAATCCACCTTCAAGACTTGCCCAAACTTTATTAAAAGTTGACACTTGACACACCTTTAATCCTCCTAAATCAATTACTCCACTACCAAATCCACCACCTAAAATCCCACCAAAAAATAACAGAGTAACAAACCAAAAACAGATGAATCAAAATTCAATTCTGTATAACAATTTAGTGGACTAATTAAATTATTTGTACCTTTAGGCCAGGCAGGCAGAGGAGAAGGAAACTGGAAACGGGTTTGAACGGGAAGTGGCTGGTTATCTTTCTTTGAGAAATTCTCCAAAGTGGAAGTTGAATTAACAACAGCGACAACAGCAACATCTTCGTCTTCTTCCGCCATGGTGAAGCGATGATGATGATGATGAAATTGGACATGGAGAATGAGGAATATATAGAAGAACAGCCGCATATTCTGCAAATGAGATTGCTTCAAAGGATTCAATGACGGCAAAGATGAGGATGATGATGGAGACATCGTTGCAACTACCTGTTTTTTGCACAGAAGCAAGTAACAATGGCGTGCAAGGTAATTCCTCCCTCTGTTTTTATGGCTTATAGGCAAAAGGGATCAGGTTGTTGTTCACCCTTCAAGAACATTCCTTTGGATTTTGGCTGATTTTTTTTGGGAGAGATTAGAGTTCTTACCTTTTACTCTATTCTTTCTGAGTTTTACCCTACTTTTGTGGCAGTTCTTTCTTATACACTTCGTACCTTGTCAGTTCATTTGTGTTTTGGAGTGATGAGGTGGTTTACTGTCTTTTATACTAGTATATGGTAGGGATCGATTTCCTAGATGCTTTATTCCTTTGTATTCTCCAAACAAATATTAGATTCTATTGCAGCTGTGACTGAATAATTGTCGTTTGAATTTGAGATTCTCTGTTCCTCGAAATACTACTTCTTCTTTTTTATTTAAAAAAAAAAAAAAACCTCAAGACTATATTGATTCATTTTTATTGTCAACACTTGAACAGACAAAGATTTGTTTGATTCAGAAAGGGGAAAGAAATACTACTTTTCCACTCTCAACATTTTTATTTTTTTTTTGAAAAGGTGAGAGTATTATTGAAATGTATACTCCCTCCGTCCCATAATTATTGTCCACTTTGTCTTAAAATTATTGTCCAATTTGACTTTTTATGGATCAAGTTACACAGTTGTCCTTAGTAAAAAACATTATCCATAAAATCTTAGTGGTTAAACAATTACTTATGTAAGGGTATATCCAGTCGTTTAAGGTAAAATATAGTTAAGTTTGACAAAAAATAAAATCTTTCATTTTAGTAAAATTGGACAATAATTATGGGACGGAGGGAGTAATATTCAGGGCCGAAATCAAATAATCAAATGATAAGGAGTAACACATAAAAAAAAAATTACAAATTCCTTAAAAAAGTTTTATTCAGTATGATGACTACGTACTCGAAAATCACTCATCACAATCTTTGCGATAAATAAAGTAGTAATATACCGAATGTAATGTTGGTGTCTCCCTTTTTGAGAAAGTAAATTTGAGTGAATTGGATAGGTTCTGTTTTCCTTAGATGACAGCAACAGATCTTTATTATGGAATTGTGGTAACCTATTTCCCAAAACGTCATCATCATCAATATTAGTTAAAGCAATTTGTCAAAAATCCTTTCAATTATGAGGACAAACAAAATGATGCTGTCTCCTTTTTTTTTTCTTTTTACTTTGACGATCAGTAAAACTGTCAAACTCAAATGGTCAAAAGGCAACAAATCAAGGCCGCATTTTAGAATTTCAAGGCTGGATTTTACGTGTAATTGAGTTGTCGTTTATGTTTGAGTATGTTCGTTCAAAATAAACGCAAAGGTAATTTATGGAAAACATATTTACAGCTCAAAATACAGCCAAATTTAGCTAATTAATAACGTGAATGCATTATGCTAGTATCTAATTAACCGTAGGCTTAGGTAATCCTCCCTAAAAAAATTGCGTGATTACTGAGATAACGGTGATGAAGATCACAAATTGAGAGATTATGCCTCTGTTTAGAATGATTTTGTTTTGTTTTTTTTTTTTTTTTTTTTTTGTTTTTGGTTGGGTTTGTAGCCTTGAAATTTCAAAGAAAATGTTTTGGACAACCCAAACTCAAAAGTACTTCTTGGCTCATATAAATATTCAATTGTTACTCATTTTGTACTCCACAAAATAGTTCACATGAAATTTGTAAACTGTGTTAAATATCCTCTTTGTGAAATAATTCACAGTATCATTTTCAAAAAAAAAATATGGACAAAAATAAATTTTTCCTATTTCAGGTGGATAAAACTAGTTGTCACGGATTTACCAAATCTAAATCTACTTAATTTGAACTAAATTCGAATTTGGCAAATCCAAATCGTACTCCATAAAAATGATTCATCAGGTAGTTGTATTACAAGGAGATTCGGCACATCCGAAACAATTAGATTTGTCCAAATCACTGCGTAACATATATTTTTGTCGAGGTCCTTCCATTGAAAATTATTTTGATTAAAAACTCGTAAAAATTATGTTTTTGCGGATGGAGTACTATCTCGTCAAAACGAAGGTGCAACATTAACCGCATTTGAAACCTAAGTAATAAGGCTAAGAAATTTAGATTCATTCCTAAATGTCCAACCGCCGCAAATTCACATAGTGAAACTACTCCGAGTGATCATAAATGTAAGAAAATATGTAGTCTCATTTGATGCTCTTCCTATTGTTACTTTTTAGTTGCATAATTTAGACCTTTTTTTTTCCCTCAATGTTTTGTCGTGCCAAACAGTTAGGGTTGACCTCATTGGTTAAACTTTTAATCGATTTTTCTTTTCTTTCTGCATTCAGTATTAAAAAAGAAATGATGCAAAGCAACAAAAATCAAATATTGCAGTATTTAACGAATGTAACACACAACACGACAATCATTCCGAGATACAGAAAATGAGATTTAAAGAAATGCGAAAACTTACTTGTAATCGATAGTGAACCGCAGCACCAATCTGGGATCCCATCTCAACACTATTAAACCAGACTTATTGGATCATTAAATAATTTTGTTTTTTCTTCTTCTTATTCGTTTATCCACCCAGATTTGAATTTGATTTTGTTTTGTTATAAGAGCTATAGCTTATCAAAATTCTACAACAACAAAATTTCAAAAAAATGGGATGATGATATCCAGTGTCAAATTCCGAAGCATGAACGCAGCCACACCTGCTACGGAATTTGGCGCTGAATATGCTGTGTTTGCGCATTTTCGGAGATGATGATAATAATGAATCAGAAAAAGTTAATTACTTTCAAGGCGTTACATGATACTATAAAAAGCTTTAAAAACATGCGGATTATGACCAAGTCTAAGAAAATAAAATTTTACCCCGTTATATGTGCGTTTTTCTTTCTTATCTAGAATCTAATCTCATTATTTAAACATTTTAAAAAATAATGAATTAATTAACTGATGTGGCTTACAAAAAAAAATTAAAAATTCAGTAATAAAATGTGTGAGCTCCATCTATATTTTTCAAAGTATTATGGCTCCCTGCTCCTTATTTTGTTCCTCTTTTTTTTTTTTTTGTAAAAATTGGAACTTTCCCCTTCCAAAACATTAGTTCCAACCAAGATACCAAAACATTAAATTTAGTATTTTGGTGTAAAGATTATACTACAACATAGACACCGAATCACTGCACTATTTTGGTGCAAGAATAGTGCTACAATAGATTTGGTGTAAATTATTCATTATGTTTGCTATGTAATTGAATTTATAAAATGAATTATGTTGTGAAAATTATAATATTACATATTTTGTTGAGATCTAAAAAATAAGACCCATATTGAATATAAAATTTATTTTCGAAAAAATTAATTTTTAGTTATTATTAAAATTTAATGTGAAACAAAATTGAAAAAAAAAATGATACTACTACAATCAAATAAAAAGCGATTATAAGAAAACAAATTTCACAAAATTATAAACAAATTATAAGATTTTAATTAATCACAAAATAAAATTTAACCTAAAACATTTAATATTTAAACCATTTGGTGTATCAAAGTTGGAGATCAAAGAGTTTTAACATAAAATTTTTTTAAAATATTCTATTTTTACACTAAACTTAGTATGAATTATAGTGAAATGATTGGAGATGCTCTTATAATCTTACCGTAGCGTAGCACTTGTGTAGAATAATGATTACAGAGAAAATCATTTTGCAAATAAATAATCACACCTAATGTTAAGATGAATGATGACACCGAAACACGGAAACAGCTTAACTATTCAAATAGCTAAAACTTGGAAAATACCTAAATATAAAGTGTCACTCCAAATAAAACTTAACAAGGTCTTCAGAACAATAAATAAAAATGGCGAACGGCATAGAGAAATTAACGACTATCGTTGATGATGATAGCTAGTACGTAGGTTGAGTTTTACATTATGAAAATGACTTTTATATATATCAGGCTACCTAGTCTGATTTAATTATTTCTTTGTTTTTATTTTAATATTAATGAAAAAAATAATGTAAATCTTAAAGAATTCTAACATACGATTCTCATAAAATAAGGTTTAAATTAATACCTCCGTCCCAAAAAAGATAGACCATATTGATTTTAAAAAAATAATTCACATTAATTTTTTAAATTTATATTAAAACTAGTGTAAATCTCAAAACTTAATGTGAACTATTTTTCTGAAACGAAGAGAGTAATAAAGAAGCAAAATCCTTCGTGTGTAAGATGAATATAAATGGTTAGGGTCCTTAGGAACGTGGAGCAACGAGGTCTGATTATGACCATTCCTGCTGCACTTAAATATTCATTACCGGTATTTACAGTAAAAATTTTAAATTAAAATGAAAATTTAGCTCATACAATAAAACAACGAAAAGAAAATTAAACATTATACACATGAAAATATTAAAGATACAATTTTGCGTTGCCAATTGAATAAAGTAAAATTGTAACGAAACAGGAAAAGAAAAGAAAAGGCATTGGGCTAGACATTTGAAAGAAGTAGGCTAAAAGGTTACATGATCAGGCTGGCCTTATAGTTGGAAAAAATCGTTTGGGCTCAGAGCTCATGACTGGATGTTGATTTGGCGATGCAAGCCATGAAACGTATTGGAGGCAACTTTTTACAAAGAAAAATGGCATCCTCTTAGGGGAAGGATTTTTCTAGCCACCGATTTTAATTCTTTGGGCCACTACTTTTTTATTTTAACCATTTTATCCTTGTCATTTGACCAAACTAAATTGAAGGCGAGAGAGAATGAGCCACTCAAATGCATGTGGAGAAAATCAAAAAATCAGACCGAACCGGACAATTTATTCGGTTCAATTGGTGATACTTAATATAACTCAAATAATAAATTATTCATAAATTTAATGAATAAAGATTTTAATGACTTAAAAACTAGATTAACTAATTAAAAAAAGTAAAAAATCTAATTTTTACATGTAATAGCAATGAATCCGATTGATATTTTTTAAAAAAATTTTAGACTTTTTTAAAATAACAAATATTGATATTTTTTAATTATAAAAAAATAAAAAAAAATTAAAAAATCTAAATTAAAAAAATAACAATGAATCTGATTGATATTTTTTTAATTTTTAGAATTTTTTTAAATAACAAATATTGGTATTTTGTTAATTACAAAAAATAAAAATGAATCCGATTGATATTTTTTTAATTTTAAGACTTCTTTTAAATAACAAATATTGCTATTTTTTTAATTTAAAAAAATGACAAAAAAACAAAGAAAATCTAAAATTTTTTTTAAAAAATGGTCTTGACCGGACCGGTTCACTATATCGGACTGAACCGGGACCGACCGGGTAATGAAACTATTCCGAGTTAACCCGGGACGGGCAATGAACCCGCCCACTTGTTTACTCGAACGGGTTCATTGCCCGTCTCGGGTTAACTCGAGACAGGCAATGAACCCGTCCGGGCTAACAAGTGGGCGGGTTCATTGCGCATCCGGGGTTGACTCGGGACGGGTGAACCGCCCGATCAGCCGTTTTTTTTTTAATTTTCATTTTTTTAAAATTTTCTCTCTAGTCAAGATATTTGATTTGAAAAAATGACAGGGATAAAATGGTCCAAATTTGAAATTTGTGACTGAAAAAACTAAAGTTGATGGCTGCAAAAACTAACACCCTCCTTTTAAATCTGGTGAATGACTTTGTTCGCAATTTCGCATCATTCTTCGTAGTTTAATTTTTTTTTTAAAAAAAAAAATTTCCGTTACAATAACATATTACTATTAATTTCTTTGGAAAATAAAATGTAGACGTGAAGATCTTTATAAGATTATTGGAGATTTTCATTTTTTACAGCCACTTAACCGGTAATCAAAAACATTTCTTCGTAACCCTCGTACAAAAACAAACATTGTGACTCTCTTTAACAGATGCCGTTTGCATCATCTATTAACTTTCTAACTTTGCCTTCAATAAATGATGCTAATCACTTTTCATCTAGTTTTGGTTATAGTTTCAAATAATTAATAAATATCAAAATAAACATTTAACACATACATTAATTATTAAATGATTGCTTCCTTAGTTTACGTGTAGAAACTAAAAAAACCTATATTTTGAAATGGAGGGAGTATATAAATATAACTTTATGTTGTTGTTTGACCAGATTTTTGAAAATATTTACTGATTACGTAACAAAATTTAAGATGTGTATCACGGCCTAATTAACATTAGGGAAAAAAAAATGAAGAAGAAAGAAAGTAAAAGATGCTGCAAACGGCAAATTAGACTTGTAAATTAAAATAAATTATTTCATCATTTGGAGAAGCCAAATGGCGGCATTAATTTTAGTGCCAAAGCAAGGAATGTTTCTCGGCGGAGAATTGGGAGGTGGAAGCCTCTTTTTCATCATCAATTGAACGCCGGCAGCTTATTTTATCTTTTTTAGTGTCGCCGCCGTCGTATGAATATGAATAGACAAATCTGAAACGATTTTGGATAGGGAAATCAGAAATGATCATAATGCACCGACGTGAAGGGGAGAAGATTAAGGACTCGTTTGATAAAGCACTTAATGCTTAAAATCATTGGATTAAGTATTTTTTTTCATTTCGGCATATTTGATAACAAAAAATAATTACTTAATGAAATATAAAATACAAGCAATAAAAGTTAGTTTATTGTTTATTTTGTAACTGCTTAATGAATGAAGTATTTTTAAATCAGTATTAAGCATTCAGAATTAAACACTAATTTTTATAAACAGGCTAAATTATCGAAATTATAATGATCCAATCCAAATTAAATCAAGCGTATCTCTATAATCTACCGGAGTTGCTAAGCAACAACAAGTAAAATGAAGTCGGGGATAGAGTCGTTTACCAAAAGAGAGTAATTCTATTTCTATACGAGTTTGTCACGGTAGATTTTCTTAACTTTTGAGCAATGAAGAAAACAAAAAGTATAAACTGCATCTCATTTTCAGTTTTCTTCGTAATTCAAGCACTTCCGTTGATTTTATCCAAGAACCGTATTCTAAGTAATGACCACCCCATTATTACTAGTATTTTAGTTCTTAACCAAAATTGACAATTATTAAAAGGAAATGAAAGAAGTAACATTATTAGAGAAGGTCCAAAATGCATTGTTTCTACGGATAAAAAGATTGCTTTGTCGTCTTCAAAGTCTCTTTGCTATTGGCCAAAATTTCATACCCTCACTCACAAACTAAACCGAACATTATGAAGCACTAACGTTAAAACATCTGGAAGTTTACAAACCAACTGGCCGAAATACAAGTGCTTTTACATCACATTCCAAAACAGACAGTAATAAAAACTTCAAAGTTACGTTCAATTTTCCCAATCATTCACGAATCCTTAAAAAAAAAAGTAAATAAATCAATTATTGTCTAGTTTAAATTTTCATTTCTAGTTCAAATTGTATTAAAAGTGAAATCTCAAATTGGACAATAATTTTGGGACAAAAAGAGTACAAAGATTCCACAAAGAAAAGTCATACGAGGAACACGCATTGTGCTTAACGTCGCCGGCAAGAACTTCTGCAGATACTTACAAACAAATTTGTACAAACTTCATCATTTGAATGAAACCTTGGAAAAGACTTTGTAACTAAATAAATTCATCATTTCGACAAGTCAGAACTCTTTCTCTTTGTTTATCAGAATTATCTAACAAAATGACCCTTATTACAGAAAGATAGTAACATATAAATAGGGCCACTTTCTTCTCTACTGTATCTCATTCATTCATATTCATCTGTACCAGAAAAAAACACCAAAATATGGTGAACCCAATTCGGATTTCTTTTTCATTTCACTTTATTCTTACTCTGTTCTTCCTGTCAGCCCATCAAATCTCAGCCGTTGATTACCCGATCAACGTCTGGCCTAAGCCCAGAACATTCTCCTGGGCACACCCTCAAGCTTCCTTAATTTCTCCAAACTTTAGCATCATCATCAACCCATCATCATCGTCATCATCCAACCCGTTTCTAATCCGGGCTGTCAAACGTTACCATACCCAAATCCTCAGTGAAAAATACAACCCGCTAGTGACGCCGCTACTTAATTTGACGTCTACAACCCAACTCCAAACTCTCACGGTAAACGTTGTCGACCCGGCTGCGCCGTTAAGTCACGGCGTCAATGAGTCCTACAGTTTGTCGATTCCGACCTCGGAGGAATCAACGGCGGCCACCTTGACGGCGGGGACCGTATGGGGAGCGATGCGGGGTTTGGAGACGTTTTCTCAGTTAGTTTACGGGAACCCGCCAAAAATTGCTTCTGGGCTGTTCGTCTCCGACGCTCCCCTGTATCCACACAGAGGATTGATGCTTGATACTTCGAGGAATTATTATCCGGTGCATGATTTGTGTAGGTTGATTAAGGCGTTGAGTATGAATAAGCTGAATGTCTTCCATTGGCACATAACGGATTCGCACTCTTTCCCGCTGGTGGTGCCGTCGGAACCGGAGCTCGCCGGAAAAGGAGCTTACGGGGAGGATATGAAGTACTCGCCGGAGGACGTTAAAAATGTGGTTAAGTTCGGGATGGAACACGGAGTTAGAGTCTTGCCTGAGATTGATATGCCCGGTGAGTCATCCTGTCTTTCACTCCATTTTTTTTTTTCAATTCAGTTTTGCTTTTTCCCTCCTTTATTCGGATTTTCAGAGAACGTTATTCGTAGTTTCTACTTTCCATGACGTGACTTGGAAAAACATTAGCGGATACAACTGGAAAGTTGCAAGTCATCAATCAATTGTTTATTCCGAATATTTAATGAATTGTTTGACGTATGTGGGTTCAGAAGCTTTTCTTAGATCACGTTCAGATCATAAAGTATTGCTTAATTTCATATCGAATTTATCACGGAACAAAAAAAAAGAAAAGAAGATGTTCAGCCTATCTATCATCTACTGGTTTAAGCTTTGGAGTGAGGAGTGGACCTCGCGAATTATTGGGATTGGTTGATTTTGATGTGGAAAACGAATTGTATAAGAAATAGTTCGGTCGCTGCCATGGCATTCCGGTCTCTTTGATTTGGACTGCTCAACATAGAGGATTTAATGGAGAGGTAGACTTTGGAGTCTCTGTATTAAAGTTATACAACGCACATCTACGACCTTTTGAAGGTTTTTTAATGTGGTTGAAAGAAAATTCCTTCCTGTTTTGTGTCAAAAACTGCTAGTTCATACGGAGCCTTGCTTGCCGGCAATCAGAGCTTTATGCATTAGAAAGAGCAGAAAGCAACTAGACTTGTTTTCCTTTGTATTCTAGACCTATTTGAAGTTAAATCTTAAGTGACAAGTTGTTTTCTTGAGATGCACCTAAAAGTAAACTTGATCCATGTGTATATATTTCATTGAGATGCACCTAAAAGGATGCTATAGTTGCTTGAAATTGAATAACAATATAAAACTTTGGGAGACCTAATGAATAAAGATCGCTAAGAAAATTGCTACGCCTTCTTGATCATATTTGATCCATATATACAAGTGACTTTGTTATGGTTGTTGAAAAGATACAATCAACATGCGGCGGTATTACATAGTTCCTTCGGCATTGATGTAAATTTCTTTTGACTTTGATTTTTTTTGCAGCACACACCGGATCATGGGTATATGCATATCCTGATATAGTCACTTGTGCAAACATGTTTTGGTGGCCTGCCGGAGCAGATTGGCCTGACCGGCTTGCAGCAGAACCAGGAACTGGTCATCTGAATCCCTTAAGCCCAAATACCTACAAAGTTGTAAAAAATGTCATTCATGATGTTTTATCCATGTTCCCAGATTCCTTCTATCATGCAGGAGCTGATGAAATCACTCCTAATTGTTGGAAATCTGACCCTGCTATTCAAGCTTACGTTGCAAAGAATGGAACACTTAGCCAACTTCTTGAAATCTTTGTCAATTCTACCTTGCCTTACATACTTTCCCAAAATCGTACTGTGGTTTACTGGGAAGATCTTCTTCTGGATGGGAATGTTAATGTATCTGCTTCATTGCTACCTAAAGAGAATGTCATTTTACAGACATGGAACAATGGACCAATCAACACTAAAAAGATTGTCGATGCTGGTTACAGAGTTATTGTATCATCATCGGATTTCTACTACTTAGATTGTGGCCATGGAGATTTTCTTGGAAACGATAGCCAATATGATTTGCCACCAGGTACTAACCAAGGTAATGGAGGTTCATGGTGTGGACCATTTAAGACATGGCAAATCATTTATAACTATGATATTGCATATGGATTGAACGAGCAAGACGCTGAGTTGGTTATAGGAGGAGAAGTTGCACTGTGGTCTGAACAAGCAGATTCAACAGTGATGGATTCCCGAATTTGGCCGCGAACTTCTGCGTTGGCCGAATCGCTGTGGTCTGGAAACAGGGATGAGACAGGAAAGAAGAGATATGCAGAGGCCACAGATAGGTTGAATGAATGGAGGAACAGAATGGTGAAGAGAGGAATACGAGCTGAACCTATTCAACCTCTCTGGTGCATTCGAAATCCAGGCATGTGCAACACAGTTCATCCTTTCGTAGTTGATGATTCTTGTCCAAATCCCAAAATCTGATCCCTTTTTGCAAAGAGCTTTATACCTGTTCATGTTTTAAATTTCAGTATGTATCTTGCTAACATGCAATCATCCGGAAAAGAAAAACATTTCCTCTTCTTAGTGAAATACTTGTTAAATACTTCCTCCATTTCAAAATGTAAGTCACTTTAGACTTGGCATGTAAAATAAGGAGACAATCATACAACAATTAATTTATGTGTTAAATATTATACAACAACTTCTCAGTGGACAAGAATCATCAACAATTAATTTAGTTTTACCCCTCATTTATTACATTGGAACTATAAACAAGACTATATGAAAATAGATTAGCATTATTTATTGAGGATAAAATTGAAAAAATAGTCATTAATTTGCCTAAAATTTATAAAACGACTTACATTTTGAAAAATCTCTCCAAACCTAAAACGACCTGCAAATTGAAATAGAGGAAGTAGTGATTAATGTCAATGAAATCATAGGCATGAGGAATTTTGTCCTCGCAGCTTATCAAACCAGCAACAGATAAAATCTTCTTTTGACTCGTTGTAATACAATCATGTATGTTTTTCTGGTTAAGTTCATATTGTGTCACAAAATTGTTCAGAATCACATTGTAATTGAGATAATTGACCTTCAGGTACATAAACCATAGTCAAAAGATTCAGACAATTTTTGGAAGAAAATGAACAATTGGGAATGCCAATGACAGAGAAACATTATTTACTTTCCAAGGTTTACTGCCTTTATTGTCAGTTGAAAACAAAAGTAGCACTGTCTTCGTTCCGAAATTATTATTTAATTTGGAATTTCATTTTTAATACAAATTGTACAATTATTTTGGGAGATAGAAAATATGGTTTTTTGTGCGTAAGATTCCATAGAATCCATCTATTACCCACCTATACACTCATTAATTTGATCAAAATTGTATATCCTGTGATGAGAATTTGATCAATGCGTTTTCGAGCGGGATGAAGGTTAAAATAAACAGTTAACGAAGGGTAAAATAAATATTTAATACACAAATTAATTATTAAATAATTGTCTTATTAGCTTATGTGTAGAGATTAAAAAGACTTATATTTTGAAATGAAGGAAATATAGTATTTCGTGATTCTGATACCAAAAACAACTTTTAACCCATTGAAAGGCAACCTACCCATAAAGCTTTTTAATCTTTTGAGTGACAGAAAACAAAGGGAAGTTAACAGTTGATTGTGGGACAAACCCACTTTGAACTTGATCCAATGAGAAAATTTTAAAAATTCTAAAAATTATGCAAAAAAAAAAAAAAGGAAAGTGGGATCAATTTTGCAATTTGCAAATAACTTGGAAATTTTTTGGAAAGGATGTGTCATGTGTGGTGTTGGTGAAAGGGGCATCTCACGGAAACGTGAATTATTTTATTGTCTACATTCAGTAACACAAGACAAGCTGCACTATAAATGTTTTTTGTCCTTTAATTTAAAATTTTAAAGTTGATAAGAAAAAATTGAGGTCCCAACCTTAATTCCACGAAAGGTACATTTCTGTCGGATTTTACCTTAGAGGGACTACATTTTTTTCCCCCTTCTTGAATTCATTAAAAGATGAGGAATTGAGAGGATGAAGGAGAATTTCCCCCCTCCTTTTTGGGGGAAAAGATCACAATTTTTTCTTTTTTTTTTTGTTTGTTTGCAATATTCCTTATGCTGCATTCGGTTGATACTGACCCGAGATTTTTATAATTCCATCTGTTCTAAAAAAATAATCATTTAAAATTTTAAAAATACAATAAAATAGACATATTTTTGTCAGAAGGCAAAGTATTATTTTTTTTTTACCCGCTTTTGGTTTTCTTTTTTTTTTTTTTTTGAAAAGAAACCGCTTTTGTTAAAATATGAAGAATTGGATTACAATTACAACAATAAAGGCCTATGATACTTGATTGTCATCATAAATGTAGAAGTTCAACCCAATTATCCAAAAAAAAAAAAAAACAAAAAATGCATGATTACCTTCTATAAATGGGTAGCTTGGACAAAGATGGAACACAAAAAGTTGACATGTAACAAATGCTTTCTTTCCTTAGTTAGTAGTTCAAAATATGTGTAATATATATAATTTTGGGTTTCTTTACTTCAATAGACAAATGCGAAGTTGAAGAGTAATACTCATTTTAGCTCAATATGATTGATTATTATTTACAAAAGAATATTACTCCGTAAAAGTTTAATTTTCAAACAAAATGTTGCACATTATGCTCATGATGTTTCACTCAAATTCACACTTACTACAATAGTTTGCAACAGACCTTTTTTTTTTTTTAATCCTAGTCGGAATGACACACACGTGCGAGTACATATTCATATAAATAAAGGTACAAATTGATGTTCACGCGATAATTATCTCTAGAAATGGAATCACAATGACAATTACAATAAGAAAGATGATGAAGATGAAAGTATTTTTGAAAGTTAAAAGATTCTTTTTCTATTTTTTTTTTCTCGGGCTAGCAGATATTAATAATTTTAGTGTATGTGTCATTTTCAAGAAAGAATATAGGTTGTTGGCCTAGTATTTATGTTGCGAGGAACAAAAGATAGTTACAATTTTAGAAAATTAAGGAAGACAACGATTTTTAAATACATTCCTCGATCTAATATAATGTTTTACTAGTATTTTTTTTTATTTTAAAATATTTTTTCTTATAGAAAAAAGAAACGAAAATGGATATTTCTACCATCACACTTCCGTACCCTCATTTGCTGTGAGAGTGAAATCAGTACTAAGCCCAACCAAGAGATCTTACTAGACGGCTAGATTAATATTTCTCTCACTCTTTTCTCGTCCTTAAAAAAGGTCACGTTTAGTGTCTAATTAGAATACGAGATTAGAACTTTTTCTTTAATTAAAAGATTAACACATCTTCATCATCACTTAAAAGATTCCTATTTATCAAACGTTCAAATTATGAAGTTTATCCTGCTATATTTAGAATAAATTGTACTCCCTCTATTCAATTTATAGGCCGTTTTAGGTTTGGAGAGATTTTTCAAAATATAGGTCGTTTTACAAACTCTAGGCAAATTAATGACTATTTTTTCAACTTTATCCTTAATAAATGATACTAATATATTTTTATTTAGTCTTACTTATAGTTCTAATGTAATTAATGAGGGGTAAAATAAATATTTAACACATAAATTAATTGTTAGATGATTGTCTCCTTAATATACGTGCAAAGTCTAAAGTGACTTATATTTTGAAATGGAGGGAGTATGAAAAAATGTGTTGTATCATCATAAAACAAAAAAAATGATCTCCTTGTACTAACAAAATGGAATTTTATTTGCATTAACTAGTACTCCCTCCGTTCTAAAATAAGTGTCGTTTTAACAAAATGGAGAAATTTCAAAATAAGTGTCGTTCTCACATTTCAATGCACTTTTTGTCCAAAATTTTTAAAATTACCCTCAAAAGAATTAATTTTATTGGTGGACATCTTTTTAAAGGGGCTGGTTGAGGATATTCAAGTAATTTTATTACCCTATTTAAGAGTTTCTTAAACTATGTGCAAAGTGTAGGATGACACTTATTTTGAAATGGAGGGAGTAGCAATCTACTTAATATGGCTAGTTAAGTTTGAATTGGGAGTTTTGTCACAATGTGCTCCCTCCATTTCAAAATAAGTGTCGTTTTAGTAAAATAGAGAAATTCCAAAATAAGTGTCGTTCTCACATTTCAATGCACTTTTTGTTAAAAGTTTTCAAAATTACCCTCAAAAGAGTTGATGTTATTGGTGGACAATTTTATAATGGGGTTGGTTGAGGATATTGAAGTAATTTTATTACCCTATTTAAGAGTTTCTTAAACTATGTGCAAAGCGTAGGACGACACTTATTTTGGAATGGAGGGAGTAAAATTTATTGCACATCACCGAGTTGTAATTAAGTTTTTACTATCTCAATTTCACAAAAATAGTTTACATTAAACTTTGAGTTTTGTACTGTTTTTTATAGTACAAATTTCAAAAATTAATATAGATTTTCTAGGAGTATCGTTTTAGATTATTGAAATGGGAAGGGAGCATATATATTTTTTTAATTTAAAATTTTTGATAAATTGTCCCCAACTCGCCATGAGTTACGTACAAAAAATGATTTCAAACATTAAAAACAGTTGCAGAAAGCGCTGAAACGACAAACAAGGGCAGCTGTTAAATTGGCTCAAAAATGAAGAACTCAGGCCCAAAACATCCCATTCCGATCCCTCCTCGTCCACTCTTCCACTTTTCACATTCCATTTCTCCTTCATTCCTTCATTGATTTATTTTTCCTTTTTCTTTTTAATTTTTTTTTTCTTTGGTTGGCCGTTTTCTCGCTTTTGTATTCCTGTTCTGCCCTTTCCACCGTCTTCCCTCTGTTAAATACAGAGCGTCGGCAGTTTTTCTTGGCATCATTCTTACATATACAGTACTACTTTGGCTTGTTGTTCTTGGTATTTTCAAACTATAAATTTTCAAACTTAGGATTTCAAAATTTGAGAACACCCCAGATTGTGTTTGTTGCATGGTTTGGGAAGATGTACAAAAGTAAGGGAAAAGAATCCGCCTCTGGGAATTGGATGAAAGTGATGAGGCAAAATGGAATGCTTTACTACTTTGCAATTGTTGTGATGTTATTGATGGTGGATTTGAGTGAAGGGTCCAGGAGATTGGACATTGAAACTCAGAATCTTGAAGTTCAGAAGCAATTGAACAAATTTAACAAGCCACCAGTGAAGACCATCAAGGTCAGCCCTTTTTCTGCTTTGTCAAATTCATGCTTCCTGTGTTTGTATGTTTGCTTGGGAGACTCATTTCATAGAGAAAATGATGTTTCTTTTGCAGAGCCCAGATGGTGATATCATTGATTGTGTTCATATGTCCCATCAACCGGCATTTGATCATCCTCTGCTCAAGAACCATACCATTCAGGTTAATCAACTAGTCCTCGGTTTCTTTACAGAAGTTCTACAACTGCTAAATGCTAAAAAAAGGTCTCTTCTTTTTCAATGTTTTGATTGGAGTTTTTAGATGAGGCCGAGTTATCATCCAGAAGGGATTTTTGGGATGAGCAAAACATCCAATTTGAAAAAAAAGACAAGACCAAACACTCAACTCTGGCACTCCAAAGGAAGGTGCCCTGAGGGAACCATTCCAATTAGAAGGGTAAAGCAGGAAGATCTACTGAGAGCAAGTTCTATTGAGAGGTTTGGAAAGAAGAAACACAAGAGCTTTCCTAAGCCAAGGTCTGCTTCTCCTGACTTAATCACCCAAACTGGTCACCAGGTACACCAAAATCTGTGGGTTTTTTTTTTTTTTTGACATGTATTTCCCTCTTTTCCCATTCATTGTGGTTGATTTTGGGTCTTTTTCGCCCTTTTATGCTTGAGTTCTTCAGCATGCAATTGCTTATGTTGAGGGAGGAAGGTATTTTGGTGCAAAGGCAACCATAAATGTTTGGAAACCTCAAATTCAGCAACCAAATGAGTTCAGCTTGTCTCAGATTTGGCTATTGGGAGGTTCTTTCAATTCTGATCTTAACAGCATTGAAGCTGGTTGGCAGGTACACTTTTGACCATAAAACCATTTTAAATCACCAATAAAGAAGGCTGTTGATTAATGCCAAAATGGACCACTTAAAGTCATCTTCCACACTAACATTACATATACTATTTGACTAAAAATTTCAGGTCAGCCCTGATTTGTATGGAGATAACAACACAAGACTTTTCACCTATTGGACTGTAAGCCATCAAATTATTGAGTAGTAATAGTAGTACTTCTTCTTCTTCTTCTTTTTCTTCAATTATTGGGTTGGTTGGCACTCATCAGTTTTATTTATTTTTTATTTATTCCACACTAATACAGCTAAGCACATAATTATTTGTCTCGTGGGCTTCTTGTGTTGAAATTTTTGAATACAATGATGACAGAGTGATGCTTATCAAGCCACGGGTTGCTACAACTTGCTCTGCTCAGGCTTTATGCAAATCAACAATGACATAGCTCTTGGGGCCAGCATCTCCCCCATCTCTGGCTATAAAACTAACCAATATGACATCAGTTTACTTGTTTGGAAGGTAAAAAAATGATACTTTTAAGTTTTGACTACTTAGAAAAGTAATCATTTGTTTCTTATTAGGATGTTCAAAAATCAAGAATTTCATCATTATCATCATTATGATATCATTAAAAGAAGTAAATTTTATATATTTGCTTTGAGATTAACAGTGTCTTGTTTGGTGTGCTTTTGTGGTGAATGTTTGTTCAACTGGACAAGTCCATCACAAGATCCATCACCATCCAATGTTGTCCACCTTAAACTATTATATGTATGACGTCCAAGTAGTCTGCTTGATACAATCATAAAAGAGTATTAGAATATGCATGGAAGTCAGAGAATCTTTTACACATCTTTTGGCTTGATGCATCATTTTTTTAAAAAGTAAGGGTCAAAATCTGGTCTACTTTCTTATTCACAGATTAAGGGGTGGTAATTTTCGGCGAAGGTTGTCAATCTTATTTAATATTTCTATAAAACTTGTAACTTTTGTTAGATGTCATATTTTACCGTGTAAAAACTAGATCGTGTTAATGTTGTGTAACACATTTATATATGTCACTAAGTTATATTCGTATCAGAATTTCATATCGTGTCACGTTTTATCATTAATTATCCGTCATTATTCATTTGATTACATCTTTTTGTGACTGCTCCATGTGTTGTTGATAGGATCCAAAAGAAGGCAATTGGTGGATGCAATTCGGAAACGATTATGTACTTGGGTACTGGCCGGCTTCTCTATTTTCTTACCTAGTTGACAGTGCTTCAATGGTGGAATGGGGTGGTGAAGTCGTAAACCTAGAATCAGATGGATTACACACAACTACTCAGATGGGTAGTGGCCATTTCCCGGACGAAGGGTTTTCAGGAGCAAGTTATTTCAAGAACATCCAAGTAGTAGATGACTCAAACAACTTGAGAGCCCCTGATGACCTAGGAGTTTTTACTGAGCAGTCAAACTGCTATGATGTACAGCTCGGTAAAGACGGGGGTTGGGGTAATTTCTTTTACTATGGAGGACCTGGTAGGAACCCGGATTGCCCGTGAATGAACAAACTTCAGCGTGGCCATATATGTAAAAAAAAAAAAAGAGAGGAAACTTCTTGTTTCTGTTTGTCTTGTTTGATCCTTGATGTCTCTCAAGTGGGTCACTTGTAAGTTAGTTTAGAGGTTAGGCTGCTATATAGCAACATGTGAATCTTTGTCTCCTTTTCTATTATGAAAAGTTTTGACTCCTCATTTAAGGTTCTCCACAAAAGAGTTTGGAGATGGGAGGAATCGGAAGAGTGTGAAAGCTTATCGATTTTTTATCATGATTGTCCTACTCATTTGTTTTGGAAATTCAAATCGTCTTTCAGATTAGATTTTTCGTCTCACTTATATTTATTAATGATTAAATTATTATTAAATCAACATTTCAGTTATAATACATTCCCCATGTAGTCCTAGTGAGAAAACTAGCATATGTTGAATTTTTATTTCTACAAATGAGACGATTTTATGAGATGATAATAGTACTCTCTCCGTCTTATAATTATTGTCCAGTTTGGATTTTCATTTTTAATTCAAATTGTATTAAAACTGAAATCTTGGACAATAATTCTGGGACAGACGGAGTAAGTGATAAGAAACACAACAAGAGTGACAAACAATCTCGTTTTCAGTATACATATAAAAACGTAATGGATAATGCTATTGTATTTGTAGTTCACATGATTTAAACAACAAGAGTTTGGTAAAGAAAAGTATATATTATGGAGAAGATTCTCATGCATGTTGCCAGAGTGAGTCTCATATGCTTTGGTAGATTCTGACAACTAAATGGATGGATAAAATGATGCGCACCACTTCTTTCATGTGGTCCAAAAGAAACTCTATATGAGCACACAAAATATGTCCCAAGTCCAAAACAATTTTTTTGTTGCAACAACATAGAAATGTTTTCTCATCTTTGGACTAGAAACCAAATTCGAAAATTATAAAAAAAGAAACTTTCAGTTCAGAAAATAATAAACCTTGTAGTTTGTACCAAAAGATAAAAATAAAAATTTAAAAGCAATCAAGTCTGCAGCTAACTGTAAACATAACTTCAGCCAGACATTTTCATGATTCCGGAGTCGGCGATTCTGAAACCATAATGATGGGAACCGAAGCCAAACTTTAAGATCTCAATTTCGGTTTCTTTTGATTTTTGTTCAGTTTTAGTTCCAATTTATCACGGTTCCATAATGTTTTTATGCATTGACTTTAGGATTATACGTTTTGGTTCGGTGTATATACTCAGTTTCTTTTTAATTTGTGAAAAGTTAAAAAAATTTAAATTTCTCATTAAACTAAAAATCTACGTAGATAACTAATGGGTATATTCACAATTTTATTAATATAAAAATATTACTAAATGTCAAAGTATATAAGTATCTTGGGCTCCTATCTCAAAACCAATTGGCAATGAGTGGGGTGGCCTTTGACACTTATATACAGGGTCACTTCTCTTCACGGTGACAATGTGGGATAAGATAATACACCTTAACACCCTCCCTTAAGTCCAATAGGTCTTTAAATTTTTTGCCCTCTTGAAACTAATATATAACCACATAACCTACTGGAACCACTTGTGGATCTATATTTGGGCCTTCAAGATGGTATCAGAGCGGATTTTATCCGCGGACCTGTATGACTTGTGGGACGGACTTTGACTGGACCGGCAGTTATATCCGAGGTCTAATTTACTTATCCATTTTTGAGCCTTCTATTTCTACTTCTTCTAATTACCCAAATCTGGGCCTTTGTCAATGAGGGGTTACCGTAGTGGGACAGTCTTACACCCCTCACCCGCATGACGCGGGTTCAACACCCAAGGAGGGGAAGGCTCATTTGAGCCATGTATAAAAATAAATAAATAAGTAAATAAAAATTTGGGCCTTCTATTTCTACTTTTTCTACTTACCCAGTTATATCTGGGCCTTTATTGATTCGGCAGTTTATCCGGTTTGTCCAACCCCTTTCGGGCTCGAAAGGGGAGTGTTAGAGAATATTGCATATTGAGAATTGCCTAAGTTCCCTTTTCCCATATTGGAATGGGAGACTCTTGAAACCAATATGTAATCACATGTACTACGCCCATTATCACCCCACATTGGAAACGGGAGACTCTTGAAACTAATATATTAGCACATTTACTACTCCCCTTATCACCAATTGGTTTTAAGGTGGAACCACATGTGAGCCTATATTTGGGCCTTCAAAATACCCAATGGACTTGGATCAGGACAAGAACAGAATAGTTCACGAGTCAACGCTCAAGTGAGAGAAAGCCTGTTATACCGTTGGATCATTCCACAACAAGTCTACGAGTCAACGCTCAAGTGGGAGAAAAGTCAATTATACTGCTGGATCGGTCTACAACAAATCCACGAGTCAACGATCAAGTGGGAGAATATAAAATCACCATGTCAAAGTCACCTTGGTCCTTGGACTCCCATATCAAAACTAATTGGCAATGAGTGGGATGGCCTTTGGACCTTATAAACTGATGTCAGATTCTTTACGATACCGATATAGGATTCTTTGTCCTAATAGATATATTTATTAAGACCATTCTTGAATACTAGCAATTCAACTAATAAAACATGTATTTCGGGGGAGCCAGTTCTTGAAATCATTGGCTCCAAAGCAAACTAGTTAAGCCAAACACACCACACATGATAATATGACCAATTTACATGTTACGATTAGAGGTTTACATTCTCATAACATGTTAGTATGGTTTCAAGTCATGTCTCTTTTATTATAGTAGTACAAAGAACAAAGCGCTTTTATTGCTAAATATTCCCTCCGGTCCTTAATAAAAATCATTTTGATTTTGTCCTAAATTTCACATAATATGAATTTTCGATTGATGAAAAAACTTAAAAAATATATTTTTATATTCGTTAGGAAATATTTTTAAGGTTTTTTCGTCATGTAAAAATATGTAGTGGGTGAAATTTAGAACAATTCAAAATGTCTTATTTTAAGGACCGGATAGAGTACATGATGGAGAAATGCCAAACATACCACTTCGAGGTCGGCCAATGCAACGACCTACTCGAAGCAAATTCTTCCTTTAAAATTCCTGAGCATAGCTGATGATATGGCAGATGATCCTACATATAGTTCAATTTTATTTTATTTTTTCTTTTTAGAAATGCTTTAAGAGCGTAGAAATGATGATCCTGTTTTGAATAAGATTGATTCTAACATAGAAAATTGATATAGTACATCATACATCCATCCCTTCGCCAAGAAAAGCACTTCTTACTGGGTGATTGCAGTCCCTTAAACGGTCGATAATATCTTCTAATTCTGCAATTCGTAACGGAAACTTTGAACAAACTACAATCGGAATAACTAGAATACACATCAACGGTTCACTGTAAATTGAGTTAGTAGCTAGTAAATATGAGCCACCCGATCGTGAGAGGCCACAAGAAGACCTAACAATAGCTTGGCATTTTCAAATTCAGTACTTTCCAAAATGTCATTAGTGAAATGGAGTCCTACAAATCCAACAAACATATCGTACATGCAATTAAAACAATCAAAATGCCCTGTACAGGGCAAACTGCTCTCACTTAAATATAAGATTACAGTCCTATGAAATCAGATATAAAGAATCACTTATATATAAGATTACAGTCCTATGAAATCAGATATAAAGAATCTAACTTAATTTCAAAACTCAAACGCGTGAAAATCATTGCTTACACAAATTACAGTAAGTGAGAATAGAATTAACTCCCCTTGTACGTACAAAGAGATGATAATAAGCTACGCGGAATGCAAACCGGCCATAATTTTAGCTCAATCAGAAAGCATGGTGGCCATATATGCATTTCATTTCCACCCTTCCTCTTTTCAGGTTTCAACTGAACACTAAATGCTTCCATCCTTCGAGTTCTCATGTTGTAAGACACGATGTCATAGTCATTCAGAGCCAAATAAATAACATCAGCATCGTATGGATGGAAAGCTGCTGGCAGAACTTGAAACATCTCCTCCACCAATAATAATTTATCATCCACTATTACATTTTCCTTGTTGATTCTATGCTTCAGATACCATCGGTTCATGCTGTAGTCCTCAAGTACCCATACCTTCAAATCTGAAAAGCCTTCCCATTCATACACACCCTCCATTTCACAAAGCACAAGGCGTCCTTGTTGGACATCACACAAGCTTACTTTTCCCTTTGACTTAGGACTCTTAAAGCCGTCCGGGACTGAAATGATTCGGAACTTTTCAGGAGTGTTATAAGGATCATATGCTATAATTCCACGCCTGCCATTTTCCCAATGCAGATTGTTATTCAAGTAAACAGCTCTCTTTAGACCGAAGACACGAACAGGGTGATCAGACTTCAAGCTATACTCGATCCATTCACCAGTTTCAGAAGAAAAAACCTCCAACTCTAAATGAATTCGCCCCCTTGGTGGACAATGAAGTAATACGACCTTGTAACTAGTTAAAATGCATTCTTCTTCAACTTGTGCAATAAACCCAACGCTTACTTCTTTTGACAAATACTTGGGTGCGGGAGGAAGGGCAAACCACTGCTTGGTTATCGGGTTACATATATAATGTTCCACTTCAGACATGGGGTGCGCAGGATGCGACAAACCATACAAAACAAACCCATTGCTAACTGCTTTGACAAGATAAAACATACGATCCTTCCTTGCGTTTGCTTCCTGTGACATCGGCAGAGGAAGTACATAACAACCAGGTAATGACACTTTACCAGAATGTACATCCTCTAGTCTTTCATAATGAGGATATGTAAGAAAATTAGAACCTTCCACACGCATATAACAAGGAACAAGAGCCCAAGCGGGACAGCCACGAGGCGCTGGCGAAGACAAAGGAAAGCAGGATCGCGACATGTAAAAACGGGGAAAAGAAGGATTAGATATGAAAGAATGCCAATGTTTGGATACACATTTACACCTGATGACCAACTTGATAGGAAGCCATGAGAGAATTTCTGAGAGTAACCAGTCAGGAAAAAAGCCCTCACGAATTTTGATATGTCCCACAAGTTTTCTCAGTTTACGCTGCCCCTCCTTCCCAATACTACAACGCTTGAGTCTCTCAATCATTGACCCCGGACTAGCAGTACAAATTTTGAGCACTAAAGATTTTCCCTGAAACTCAGAAAGAAAGATTTCTTTTTATTCTTATTATTTTTTAGGAAAAGGAATGGTTTACCGCAATAATATTTGATAGGGAACTGATGAAGCAGAAGCCGTAGGATCTTAGGTGCTATTAAACCAGAAAAATTGATGCAAAATAAACTGAACCAAAACAGTGGAAAGATGCCAGGGAAGAAAAAGCTTTTTTGGTTATTGATGAATCCGTGTAAATTCCCTTCGAGAAAATACATTATTTATAGAAGACTAAACTAAAGCAAAAAACTTTTAGGAATCAGTCTCTATAGTTCCCAAAGAAACTATTCCTTGGTAGAATCGAACTGTAAAACCAAAACCTTGTCTATTAAAAATCACTCTAGTTTCCAAAAGCGCTACTTCCCCAAAAGATTCAAACTTTAAAACAGAACCTAACCTGACTCCATATAAAACAGACATTCAGAACCCGGAATCCCTGGATATCACGGGAAGAGGTAAATTACTGAGATACCCTCGAACTTCAAATTCTAAAAATGGCTGAAAAAACCATGGCTATTATTCCATCCAAATCATGGAAAATCAAAGTTTGAGGAATTCTTCTTGTGAGCGTTATTACCGTTTGCAATTGGATCTTAGTTACTACAATTTGCGATCGAAAGCTGCCAAATAAGAACGATAATTTATATATCCCAGCCATTCATGCAGTCCACGAGAACAGAGCAATGCAACTTTGGGTTTTCCAGACTACTAATCCATGTCAAAATCAAATGCAAATAACAAGAAATTAAAAATTCAAAAAACATAAGCCAAAGAAGGATGCTTTATAATCACCTTGATTCCACCAGCGTTAATGTTTTTGGTATCTACTGAATCTGCTCTTGTGATGTTAGCAGAGGATCCGACGGGAGGAATCGGCTGGAATTCATAACTGGGAGTGACGGTGGAATCCGCTCCGCCTCCCCCGCCGCCGATGTGGTGGTGGTCGACAGCGGAAGGGTCCGTAAACTCCCCTCCGCCTACCTCGCGGCCGATGCGGTTGTGGTTGATGGTGGGAGGTTTTGTCTGATCCATGAACTGATAAATTGTGGTGATATTTTTACATCTGTGTTAAATTTCTATTATCCAACACATCGGATTTTGAAATTTGAATTTAATCTACAAGAGTAAATTACTTAATTGATCCCTTGAATAAGAGTTAGGATTCGTAAGTACCTAGCAATTTTCAGAAAAAGGGCAAAACTCAATATTGGTCCCTAATGTTTAGGGGAAGTTCAATTGACTCACTAAAAAATATTTTTTTTTGGTAACGCCGGGAACCCCTCCAGAGATGGGTAAACTCACACCCACTGTAATATCCTGCAAACCACAGTGTGAGAGAAACCTAGCATGCAAAACACAGTGGGAGATAAACCACTCTAGGCAAACTTGGGGTGACAAACTTGGGTGCAAAATCGAGGGTTCATGAGTGGGTTTGCCATAACAAATGGGTAAACCCACGCCTACTGCAATAGTCCGCAAACTACAGTGGGAGGTAAATTACCTTAGGTAAGTCCGGGGTGACAAGCACATGTGCGAAATCGGGGGTTCATGAGTGGGTCTCCCATAACTAGCCCTCTAGAGGTGTCAATAGACAATGTCTCACTGTTGTTGGAGTGGGGGTTTGAACTTATGGCCTTCTTTTGAAAGTAAGGGTGGTTTTACCACTGAACTAACAACTCATTCACCACTAAAAAATATTGTTCAACAATTTTTATACCATTTTAAGTTTATAACACGTTGATATATTTGGCAAAAATTCTATTAAATTAACAACCAATCAGTTAACTATTTATATTTAATTAGTTTTTTTACTAGTTTGGGTCCCTTGATTTTTTGATTTAGACTTCAATTGTAAAAAGAAAAAATAAAAATAGAAAGAAAAACAAAAAAGCACCCTTCTCCTTCAGGGGCGGAACCACCTTGGGACTTGGGGGGTCTCAAGCCCCTCAGGTTTGCCGAAGATACCCATAGAGGTATCCCCTACTGGAGCCTTGGTGGTCATACTTTAATTACTCAGCTCCTCCCCCCTCCCCGAAAATATGAGTGTGAGGAGGTTTGAGGAATATACTAAAGCCCAACTTGAGGGTTGACATTATTAGATTATTAATTCCAAGATTGGTCACTATGATTTAGAAAATGATAGATAAACCCCATATCACTTAAAAATCTTCATATGTGCCTTTTTTGAATAGAAGTAACGCCCCCTTAAGTTCTAAATGTTTTATAATTGACATCACATCCTAGTATTTCGTACTTTTAGGAATTAGAATAATTTAGCCAAATGAATCTTAGGCCTTCTTTATTAAAAAGATTTGTAAGATTTGTAGATTTTAACACCATAATAATGTGAATATTAGAAATAATAAAGATATGCATATTATTTCATTTCAATTATTATTAATAAAAATTCCTAATATATGTATTATTTGATAAAGTCAAAAACATTAAAAAATTTCCCTCCAAAGTCTAATACACGGCGAGCCCCCCAAATACCAGAGGCTGGTTCGCCCACTGTTCTCCTTTCCTCTTCTTCTCACCATGCAGCCACCGCCGCACCACAACTACCACCCCATCACTTGCTTAGGTGCGGCAGAACCAGTGAAGCACCTGGGTCGCCGCCGAATTTTTCCTATAATAGGAGTATGAAAACGCCACTTATACTCCTAATTTTTGACTTTCGGAGAGTTTGGTGGCTGGGCGAAGTAAGGAGGAGAAGAAGAGGTAGCAGGAAAGCCAAGTCTTTTTATTTGGTCTGAAATTTTTGATTTTGGCCCAGACTAATTAAAATGTGTACTTTCTAAAAGAATTCCACCTGCTCAGAACCCATATAAACAATAAAACAAGAACCTTTTCATTCCACAAACCATCAAAGTCTTACATGGATTATATATTAGGACCAAAGATTACCGGTGACAAAATAGCAAGAATCTTTCGCCGGAAAGACATTAGAAGAACAAGAAAAGGGGAAAACGACAAACCGTTTTGATTTTCAATTAACTTAATATTCGATATTGAGTAATACACTTGACCTCCTATATATACACTTAAGCGGGTCAAACTGAATACCCGCCCACACCGAACCCGATTTAGGGGAAACGGGTCATTTAATCAGTTTAATTCGGTGATAATGGTGAACCCGGTAAACCGCAATCACAAATCGGTATGGGTGCGAGTGAGGGAATTTTTGTTCGGGCACCGCCCGGAACCCGTAATTATTATTAACTTTGTTATAAAAAATAAAAATATGTATATGGTAATTGCTACTAGGGTTTCTTTTACTCCTCATTTACGATTTACCACCTTATTCTTTTTTTTGGCTGCTGCTGCGTAATCGCGGCAACGTCGTCCCTTACCTTCACTTCCACCATAATCCGACCGATGAATCCGTCATTCCTTCACTTCATTTCGCCGGTCATCTTCCGTAACCAATCCGGCTAACCATCAATTCGACCATCTCCTCCAAACGGACCAAATCAATCGATTGCCCCTTTCAGATCTAGTCATCCCTCCATCTCTTATTCCGACTTCCGAAAGTAAACTCCGGTCACTCCCTCATTCCTCACATGCGTTTCCTCTAGTCCTCTTCAAAGCAACCAGAATACAAGTCAACCAGATCTAAAATACGAGGTAAGAATACCTTCGGTTCAGCTCTTTTTTTTTTTTGCATGCTCTCTCTATGGCTATGATCTATTTGTGTTCTGTGTATTGTTCCCTTGATTAGTTCGTTTTGTTTTTTTTTTTTTAAGATTTGGTGGCTTCTTTTTTTGGTCAGGGTTCTTTGATTTTTGTAATCAGTGGAGCTTTTGGGTTTCTTTTTTTTCTCGTGATTCTTCTGATGAAACTCTAATGTTCAAATGGATATGCTTTTCAATTTTTCCTTTTACTGTTTTACTTTTTGCATTTCATTAGATTTTTGGTTTGTCATACTCCCTACTCAGAGGTCTTTGGATTCTTGTTGCCTTGTTGGTACTGGCTACTGTCTAGTGACCATTGAAGAAACAAATGGAGGTTGTGTATACTGTAATTTTATTTGATCAATGTTCTTGTAAATTGTATCTTGTTGGTGGCTTTATAGACTGTACTTTAATCTTATTTGGATCAGTTTCAATTTGTTATTGTTGCTGCCAGTGGTGGATTGTGACTGTCAACTGTGTCTCAATGAACTAATTTTTTCTTTTTCTGGCTTTTTAGATGTCTCAATTTGATGATAACATTGATGACATTGAGGACATTGAGGATAAGGAGTTTGAGGATCAGGAGCTTCTGAATATACTGCCTCCTCTGCATGATATTCCCGAGAATGGACATGTCATGATCGATGTCAAAGTCGAAACGATGGGACCAGTTGAAGCTGTTTGTAAGCCTTCAGGCAAACGCAGGGTAAATTGAGAAAGGTCCATAGTATGGCCCCATTTTTCTTCTTTTACTGATGCAAAAGGTGAAGCATGGGCTGCATGTAAGTACTGTGATAATTAGTATAGGGCTGAAAGTAGAAAACATGGAACAAGTAACCTTCGTAGTCATTTGCTGGTTTATAAGAAGTATTTGTCTTTGAGCCATGATCCTGGTCAAAGTAAGTTAATTGCTGAAAGTAAGGATGGAGCACAAGCTAATATAACCAGCTGGATGTATAATGAAAAAGAAATCACAAGGGCATTTATTTATACAATCATTGTCGATGAGCTTCCTTTCATGTTTGTTCAGAAAAAAAGGGTTTAGGTATTTTCTGCGAAAGTTGCAACCTTTGTTTGTTCCCAAGTGTAGATAAATTGTAGCTACTGATTGTTATAAGTTGTATTTGGCTTAGAAGGATAACTGAAACTTGAGATCAAGGGAAACGTTAGTAGAATATGTTTGACCACCGATACTTGGACTTCTTTGTAACAAATTAATTATATGTGTCTTACTGCCCTTATGTTGATAACAATTGGAATCTGAAAAAGAAAATCTTGAGTTTCTGGCCTATTTCAAGTCATAGAGGTGTTGATATTGGTACATCAATTGATGATTGTTAGTTGGATTGAGAAATTAAAAATGTGTTTACTATCTCTATTGACGATGCAAGTGCTAATGATGTTGCTTTGGATTATTTGAAAGAACAATTTGCTCACCGAGAAAAATGATTTTTGCCTGCAAAATGGTTGCATGTTCGTTGTATGGCTCATGTAATGAATCTTGTTGTTAAGGATGGTTTGAGTCATATTGGTAAATCCGTTGAAAGGATTAGAGCTGAAATAAAATATATTAGGCATTTCCCTCAAAAAATTGCAAAGTTTAGGAAATAAGTTGAAATAAAAAAGTATAATAACTCTAAGAATTTGGTTTTAGATGTTTGTACAAGGTAGAATTCCACATATTTGATGTTGAAAACTGCCCAAGCTTATGAGAGAGCATTTAAGAGGTTTGAATTAGGTGAACCACAGTATAGGGACACTCAGAAACATGTTCATGGGGTGCCAAATTCAGGGCTTGGGCTACCTACGTTATTGGATTGGGTAGAAGCTAGGATAGTGGTTGGCCTTCTTCAACATTTTTACGAGATTACGTTGAGGATATCTCGTACCAAATCTGTCTCTTTGGATTTCTTTTTTGATGATATTACTTGTATTGATGTGATGTTGAAGAAAACCATCAATGAAACAGTAGATCCTAAACAACAAGCTATGGCCTTAATGATGAAATCCAAGTTTGATAAGTACTATGGTGACATTGAAAAAATGAATGTTGTTCTTTACATGGCAAGTATTTTAGATCCAAGAAATAAATTGGATTACTTAGAAATTGTTTTGTATGAAGTGTATGAAAAAGTTGATGGGGGAAAGAAGCAAGATTTTGTTAAAAGTTCTTTGTATGAGTCATATGCGGATTATGTTAGAATCCATGCCTCTGATTCTAGTTTTAGTTCACCTTCCTCCACTCTTGACAGTAGTTCTTCTCAGTCTGCTACATCGGGGAAAAGATCTTCCCCGATAGACGTTAAACCTTCATAGATACTTAGGAATAAATTTAGGGCAGAGTTGTTGAAGAAGAAAAATTTAGAAAGTGGTGAAAATAGTGCAAATTCAGATTTGGACAAGTATTTGATGGAGACAACCGAATTAGGTGGTCCAACATTTGAGATTCTGAACTGGTGGAAGGTTGATAGTCAAAATTTCTGATCATTTCTTTGACGGCTCGTGATATTTTAGCAATCCCTATATCTACTGTGGCGTCCGAATCTGTTTTTAGCACGAGTAGGAGGGTATCGGATGCTTTTAGGAGCTCTTCAACTCTGAAGACTATTCAAAACTTAATATGCGCTCAAGATTGGCTTAGGGAGGTTGTGGATTCAGAAGGTGTTGAAGAAAAATGGAAAGATCTCACAAAAATTGAAGAAGATGGTCAAAAGTACTAAATGGCATTTGTGATTTTCAATATTTGCATCTTGATACTTTTAGCTATTTAAATTCATTTGGGGTTACAACTTATAATAATTTTTTTTCAGGTGCTGAAACAGGGGAACAAAATCTGGACTGAGTTAGGATGTGGCAGTGCATGAGTGTAATGATCAACCGGACTAAACTTTAATGGTAGGTAGATTCTAAACTTTACTTATCAAACTGAATTTCTGAATTTGTAGACTGAAATTTTGAGTTTGTGGCCTGAGTTTGCAGACTTAATTTCTGAATTTTTGAATTTGCATTTCGCAGATTGCCAAGTTGAAGATTGTAGTGCAACTGTGAACTGTGAAGACAAGACTGAAGTTGAACTGCGAAGACTGAAATATGTTTTTCAGTTTTTTGAACTCTGTTTAAGTGTTTTGGATCTTTCAATTTCTGTTAGTGTTTTGGTCCTTTTTGATCATTGAACTCTTGATTCTTGAACCTTTTGTGTTCTTGAATTTCTGTTTATAAGTTCTTCCTAGCAGTTGACTGTCAATTGTGGACTTGTGAGTTGTGAAACTTTTTAATTTGTTCTCAACAGTGAACTATGGGCTTGTAATGAACTTTTAAATTTGTTATAATGTTGTGGGCAGTGAACTACATTTTGTCAAATGTATTGTTGAATGCCGAATGCCGAAATGAGACCATTTGTGTTGTGAACATTTGACATTTGTGATCTTTTTCTTTTTTTTTTGCTGATTTAAGTTAAGTTTAGATATATATAGGTGAATTACCATTGGAATGAACATTTCATTTTGTTCAGATTAGTGAACTACATTTTGTTCAGTCACTTTCAGATTGTCTTAATTTGGTTGGACCGAAACCAAATCGCTAAACTCGATTGTTTATTCGGTCAGTTCGGTTTGGTTTAATAGTTTGTGCAGTTCGATTTTGGGCAGTTCTTATAAGTGAAAAAATCCGATTAATTCGAACCGGGATTCACCCAAACCAACTGAACCACCCGATTTGACAGCCCTAATAATCTGACCCGGTTATGCAAATTTACAAATAAGTCCCAATACTATCAGCAAATACTAAACTAACCCCTGCAGTACAATCCCTCCCTCTAAAATGAATCTTGTCGTCAAGACTTGTAAAACAAAACTAATAGAACAAAAAAAAAAAAAAACATTGATGAGGACACCACCAACAGGGATGCATATCAAAGCCACCAAGGATGCACATTCTCTGCCAAATTGGTGTTTAGTATCTACTGCTTGAAAATTTCTGAGCTGATGATCCTTTAACAGCCCAAGAGATGTAGCACCTTTAAGTAGTTTCAAAATGCAACAAAGTGGCTTTAGTGCACTGACGAGATCAACTGGTAGTTGATACTGTCTTTGATAAACTTCAACCAAATTCCTGTCTTATTTTGTTTATAATTCTCTTCAACACCATGCTTCATAACCAAAATGCAAAAAGATCAAACTCCACAGCAGTACCATAACCAGTGTTATGTGAGGTATCAACATTTAAAGGGTTTTCCTTCACATATGGAGCAACACAATACCATCTAAGAAAAGTTCTCAGCTTATGTATGAAGAATCCATGGTATCCATACCCAGGATAGATTTGGAACCATAAAATGAACCTCATAAATCATAAATGAACATATGTTGCTGCAATCTCATTGATAGCTCAGACTTTTTTTTGTTTAATTAAAGAAGTAACAATACCTTATAAGCTTCGTGTAGAGAAAACTCCCAAATGGTAACAAATTCCAGCCAGCTCTTCCTTATTCCAGTAAACCAAAAAAGAAACTCTGCTACAATGCCTCTAGGAATTAAAGTTTGGTTGTAGTGATAGTACCCACTGAGCAACACTCTTTTCAAATTCTCCTATCTTGAAGATTATCAACACATGAATTCCTCATATGTCATATCACTATTTTTATTTTTGTCCATAGCAAGGAAATTGTCTGGTTCTTGACTCCACCCAAGAAATTTTAGTGAATTTCTAGATTCCCCAACTTCAGTTATAGCTCTCCAAATCAAATCGAAGGTTGCCAGCTCAGAATATTCATCCAGTTCGCTTTTTACGCTCAGATTTCCTTTGTCTAAACAAACATCAAACCCCACTGATTGAGAGTTGAGAATCCACCAACAATTGACTCCCTTTTGTTTTGGAATTAGATTTCTGCCAAAAAACTCCAGAAACTCATAACATATCATATCCCGTTGGTTTAAGCTTGATTAAGTATAAGAAATCTCCTGTCCATATCATTCATCAGATGTAGTTTCCCGAAATGCTTTGTTGCAGAAACTTGCCAAAGTTGTGCATCAACCTTTGCATTGACTTCTTTAACTAGTGGATGTACTCTAAGTTCTTCATCTGATATTTTTCTTCCATAACTGAAAGCATCTCTAATTAGAAAATGAAAAATGCAAGGCCCCACATACTCCATTTGGCTCCTGGTCAACTGGCGGTTTGAAATGTGTGACTGTCGTTGATTTCAACCCCAATAGAATATTTATAAAACCTACTTAAAACTATTAACTAGTGGTAAGTAGGATCGTTCCATAGAGACGGAAGTCAACCACTCAAAATCAGATTAAAGTGCAAGAAAAGGAAAGTAAAAGAGTTGAATAGATTTGTCACTTGGGGGAGTGAGAATAGTCACTTGACAGAGTGAAGAGGTAGAAGGGTCAATCACCTTCCTTTATGATCTAATTTTGATTCAAGTAATCATGTAGTGTATAATTTATTGTTTGATCGGGCACATGTATTCTTTACTATTCCTCTCAGATAAAGTAAAGAGTCATAGATTACTAAATGATTTACCTCTCAGTCAGATTATTGAGATTAATCTAGGCCATTGAGTTCTTAATCCCTGTTGATCACCTATGCCAATCACCTAACTCTCGCTGATGATTGAAACCAAATGGTAGATTTTCTCATTTGTCATAGACTAAGTTAAGACGTTCGAGTTATGTTTGCCCTTCAGATCTCAATAACATACATGCGCATTTAATTAAGTTTCCAATTTAAGCAAAAGGTTAATTTAAGCATTTAAACTAGAAATAATGCCTCATCAAGGAAAACTGAATCAAAACCTTAACATAAAGATAGTAGGGATTGAAACCTTAACTGAGTTAGCTACTCATGTTTATGGAGTTAAACCTGAGAGCAACAAAGTGTAAAAGATAAGACATAATTCAAGATCAAAAGGTTAGAGGATATAAAGGGAAAGATGGTAGTAGCGCAGTCACTGTCTGCTCACTTAGGCGAGTGGCGTTCGCCACTTGACAGAGTGACAGTCAGCACTCCTGTTCCTGCTACTACCCTATTTCTAACCAACTAACTAACTACCTAACTACTGTTTTTGTAACTGATTCTAAATACCCAATCTGTCCTCCTTAACTACTGCTATTGGCTGACTATTTATAGAGATTTGGAGAGGCTTGGATTGGTAGAATTTTGGCTTTCCTTGCAGCATATTGGAGGAGACAACAAGATACAGCAGTCAAAGGCATTTGGTTATTCAGCAACTTCCCCAATTGGCAAGTTGCTGTCTTCTCTAGTTAGATCCTTCCTTCTTCAGCCGCAATCAGCCACCTTCTACTTATCATTGCTGCTTGTCCTTAGTCTTCTTCTCCGGCACCTTCTCACCATTTCCAGCCACAAATCTCCATTTCTTCATTCTTTAATCCTCACAGCTCAATTTGCAGCAGTCAGCAAGCAACATCATCAACAACATGATTCCTTCCATCATTGTGTTTCCAGCCCCCAATCCAGCCTGAATCTTCTGCCCTTTTCTTCCTTGTTTCCGGGGTCACTTGCTATACCATTGCTCACCCTTCTACAGCAGCCAATTCATCAACTTAGCAGCAGCATCAGTTGGTAAGTAGCAAAGTTGCAGCTGCTTTCTTCACATATTCTCCCTCTTTCTCTTCTTCCACTTGCAGCAGCCACAACTTGCAGTGATGGCAAGTAATTTCCTTCCTTAGGCACCAAGATTTTAGCTTGTGCCTTCCTCTTTAATTGACAACAGCAACAACTACTGCAGCAGCAACTTGGCAGCAGAGTAGCTGCCCTTCTTCTTCTCAATTGAGTGTGCTGCTGCAGATTCTTCCAAGTTGTGATCATCTGCTGCCATTCTTCCTTCCTCAGCAAGGATTTCTCCACTTGCTCCAGCTCTAATCGACCTTCCAGCAGCCTGATTTCTAGCAGCTTCCATTTCAGTCCAAAATGATACTCTTTTGTGAAATTTGGCCCTCATTTATGCTGATTTTCCATATTAGCCCCTTGATTACCCTGAAATACAAAATCAACCCAAAAGTAAATTACTAATTAATTGACACCCAATACTAAGTAAAAATGAGTAAAAAGTGCCTGCTAAAAGTGTATATAGTTTACTGTCATCAGCAACCAAAGAGTAATATCTACCTTTTCAACAAAAACACCCTGGACTTCATGGCTGCAAAATGCATAAGGAATTATAGTCCACCACATACCAACATTGCATTCATTGAATTCCAATAACTTGATGATACTAGTACCTCCTTTGAATAGTGTTGCCTCTATAACCCAATCTTTAAAGTTTTCCATTGATTGAGACATGGCTCAAAGAAGTTCTTCCAGACAATTGCTAGTTCCACCTTTGAAACATGTAACCAACTCTATCCGCATAGTAAGCAAATTCTTATTTCTTGGAATCTTAATCTCAATCCCGTAGTCTTGTTAAACACACTTAGCAGCAAACTCACAATTCCCAAATCTAGGCACTTGACCAAACAAAATATGTGACTTAAAGAAATTCCACCCGACTCTATCCGCATAGTAAACAAATTCTTATTTCTTGGAATCTTAATCTCAATCCCGTAGTCCTGTAAAACACACTTAGCAGCAAACTCACAATTCCCAAATCTAGGCACTTGACCAAACAAAATATGTGACTTAAAGAAATTCCTCCCATATACTATTTTAGTCCTTGAAATCACATGATTATAGGCAAAATTAATCAACAAACCACTCGATTCCACATAAGGAACCAATATAAACTTAAAGACATTACCCATCCTATTCCACACCTATATTTGCCAAACTACTCTTTCTCCCTCCCTGAAAACCACCTTGTCCTCTAGGTTGTGCAGCAGACACGAGTAGCATCGAACTTCATCTCCAATTAAACTGCTACACTAGTGTGATTTTCGTTAAAACTAAACGTTCTAACATTTTCAGAGTTTAGACTCACAAACACTTGATCAATCATAGTAAATTTGCCTTCTCTCATCAAATAAAAACATCCATTTCTCAAGTTCATTTTTATCAACAAAATGCTCCCATTTGTCAACCTCAGGGTCAAAAACAAAGAAACTCATTTGAATTCCATTACTGAAATTATCATTGAAACCATCATTTTTCAGATTGACAGAATAAACTTCTAAATGCTGACGTGAAGCTTCCACAGAACTAGAATGCATATTTTCATCAGCAACAGATATATCAACAACAGTACTCCGTCCATCACATTTATCACTTAGACTTCCGGACAATACATTCAGATTCATGACTGAAGTTTCAAAAGAAATAGAATGCACAGACTTTATGTCAACTAGGGCTGTCGATTATTCGGGTCAACCCGACCACCTGCCCGAACCGAATGGAAAATGGAGCGTTCAGTTCGGCTATTCGGGACATTTTAGGGTAATTCGAGTACACCCGACCACCCGATAATTTAAACGGTGCGGGTGCAGGTGAACAAAAAGTAGTTCAGGCCCCGCCCGACAAACTGATTTTTAATTAATTTATTTTTTTTTATGTTCATATATATATATGAATGAGATTAGTGTTTCACCTCATTTCTTCCTCTGATTTTCTCTCTCTTCCTCCTCTCTCCTTCGCTCTCTTCCTCTCTTCACAATCCAGCTTCAACTTTCAACCTCGACGGCGGCGACAGTCAACAATCGCCACTGACAGCCGTTCCACCTTTCCACCTCTGTTAATCCATCGATCCAGCTATCAATCGTTCCAAATCTGTCATATAATCCAAAAAAATCCATCAAAACTTTCACTTAGGGTTTCTTTCCAGATCTGGGTCATCGAATCGATTAGAGTTAATGGGGTTATGAGATTAGGGTTTGAACTTTTAGATTGGGGAATTGGGATTTAGTTGAGTCGTCGAAATTTACAAACTAGTTGAAGAATTACTCTTTTTACTGTTCCTCTGTCCTATAAATTTACTAATTTTTAACCTTTCATATTTTTTCTCTTTATATTTTGTCAAAAATTGATTTCTTGGATTTTAAGTTGAACCCATTCTTTTGCGTAATTCTTTCGAAACAAATCAGCTCGTGCATCTGTGTTTCTAGATTCGCTAATTTCAATTTTTGTTTATTCTGGATTTTTTTTTCTGGGTTGATTTTGCCTGATTTAAGTTGTTTGATGCTTTAAAAAGGGAGAAAAGAATAGGTTTTTTTTTTTTCCACAAGTCGCCAAAGTGGAAAAGTAGAAATTGCCCTTTCTCTTTTGTTGTTGAAAATTATGAAACCATTTTTTTTGTGATCCCTTTTATCTTTGTCCAGCTCAATTAATAGAATTCCAGATCAAAAGTTCCTAATTTTTCACGAATTTGAGTTTTGGACCAGTAGTGCTTTTCAAAATTTGATAGCTATGCAGTTTTGTGCAATAGTACAATTTTTAGTCTTTTACTTTTTATCACTAATCACATTTCTCTCCCTTTTTGGGTCTGTGTGGTTGGGTTCTTGCAGATGATTGTGGAAGCCATTGCTACCCTGAAGCAAAAAGAAGGGGCAAACAAGTCAGCCATATCCAAGAACATAGAATTCAAGTATGGAGAGAAGTGCTGCAATGCTGTTCCAGATTGCTACAATGCTGCTTGTTGAACTGTTAAGTACTCAACACTTGAAGAATAAAGACTGAAGTTGCAGATTGAAGTTGCCTATTTTAAGTTTCTGAAATGAAACTTGAATTTGTTTGAAATTTCTGTTCTGAATCTTCTGATTTTAGACTTTGAATTTGTAGTTTGGATTTTAGACTTTGAAGTTTGATTTTGTGTCATCTCTGTTGTTGAACTTGAACTTAAATGTGGTATAATATTTCAGAGATTCAGTATTATGATTTTCAGTTCAAGTGTGCACTGCTGCACTCAGCACTGCAAATTTTGAAATGCTGAGTATTGAATTTGAAGTATTGAAATGCAGCAGAAATGCAAATGGTCCTTGTTATTTATTCTGGATTTTTTTTTTTTTGGGATTCAATATTAAATTCAGTTGAACCGGATACCGAACTGAAAAACCGATTACTTCTTCGGTTCGGTTAAATTAATTTCACGGTTCGATTTCGGGCAGTTCCTGTGAGAGTAAAAAACCGATTAAACTGAACCGAATTTCGGCCGAACCGCCCAAACCGCCCGAACTGACAGCCCTAATGTCAACATAATTGCAATTCAATTCAGTCATGACAATATCACCTAAATGCTCAACTTCATCACAAACATCCTCAAGTTCACAATCCATTGTATCCAAACTCAAAGAATCACCATTTAATTCCGAGGAAGAATAATCAAAATCCACAGATTTAGCAGAATTCACAGCTTGAGATGAAAAATTGCCTTGTTGCCTAACCGAAATTTTGACCTTACTTCTTGGCTGAAAACTCGATTGGAATTGAAAACACCATCCTTTGCCATTAATGGAGCCTTTTCCAATTTACATCTAGACGCCTTGATCGATTCAAAATAGTCATTGATGCAGCATATCAAGTCCTTTAGCAAACTAAGTTTGAATTCCAGCCACTGCCGGTCAAAGGAATCGGAAACTGTCGAATTCATTTCTTAGAAACCAAATCGCTGGACAAAACCCTCGCAAAGGTCATCCCAAGAAAAATCACCAGTCACTGCCCTAAACTCTTGATTCCAATCCTGAGCAACTCCATAAAGCCATTGTTGCACCCATTCGATCCTTTCTTCCTCCGGAATTTGCAATCGGACACAAAAATAGTCGTAATATTGCAGCCAATCCTCAGCATCATCATGACCGTGAAAGTCTCAGGGAGCTCTGACGTTACCATCCGGAAGAACAAAGACATACTCCGACGATTCCAATGTCGTGATTCTGCAAAACTCACCGCCAAATGAATACCGACGATCAACACCAACATCGGGAGCTTCGAAACTGTTAAAATCCATTCCAATTCGATATGATGTACCAATCCGAGGATCGATAGCTCTGATACCAATTGTCAGGATCGGAGATTATCCCGTGAAAAAATGGCGAGAATTATTCGTCGGAAAAACGTTGGAACTTCGAAGAACAAGAAAAGGGAAAAACTGCAAACCTTTTTGATTTTTAATTAACTGAATATTCGATACTGATTGATACATTTGACCTCGTATATATAATCTGACCCAATTATGCAAATTTACAAATAAGTCCCGATACTATCAGTAAATACTAAACTAACCCGGGTATGACATTTTTTTAAAAAATCACCCCAGTAGATCCCACTTAAATGTGGATAAAACACCACTTACAACCCCCTCCTCCCGGTGGTGTTCATGTTCTAGTTCCGCCACTATGCTTAGGGACATAACAAAATCAAAACATCATCATTGAAATTTAATCATCAGACTATGCTCCATCAATGTGATTAAGCATGATTGGAAGTTGTCCTTCTCTCTAAAAATCTAGCGAGAGAATGTCCTCTTGTTTCCTCAAGGAGGAAGGCTTAACACTTTGACAACTTAAGCTCATTACCTATCTTCAAACAGTTTCCATCAATTTTATCTTTTCATTATCGATTTAGCACTTGGTTTTGCTAAATTCACTATCCTTTTTTTTTTTTTTTTCCAATTTTTAACTTCATTCACTTGCAGAACTTGTCCGTCTTTAGTTAATGCCATTTGGAACTCATGCAAAAAAGCTGTCACTTCATCACATTGCTAAATTCAATTTTAAAATTAGGTAAATCTTCATATCTGGCCTATTTATGGTCTCGGTCTTTTTAAATCCCTCAATCACCCTTTCCTTTTGATGTTTTCCCCTTCTTTTTTTGAGCCGTTCAAACTCTTTGCAAATTTCTAGCCCTTTTCACTGCTTCCCTGGATTTGCCGTAGTAAAGGACTTTGCCTTTTCAATTTGGTTGCATTTACTATTAGCAGTCTTCTAAGACTCCTAAATATTTTAGTCTTCTTTACTCTCATTTACTCCCACTGCCTTTTCACAAAATCACAAAAACAGAAACTACTGCTTCAAATTGGGGTTTAACTGATAAAAAAAGAATCAATTCCAGTTGAGCAGTCTGATAAAGACATAACGGGAAAAAAAATGAAGCGAATATGCAAAAAGTAACAAAGCCACAAGAAGCAAATAAAGACGGGACTGAAGTTGTTGATGTTACAGATTCTCCTAACGAAATTTCGAAGGATCACTAAAATACAAACTGCAATGATAGGATTAAGGCTGCAAATGATAAAGGTCGGGATAGGATGGAGAATGAAAATAATCTAAAGCAACCAGCTCATCGCGAAAAGATTGATGGGGAGCTACTAAAGGAAAATAATCTAAATCAGCACAACCAACAAAACCAACTTGTTGTTTTTGAACCGTCGATAACAATATGTGATTGAAGAGAATGCCGACGAGTCTATGTGTAAAGAAGATGATTCAGAAGATGGCTTAGTAGTAGTTGGAACGGTCGAAAAAAGTAGATGCGAAAAAGCAACTCATGATGAAAACACATCAAATTCGAAAAAAATCCTGGCTCCAGTTGCAAATGGTGAGGAATCTGAATTTATCTCTGCTCGTAAACAAAGGAAGAAGCTTAGTACCAATGCAAATCCGAAAGTACATCGCTCAGAAAAAATAAATTTCTGTTGATCATAGTCCTGTAAAATATTTCTATTAGTTCTTTTAACATTTATTTGATGTATTGTAAAAGGTGGTAAGTCATACGCACTGCCACTTTCCTTTTCTTTATAAATAAAAGGGGTACTTTACCCGCCAGGCACGACCTGTTTTGATTATATATATATATATATATATATATATAAACACACACACACATGTATATATATATATATACACACTATATATATATATATTATTATTATTTCATCAATGACTTTCTTTGTGGAAAATGTAAATTTTGTAGGATGCCGAAAATATCCTTGTTAACATGGCGCCAAATCTGGTCAAACTGTCTGAATAGTGCCAGAGAACCAAAAGAATTATGAAGAAAAATGTAGGGACTATTCCAACTAAATGTTAATCTAGAGTACCAAAATGGGCATTTAGCCTAATGTAGAGGACCATTTTTAAGATTAAGTCTCACTATACTAATAATAATAATATTAATATTAATATAATAATATTAATATAATAATAATAATTTATAGGGAATTTTAACAGAAAATTATGTGACTAAATTTTTTAATTTTTTTTTGGTAAAGAAGTGACTGAATTTTAACTATCATCCATCTTAATGCTTAAATGGGTAAAGTCCAAATAAAAAGTATAAGTATAGACGTTTATAAATTCCCTGTTAAATTTTCTTCTAAATTTTTTCTCCACAAATTATTTTCCAAAATTATATTCTTTTTACCGATATGTGATTAAAATTCGAGTGATATATAGTTATATATTCAATGTGCAGATATATTTTTGCAATGTGATAATAATTATTTTCATGACATAGTTACATCACTTTAAATTTTCTTCTTTTTTTTTATCCCAATCCTACAACCACTGTTCCCGAAATTATATTAAAAAATATATCCTACTATATTAGAAACAAAAACTTCCCTTTCAAACACCTCATATGATTGCCACGTGGCATGTAGAAAATACTAAATTACCCTTTTGTCTAACCATAACTAAATTACTAAATCTCCCTTTGCACTTTACGTGACACGTTTTTTTTTTTTTTTCTTTATGTTTCATTCAACTAGAGTGGTTTTTTAAATTGAATTGATCAATTAGGTTTTTTGTTACAAAGTGTCAATTTTGTTTTAAGCGTATACCCTTCGGATGAAGCTTATTACAAAGCTATTAAAAATCTCTAAAATTAAGTATTGATTTGGCACGACCAATGGAGAACATCAATAAATCATCTTACTAATATTTAAATTTATTAGGATGCTTTTATATTTTATCTAACATTTACTTCAACGCATATATTCGATTAAGCTATTTATATTTAATAAGTAACACTTATAAAACATTTCTAAAACATATATGGCGAAATACAATTTATTTTTTTTTTTTGCGAAATACAAATATTTCTATGATCACACTTATAAAACATTTCTAAATCCTTCAAACATTTCTAAAATATATCGCTCCAAATACAAAATTTTATTTTTTTCAAATATAAACATTTCTAAGATCTACAGATAGACTGGGCAATGCGCGACCAGACATCACTAGTATAGATAGATTTTAAAAAAAGGTACACCACTTTAAAAGAACATCATAGAATGATTTGGGGATATGACCACGCATCGAACTCCTAGTAGATGAATATTCAAAACTTAGAGATGAAAAACAAATTAAGGGAAGAGAGTGACTCTACCGAGTCTCTATCCAATATACTCGGGGACACCATACTCGCCCTCCTATTTTTTGCACTACTAGTTTTTATTGTATTTTTTTTTTTTACTTTTTTTAATAATCTTCCTATTATTTGCAAGTTTAGTCCCTGTCACTTTTTTTTTCTCTCTTCTAAAAAAACATTTCTAATATTCAAACGATCATATCTCTCAGTCCGTAAATAATTAGAAAACGTGTTACACATGAAAATTATAGTATTCGTCGAGATCTATCCAACAAG